GAACAGGTAGAAAAAAACACATGATTTCACCAGATAATTAGAATCCTTTTTTTTAAAAAAAAGAACTATACAAACATTCTCAAACTAAAATTACAACATGGGGAATTAATGCCTCACCAGATAAATTTAACTACACATTAGGTGGAGCAGAAGATGAAATTAGTGTACTGAAAGACTAATTAATAGAAAACACTAACATGGAAGCACAGACATTAAAAAAATACAGAAAAATAGAGAAATGTATGACTTGGTGAAAAAAATCCATATATATTATTGGAGTTCAGAAAAAAGGAGAAAGAATAAGGCAAAAGTAACATTTGAAAAATAATATCCTTCAAACTAATAAAGGACATCAACCCATAGACTCAAGACATTCTATGAACCTCCAAGAGAACAAATACATAGAAATTACATCAAGGCATATGTGATGGCTAATTTTATGTGTCAGTTTGACTGGGCTAAGGGATGGTCAGATAGGTAGTAAAACATTATTTCTGGGTGTGTATGTGAGGGTGTTTCCAGAGGAGATTAGCATTTGAATTTTTAGACTAAATAAAGATAGTCTTCACCAATGCAAGTGACCATAATTCAATCTGTTGAGGGTATGACTAGAAGGTGGAGGAAAGATGAATTTGCCATCTCTGCTTGAGCTGGCACATCTCCTGTTCTTGGACATTTTTCTCTCTCTTTCTCAGTTCTGTTTTTCTGGAAAGTTATGACTAACACAGATTTGGGTACTGAGAAGTGAAAGTGCTGCTATAATGAATACCTGAAAATGTCGAAGTGGCTTTGGAGCTGGGTAATGGATAAAAGGCTGGAAGAGTTTTGAGGTTCATGCTAGAAAATACCTACATTATTGTGACTGGATCTTTAAAAGTGATTCTAATGAGGGCTCAGAAAGAAAAGAGGAGCACTTTGGAGGAAGCCTCCATCTTCTTAAAGAATGCCTAAATAATCCTGAAAAGAATGTTGGTAGATATATGGACATTAAGGCCATTCAGGTAAAACCTCAGACAGAAATGAAGAACATGTTATTGGTAACTAGAGGAAAAGTAATCCTTATTATAAAGTGGCAAAGAGCCTGGTGAAATTTTATTCATGTTCTACTGCTTTGTGGAAGACAGAAATTGCAGCAATGAAATTGGATATTTGGCTGCAAAAATCTCTTAGAAAATTGCAGAAGGACCGACCTGGTTTCTCCTTCTGACTGCTTATGGTAGAATGCCAGAAAACAAGACTAGAAGTGGAATTGTTAATAAAAAAGGAAGCAGAACTTAAAAATTTTTAAGTCTTAGCCTATTCATATTGTAAAGAAAGAGAAAGCATGCTTTAGAGAAAACACTAAGGGTGTGGCCAAGGGGCCTTTGGATAAAGAGATTAGTATGGATCATCCATCTCTACAGAAGCTAGGAGATACTCTCCAAGACAACAGAAGAATGACCCTGAAGGCAATTTAGAGATAATCGAGGATGACCCTCTGAGCATAAGGCCCAGAGTGCAAAGTCCCTTGGGACAAAGAAGTTTCAAATATGGGGAGCCACCTGAACCTGTGAGACCTCAGCATGCACTTCCCAATAGAACCTTACATTATGGGTTCTGCTCCCTAACACTGGCTTCTCTAAGGTCTGGCTCTGGTGAGCCTGGTATAGTGATGTGATGGCCAACCCTGCAGGCAGCACAGGTGGTAGATTTTGGTGGTGTCTACACAGCGTCTGTCAATACTTAGGGAGCCGTGGCTTAGGCTATGCCTGGCAAAGCCACTGGTGCATGATTCTAGCCTAGGAGAGCCACAGGCCCCTGACCCCAAGGCAGCTTGAATGGCAGAGGCAGAATAGCCACCTGGAAGAGCTACAAGCATGGGACTCCAGCCAATAATAGCTGTGGAGATGGGAACATAGCCTACTAGGTCTGGAAGGCACAGCATCAAGCAGAAGATTATTGTGGAGCCTTCCAGTCTAATGGAGTTTGCCCTGTTAGGTTTTAGACTTGCTCAGAATCTATCATTTCTTTTCCTATTCCTCTCTTTTGGAATAAGAATATCTATCCTGTGCCTCTCCCACCGTAGTATTTTGGAAGCACAAAACATGTTGGTTTTAGAGGTTCACAGTTGGAAAGCAGTTTGCCTCAGGATGAATTGTACCTTTAGTGTCACCAATATCTGATTTAGAAGATATTTAGATGAGATTTTGGACTTTGGATTTTTTTAGTTGATGCTGGAATGAGTTAAGACTTTTGGGGTACTGGGATGGAATGAAGTATTTTGCATGTGAGAAGGACATGTATTTTGCGGGACTGGAGTGCGGTGCTATAGACTGAATGTGTCTTCCCCCAAACGCATACTTAGAAACCTAATTCCCAATGTGATATTATTTGGATAGGGCTTTGGGAGATTATTAGGTCATGAGGTCATTAATGGAATTAGTGTCCTTATACCTTATAAAAGGTATGCCAGAGAGCTCTTCCTTCCACTGTGTGAGGTTACAGCCATCTATCAGTGAGAAAGTAGACCCTTGTCAGACACTGAATCTGCCAGCACTTTGATCTAACACTTTCTAGTCCCCAGAACTGTGAGAAGTAAATTTCTATGATTTACCTAGTCTATGGTATTTTGTTACAGCAATCTGAATGGACCAAGACAGAATCTTTGTTTTTGAGTCAGAGTCTCGCTTTGTCACCAGAGTCTCGCTTTGTGCAGTGGCACAATCTTGGCTCACTGCAACCTTCACCTCCTGGGTTCAAGTGATTCTCCTGGCTCAGCCTCCCAAGTAGCTGGGACTACAGGCGCCTGCCACCATGCCCAGCTAATTTTTGTATTTTTAGTAGAGATGGGATTTCACCACATTGGCCAGGATGATCTCAGTCTCCTGAACTTGTGATCTGCCCGCCTTGGCCTCCCAAAGCTCTGGGATTACAGGCGTGGGCCACTGCACCTGGCCAAGACAGAATCTTATGGAAAGCCTGCTAAAAAACTAAAGACACAGAGAAAAAAACTGAAAGGAGTGAGAGCGAAAATGGCATATTACTTTCAAATGGGTGCAGCAATAAAACTTACAGCTACCTAATCAGCAGAAATAATGAGAACCAGAAGAATGAAAGTATCCTGAAAGAAAAAAAAAGCCAACCCAGAATTCTATATCCACAAAAATATCATTAAAAAGGTGCAAATGTTTCAAACATGTAAAAACTGACAGAATTCATGGAAAGCAAACCTACACTATGATAATAGCAAAGGGAGAAGTAATATGATCCCACATGGAAGTAAGGAGTTTTAAGAAGGAGCTAAGAGCAATGAGACAAGATAAATATATGGGTAGTATACATGAATGTTGATGATATAAACAATAATAGCAATATATTGTGGGGTCATAAATATATGTAGAATTAAACCACCTAACAATGATAATGCAAAAACAGGAGAGTAAATGGAGTTTTAATGTTCTAGTATTTTCAGGAAAATGGTAAAAAGAATAATTTGTGTTATACTGTAAAAACCAACTGGCTAAAGATACACATTGTAATGTCTATAAAACCTACTAAAAGAAAATAGAATGTATAAATATAAATTAAGAGATGGGAAAAAATATAAGAAAATACTTGATTAATCTTAAAGCAAAGTAGGAATCAATGAGATATAAAACAAGCATACAATATAGAAAGTGAACAAGTCCAGTTGCTGGCTCCTTGAAGAGGTTAATAAACTTGATAAACTCCTAGCAGGATTCTTCAAGAATAATCTGAGTTTTTGTTTGAAATTTTAAAAATTGTTTAATGCAGCTGGGTACGGTTACTCATGCCTGTAATCCCACCACTTTGGGAGACCAAGGCGGGCTGGATCACTTGAGGTCAGGAGTTTGAGACCAGCTTGGCCAACTAGTGAAGCCCAGTCTCTACTAAAAATACAAAAAGTAGGTAGGCGTGGTGGCACATGCCTGTAATCTTAGCTCAGGCGTCCCCAAACTACGGCCTGCAGGCCACATGCAACCCACTGAGGCCATTTATCTGGCCCCCCGCGGCACTTCAGGAAGGGGCACCTCTTTCATTGGTAGTCAGTGAGAGGAGCACAGTATGTGGCGGCCCTCCAACGGTCTGAGGGACAGTGAACTGGCCCCCTGTGTAAAAAGTTTGGGGACGCCTGTCCTAGCTACTCAGAAGGTTGAGGCAGGAGAATCGCTTGAACCCGGGAAGCAGAGGTTTCAGTGAGCTGAGATCCTGCCATTGCACTCTAGCCTGAGAGACAGAGCAAGACTGTCTCAAAAAATAAAATAAAAAATAAAATCTCTTTAATTGAGTAATGGGATCTGATGGCTAAGAAAGAGGAAAAAAGAAAGAAAAAGGAAAAAAGAAAATCTGTTAAATGCAATTTGTCACTTAACACAGTATAGAAGAAAAGTCCTGGTAGGTTCAGAAAAAGCATATGATTAAATTCAACATTAATATATTTTTTAAAGTTCTTTTGGCAAACTAGGAATATATTCTGATAAAGAACATACCAAAAAAAAAAAACAACAAACCCTGCAATACATATCATTCTTATTCTGATAAATTAAAAGCATTCCCATTACAATCAGGAACAAAACGCAAATGTTTCCTTTGATCATTTTTTAAATTATTGAATTGGTGAACCCATCCAGCATGGTTGGAACTCCATAAATAATAATAAAACTAGTGAGATTGAAAGAAAAAAAATCATACTGCTATTATTTGCAGCTAGTATGTTTAGATAATAGAAGACTAGAAGAAGCTATATATTATTAGAAAAAGAAAGTTTATAGCAAAGTTGTAGGATATATTTCCTATATAAAAGTTAATTGTATTTTTAAATCTCTTTTATGATTGAAATAATAAATATTAAAGTTAATTGGGAATACATGTAGCAACTTATTTGTAAACCTTTTGTAGAATTGGAAAACTTTATTTAAAGATAACTTAAACAATATAGAGATATGCCATTATTTATGGCTGCTTTGGCTGTGATAGTCTAATATGGTTTTTCATTGCAGACTTTGCCTTCAAAAGAAACATTTTTAAATACTACACAAATGCCTTGCCTGCAATCAGATTCAACTTGGAGTAACTATGAACACGATTCAAAGTCTTACCTATTAAGAGAACATGTATCAGAGTTAGATTCCTCTTTCCATTCTGTTCTGTCATTGCCATCAGGTAAGCCTCCCTGTAACAATTTCTAAGTAATGATATTTTCTGTACTGAAATCTAATCCTCTAAATAAAGAGAATCTAATAAAACCTTATTTTATCAATTATTTTGTCAGTAGATATTAGAACTAAGCAATGCCTTGAGAATTAAATTTGTTATAGAGGAATTAATCTAGACACATGCACAGTTAATGTTCTATCTGTGTAAGTTGATTCTTTAATTCCTTCTAACCAATTTGATTTACTTTGGGAAATTACTAGTGTTTTATTTTATTTGTTAAATTTTGAGCATTTTATTGGTAACATGGCTGTGCTGTTGAAATGTTTCCGAGTAATGTTAAATCACTGTTCTTTTTCTAAGGTGTTGTTCTACATGAAGGTTTCCCTGCCATAAAATATTTCTCCATTTATAATCTGCATTGAATTTCTCCAAGAGGGGAGAAGACTGCCTATTTATAAATACAGTCAATCTCAATAATATCTGTAATCTATGAGCAAATGAGGCATATACATCCTTACATCTCTAATGTGTTTTTTGCTTTTGTTTTGTTTTGTTTTTTGAGATGAAGTCTCATTCTGTCACCAGGCTGGAGTGCAGTGGCACAATCTCGGCTCACTGCAGCTTCAGCCTCCTGGGTTCAGGCAGTTCTCCTGCCACAGCCTCCTGAGAAGCTGGGACTACAGGCATGCACCAGCACACCCAGCTAATTTTTCTGTATTTTTAGTAGAGACAGGGTTTCACCATGTTGACCAGAATGGTCTCGATCTCCTGACCTTGTGATCTGCCTGCCTTGGCCTCCCAAAGTGCTGGGGTTACAGGTGTGAGCCACCATGCTGCATCTTTTTTTTTTTTGAGACAGGGTCTTACACTGTTACCTAGGCTGGAGTGCAGTGGTGTGATCATAGCTCACTGTAGGCTTGAACTCCCAGGCTCATGCAATCCTCCTCCCACCTCAGCCTCCTAAGTAGCTGGAAATACTTGGGTATATGATACCACACCTGGTTAATTTTTAAATTTTTTTTTTTTTTTGGTAGAGATAGGGTCTCACTATATAGCCCAGGCTGGTCTTGAACTTCGTGCTTCAAGTAATCCTCCCACCTCGACCTCCCAAAATGCTAGAATTGCTCTAGGTTATTTTAAATGTTCAGTTCTTGATTTTTGTGGAAACTTTACACTCTACTCTATATGGGAACTAAAAGCAAATATTTAGGGGAGAAGGAAAACATCCCTCAAACTGGTTATCTCAGGTTCTTCTCTATATTGGGAGATATCTCAACTTGGCTTTTGTTCCATTTTCCACTTATGGTTCTAATCATCTTTTAGATTCTCAAAATCAAGGGATTGATTCTATTTGTAAAGCACTATGTTTTGAACCTGTCCCCCTGCCGTGAATCTCAGTTTAGTTTTTATCAGTAGTAGAGTGGCTTCTTAGCTACACCATACCTTGAAGTAAGTTTCTAACAAGAACTGTTTTATTCCATCTTTGAGGAAACTGTAATAATATGAAGAAATAATAATCTATATAACAATAATAATATAGCTTATATTTAGTCTTATTATATACTGGGCCCTGTATATATTAAGCACATTACATTTTCTTGTTTAATTCTCACAACTCCATGAGAATAGATACCTTTGTTCTGTGAGGACATAACCCTGAGAGCTGGTATAAATACTCTTTATCCTGAGACTCTTATGTCCCCCTTTAATAAATAAGATTAGATTGTTTACTTCCTATTTCATTATATCCATTCCTTCTTATATTAATTTAATAAAATCTCAATACCTACTATACATAAGTACTAAATAAATGCTAGTACTATAAATACAAATAAATCCCTCAAGGTACTTGCATTCTAGTTTAAAACAACTGAAATGTAAACTAATAAGTGCAGTAAAATGCAATGAAATACTTTTATAAAAGCTGACAGGTCATGTGCAGTAACTAAGAAAGGTATACAGATGGAACAAGAATCTTTTCTTGTTAGATCATGTTTCCCCACAAATTAACAAAGAACAGTGGTAGAATTGGTGATATTTTCCTTATAAGAATAATACTGCTTTGGAGAAACAAATCCAACAAACTTATGTTTAGGTAATTGGAAAATATCAGAATCCTGAAATGTTTAAGGAGAATTTTAAGGGACAATATTTAATTTATATTCCCATTTTCATTGTGTTACCTAATTTTCATATGACCATATTATAATACTGAGATCCAAACTCATTTTACCTCTGTCCCATGGAACAAACTCCATGATACTCATGAACGAATTTTTGCTTTGCATATTTTTCCACACTTGAGTATGGATCTGCCACTAAGATACATTATTTGAAGAAGAGATAATTTTTTTCTGTTTAAAATCCAGACCCAACCAGGTGGGCACAGTGGCTCATGCCTGTAATCCCAATACTTTGGGAGGCTGAGATGAGAGGATCACTTGAGCTCAAGAGTTCAAGACCAGCCTGGCAACACAGTAAGACTTTGTCTCTAAAGAAAAAAAATTTTAAATTAGTCAGGCATGGATTGTGCACCTGTAGTCTCAGCTGCTTGAGAGACTGAGGTGGGAGGATTGCTTGAGTCCAGGAGATTGAGAATGCAGTGGGCCAGAATCATGCTACTGGACTCCAGCTTGGGCAGTAGAGCCAGCCCCTGTCTCAAGAATAAAAATAAATAAATAATAAAATGCAGACCTTTCCTGGGTCTATCTTCATTATTTTCCTTAAAAATAAAGTACCTTCTTTTAATAGCCAAACTTTCATTATTATCAACTGCTTTATAAAATATGTTCTCAGGGCTGGGCATGGTGGCTCACCGCCTGTAATCCCAGCACTTTGGGAGGCCGAGGCAGGTGAATCACCTGAGGTGGGGAGTTCAACACCAGCCTGACCAACATGGAGAACCCCCATCTCTAAAAAAAATGTTTAAAAATAAAAATAAATAATAAATAAAATACGTTCTCAAGGAAAAGTTTAGGTGTCTCTTAATAAATGCTTTTTAAGATGATTTTGTTTTTTCATTCTTGGCTGAAAAAACTTTTCATAAATGTGAAGCATATCGACTTCATTGCTTAACTCCTCTTTGGTTGTGAGAGTACAGAATATAAACGTAGTGAATTGAACATCTCTAAGTCTCTGTTTAGAAACAGAACTACTTTGTCAATAGGTTTTAATCTTTATAAAAGTAGATTCATTGTGATTTATAATATAGTAAATTAAGGGAATGTGAACCTGGATGTTTTCACAAAAGGTTACATCTGAATTACAGCACTTTTCTGCCAAGAAGTTAAAAGCACGTAATTACAGTTTTTGTAACCTGCATTATTTCAAATGCAAAGATTGTAGGGATGGGATGGAATGGATTTAAGGTCAGCCAGATTTGGCTATAGATTTTCTTAAAGACTTCTTGGGTATATTTGTTTCCATTCATCTGTGAATAGCATTTATTAACATTTATAAATACTGTTCATCTTATGTACTATTTTAAGAAGTTCATGGAGTTGTTTCTGTTAGCTTTTTAATTTGTTAATTAAGTACACCCAACTAGTAATTTCTAAAATACTGCTACCAACATGCTTGGAAAGAGTATTTTGCCACTTCTGACAGTTGCTACATTTTAAATTTCTGCTTATTTTCTTAAGCTCATGTACTATTTATAGAAAGAAAGAGATTTTAATGTTACAATCTGTAATCCTATTATTACAAAGAGTGATATTTGAAAATGCCTTTTAAATTTTATTTTTCCAGATGTGCCTCTTCATTTTCACTTTGAAACATTGTTAAAAAAGACTGAAATAAAAGGCAATCTTGCTGAAAATAAATTTATAGATGAATATATCATATCTCCATCACCTGGTATGTCACATTTACAGTTCTTGTACTTTATATGTTTTTAATGTCTTTTCTACTTAGTATTTTTGCATTCTAAGGAAATAAAATTTAACAAAATAAAGGAAAATCCTTAATTTTTAATACTCATTTTTTATAAATCATGTACACATAAAAAATACAAGAACAATCTTAACATGAAATATGTGGGATCTACTGAGTGATAATTATGAAATATTTATAAATATAATAAATATAATAAAAATTTAAATAAATGTGGAAACTACTTCTGTATAAGATCAATAAAGATATAAATTCTTCCTAATAGTTCATATGATTAATGTAACTTCAAATTCTCATAGAATTTGTTTAATTTAAAATAATTCTAAAGCACAATGGGAAGACCAAACAGGGGAAAATATAAAGAGATTACTGTAAAAAGTTTTGAGAAAATCTAGCCCAACACATATAGAAAGAGGACAAAAATCTTTAGTAATGTAGATTCTATTTTGCTTACATTTAAGAAAATAGATAAATGAAGTAAACTCTATAGTTGATTATATATCAGGGAAGATTTGTGTATCAGTGGGAAATTGGAGAGCCATTTGAAAATGTTACTGTTAAGTCTTTCTCAGTAAAATTCATTCACATATGCATTTAATGCTATGAATCAGAATACTAGTTAATTCCAAGAACTGTAAATAAAATATTAAAACTACAAAATAAAACTTGAGGAAATTATATTGAAATCTTTATGAGTGCTGTGAATGGGGGTGAAGTCTATGCTTCGAGGCAATTAGAAGAAAGAAAACATATTTTGATTATCTACAAAGTTAAAATCTAAACATCGGAAAAGTCATATAACTCTAAGATAAATTATTTCTACATGGAATAACATCAAAAACTCAAGAGTTAAATGAATACCTGTTATAACTGGAGTCTTATTATAAAATAAATTTATAAAAATCAGCAGCTTTTGTAAGTACCAATAGTAACTAGATATAGATAGCCTATGTAAAGGAATAAATTATGCTAGACACATTGACAATGAAAATATAAAATATTTTTTATCAAACTTAACAAATACCTACATGAGGACTACTACAAAAGTTTAGTGACAAACATGAAAACATTCCTATATGGAGATAAATATCCTGTTCCTGTCAGAAGACAGTATCATAGCTAAAGTTGTCAATTTTCCCCCAAATTAATTTACAAGTGGAATATAATTCTAATCAGAATCAGAGGTATTATTGGAACAAAGTTATTCTCAGACAGAATACCTCAAAGTTTACCTCAGACAGAAAATATTGAAGAACAGCCAATTAAATTTTTAGAAGATTAATAGCAGGACTGTGAAGTTATAATTGTTAAAACATGGTGGTTCCGATAGAAGCCAGATAAGGGAGCTTAAGAAAAGCCTAGAAACAGATGGTGATATTTCCTACCATGTTGAAAGAATGGCCTAGTCAATAAATAATAATAAATGATAACGAGAACAGCAAATTCTTAAGAACCACCCTTTATATGTCAGCACTGGTTGAAGGGCTTTATATCACTTATTTAAGTCTGACTCTGTGAGGTAGGTAGTATTACTCTCCTTGACTAATCTTCCCCAGTCACAGCTAATAGAAAAGCCAGAATTCAAACCCAAGCTCATGTAAATAAGTTTTCTTTGTAATCAGAGGCATTAAATAATGACTCTTTGCAAGAATTAAAAACAGATCACTACCTCACAAAGTGCTTTAAAACAAATTTAAGGTGGATGAACATTAAAATACATTTCAGTTGGATTAAAAAGTTAAAAATGAATGTCTTAAAAGAATAAGGAAATGTGTTCTTGATAATAATGAAAATAATATTAACTGAGAGCTTTTATGTCAGACACAGTGAGAATGTTTACTACTTTTGCCTATAACATTAATGATTTTGAACATTATAATCATCAGTTTGGGCATAACTATAGTAAAAACAGCACCTTCAAATATCTTGGATAACATTAAGAATTGATGCAAGCCTTTGGGGAGCTCTGTGAAATGGATTACAAGGCCTTTAAATTATGTGTTTTTGTATAAGCTCAGTGTGGTTTAAAAACACCCTTGTTTAGTTTTGTACCTATTCCCAATAAATGTTCACTGGACTGTTAACCCTGTATTCTGACCCAATTATTCCATTTCCAAGAATCTGGTCTAATCCTAAATATGAAACATCCTTTATTCACAACTATATTCATCTTAACATGTTTTTGTGATAATGAAAAATTAGCAAAAACTTGAAAAGCATAATAGGGATACGGTTAAATATACTACAGTGGAATATACAGCCTTAAAAAAAAATCTTAGCTGGGGGCAGTGGCTCACGCCTGTAATCCCACCATTCTGGGAGGCTGAGGTGGGTGGATCACCTGAGGTCAGGAGTTCAAGACCAGCCTGGCCAACATGGCAAAACCCTATCTCTACTAAAAACACAAAAAGTAGCTCGGGCATCCTGGCACATACTTGTAATCCCAGCTACTTGGGAGGCTGAGGCAGGAGAATTGCTCCAACTCAGAAGGCAGAGAGGTTGCAGTGAGCCAAGATTGCGTCACGGCACTCCAGCCTGGGTGACAGAGTGAGACTCTGTCTCAGAAAAAAAAAAAAAACAAAAAAGGAAAAAAAAATCTTAAAAGTTAATATAAGGATGGAAAAAATACTTATGTTGTGATATAAAAGGATGAAAATATTTTACTTCTGTGTCTGGTACAATTATAGATATGTAGAAATATTTATTCTTATATCAACCAAATGCAATGTGTGGACCTTGTTGAGATTGCTGTTTATACACACACACAGTTTTTGAAACAGAGAAATTTGAACATGGACTAGCTGTTAGATATTAATGAATTGTTAATTTTGCTACTTATAATAATGCATTGTGGTTACATAAACCCATATGCACTTTTTCAGTTTGTTAGAGATTCACACTTAACATATATGTAGATGAAGAGATATGTCTGGGATTTGCTTTAAAATACTCTTGCAAAAAGTTGGTGGGAGAGATGAAACAAGATTGGTCATAAGTTGTTCACTGCTGAAGCTGAAGGATAGGTACATGGGAGTTCATTATTCGACTCTCCTTTTGTGTTTGAAATTTTTCCACAGTAAAAATTAAAGAGGAAAAAGATGAAGGCACCAAGGATGAAGAACAATTAGCTATGCTTAGGGGAAAAAGCCTAAATAAATACAGGAAAATATAAGTATTATGTGCAGTTACCTTTTAATGATGCGATTTCACTTGTTGGAATTTGTCCTGAGACTACATTTTTTTTCAAAAGGGAAAAAAATGTATCCCTGAAGATGATTATTTTAAGAACGTCTGTAATACCATTATCATTATGATGATAAGTATCATGGCCAACAGCTAGGGCAGGCATCCCCAAACTTTTTACACAGGGGGCCAGTTCACTGTCCCTCAGACCGTTGGAGGGCCGCCACATACTGTGCTCCTCTCACCGACCACCAGTGAAAGAGGTGCCCCTTCCTGAAGTGCTGCGGGGGGCCGGATAAATGGCCTCAGGCGGGCCGTAGTTTGGGGACGCCTGAGCTAGGGAATAGCTTAAGAACATTGTTTCTAATCAGAGGAATGTTACACAACCATCTGAAAAAATAATAGAGTGCATTATGTAATAAAAATATAATTACGGCCGGGCGCGGTGGCTCAAGCCTGTAATCCCAGCACTTTGGGAGGCCGAGGCGGGTGGATCACGAGGTCGAGAGATCGAGACCATACTGGTCAACATGGTGAAACCCCGTCTCTACTAAAAATACAAAAAATTAGCTGGGCATGGTGGCACGTGCCTGTAATCCCAGTTACTCAGGAGGCTGAGGCAGGAGAATTGCCTGAACCCAGGAGGCGGAGGTTGCGGTGAGCCAAGATCGCGCCATTGCACTCCAGCCTGGGTAACAAGAGTGAAACTCCGTCTCAAAAAATAAATAAATAAATAAAAATATAATTACACATTTAATTCAAATTGTGATTTCATATTTGATATACATATGAAATATAAAACATGTATTATTGACTGAGTATGCAAATATGAAAATATATGCTATTAGAGAAGATTAGATAATTATATTTCTTTTAATGTTGTGCTACTATTTGACTTAAAAAAGTAAGGCAAGCCAGGTACAGTGGCCCACACCTGTAATCCCAGAACTTAAGGAGGCTAAGGCAGGAGGATCGCTTGAGGCCAGAGTTCAAGACTAGAAGATCGAGGCTACAGTGAGCCATGATTACACCACTGCACCGCAGTTTGGGTGACAAAGTGAGACTGTTTCTAAAAACAAAAAATAAGGCAGTTAAATGTGTTAGGTATACAATTAAGGGGAATTCATAATGTAATGAGCGATTTCATCTTATCTGTCTTAAGTAGCTAGTCATTAATTTTTCCTCTGGTTAGTGCAGCATTTATTGAGCATTTATTGCCAGGCAGACTATTACATGCTGAAGAGTCAAAGGTGAGTTACAGGAAATCAAAATTATAATGTAATGGGGGAAGATACAAATAACTGTTATATAGTATAATGGACACAGATGATAAAACACATTTGAAGGCCGAGTGCAGTGGCTCATGCTTGTAATCCCAGCACTTTGAGAGGCTGAGGTAGAGGGATTGCTTGAGCCCAGGAGTTCAAGACCAGCCTGGGCAACATGGCAAAACCCTGTCTCTACAAAAAATATGAAAATTAGGCAGGCATGGTGGTGCATGCCTGTAGTCCAATGTCTTAGGAGACTGTTAGAATGCAGAGTCTGATTTAGTAAGTTTGGAATGGGACACATTTCTTACAAGGTCCCAGTGATTCAGATGCTGTTGGCCCATATTGAGTAACAAGTCTTTAAGTAACAAAAACAAATATATCTCTTGTCATGGAGACATGAAGTAGTATTCAAATATCTATAACTGAGGCTGGGTGGTGGCTCACGCCTGTAATCTCAGTACTTTGGGAGGCTGAAGCAGGTGGATCACCTGAGGTCAGGAGTTCAAGACCAGCCTGGGCAACACGGTGAAACTCTTGTCTGTACTAAAAAATATAAAGATTAGCTGGGCCTGGTGGTGCAAACCTGTGGTCCCAGCTACTCAGGAGGTTGAGGCACAAGAATCACTTGAATCCAGGAGGCAGAGGTTGAAATGAGCCAAGATCACGCCATTGTACTCCAGCCTGGGAAACAGAGTGAGGCATCATCTCAAAACAAAACAGAACAAAAACCACCAACAACAAATATCTATAAATAACTTGGCATTCCTGCTGTAGGGTAAATTGCATGGAGGTAAGCACACAGATCTTTGCTTGGATTTATCCTGTATAGTCCATTAGATTTGGCAATTTATAACGGCATTGCTGATTTCAGGCAACAAGTAGAGAAAAGCCAAACTGTAGTGGGTTGAAAAGTGAATAGGTTACACTAGTGAGAAAACCAATTTAAGAGTTTATACTTATGAAAATATTCAAAGTTATAAAAGCTATGGAAGACAGTGGAACTGTTTCAGATACAAGACCTTAATGAGATCTTCCAACCACAATGACATCTGCAATGAATAGTTGAAATTATCTGTATATAACATTATAGGGATTATTGGTGAAATCTGAATAAGGTCTATAGGTAATGGCAGTGAACTGCATGGCTACATAAGAGAATGTTCTTTGTTTTGAGAAATATACGTTGATGTATTGAGGGCTAAAGAGGTGTCATGTCAGTGACTAAATTTCATTTGCAGTCTCAAAGAAAGGGAAAGCAAATGTGAGACAATGTTAATATTTGGGGGATTTCAGTAAAGCATATATAGAGATTTTTTGTTCCATTTCAAGTTTTCTGTAATTCTGAGATTATGTCAAAATAAAATTGTTTTTTAAAGATAGATAGGAGAGGAGGAACAAGAGCACCATAACCCACACAAGCAAGCCAGAAACATAAAGCTCAGTCTTGTTTCCCACACCTCCTCCCCTCTAAACCACTTGCCAAGTTGTCAATATGATCTTACATGTTACAATTCAGTTCTTGCCTTCGAATACTCTCAGTCCAGCATCTCTTATCCATACTGCTGAAACAGACTTCTAATCCATTTTTCCCTTTAATCACTGTAGGCAGTGACCTCTTCAAAATGCAAATCAAATGTCACAAACTGCTCCCTATCTCATGGCTTTAGAATATATGAGAAGGAATATTCTTAACACCTTGAAACCCTGTCTACATAGGCTGGCTCCTCCCTCATGACTCTTTCTCACCATGCTTCCTTACTCTACATTACATAGCTGTTCAATTCCCAAATTTGTCCTGTTCTCTTGGGCTATTGCACATGCTATTCTCCTCATGGCTATCAGCTATTTGTTTGTTTTTGAAATCTATTATTTCATCTGGGGAAGCCTTTCCTATAGCTCTTACTAATGCTCTCTTGTACATTCTCAATAACATCATGTAGTTACACAGCTGAAATGCATATTTTTCCATCACATTACAATTGCATTCCTTGAGATAACATGTGTAAACTGCAAGGACTGCTACCAATCCTAGTTTTGCTTACCTAGGATTTAGAATGGTGCTTGCCATGTAATTGGTTCTCTGTAAAGTAGTTGGATGAATAAAAGGGAAGAAAGTAAAGACAGGAGATATGAGAGATGCTATCAACGTGTGATCTTAGGATGGACTCTAAGAGAGGATTGGGAAAGCAAGAACTGAAAGGCTGGGAGGTTTATCCAAAGAACAGCTGAAGAGGATGTGTAGAATTGTCATACATTTCCTGTTTCAAGGGTCCATGAAAATCTTTTAAGACAATAAAAAATTAGAAGGAAAATGATGTGAAGGAAACATTTGAATGAAATTTAATTTAAAAATCACCCTTTTGTGAAAGTTAAGATTCCTTCCCAACATTTGATGTGTTTTCAGAAGAGTTGAGAATTCTAGTAGAAAATAAGAGAAAGGTAAATTGTCTAGCATTTGCTTAAACGCTACAGCAAAATGTTATTAAAACAAGAATGGACACTAACTTTGAACACCTACATATGTTTTAACACACACATTTTAAACTCCACCTCTCACAAGTCTAGTTACCATTTTAGTAAGTTTAGATTATTCCTGTCATGCTGTTATCTTGTATTAATAACTTTTAGGGTATCATCTGTGATGTGCTGTTTGATTTATTTTTCATTTGCTGCTTGACATTCAAGTGATTGTTGAAATCTTAGGGTTTAATATTGATTCTGGAAAAAATTTTAGCTATCATTTCTTCAACTAGTCCCTCCCTTTCATCCTCTCCAGTCTCATCTCTTACCCCATTCTGGTCTTTTTTCTCTCCATATTTTCTGTCACTCTGTTCCATCAAGTTATGGAATTCCTCTGCCAGACCCTGGTTTTCATTTTCAGCTGTGTCCATTAAGATACTTAGCCTAGTGATGATTTTAACATTTGAACAATTGTTTCTGACATTCCTCTAGAGGGCCTCTTACCTGTTCCTCTTCGCAATATTAGTTGTTTTAAAGAGTTGCTAATCTGTATTCTGTGAATGCTTCATTAACTATTTTTTGAGATTGTTCTTCCACTTGTAGTTTGTATCTCTTTTTTAATGTAGTGTCGGTATTCAGATTTTTATACACTCATTGAAGTTGCTACTTGGTTAAAACTGTTCTACCACACTGTTTATGGGACCCTTTTGATTGGAAAGGTAGAGATTTATATTGCATTTGACATTTTCAGAATAATTTGGGGATGGGCAGGACATTTCAAAGTGGGGCACTTGTACATTGCCTTCTCTCTCCAACCATTCATTTCTCTGCCCAAAGCTGTTTTGTTAGGCTGATATTGGCATGTGCAGTTAATACAGCATTTGCTCCAGATAGTTGTCCTGCTTCCAGTTTTCCTTTCTTCTGGGTCTAGAGCACCTTTGGTGTTCATCACACGTCTTTGTGGCAGTACTTCACTGTGTGCTTCTGCTCTGGGTTTCTTCTTCAAATTCCATACAGTTTTAGTCTTTCGGAGATTCCTCAGAAATTCTTCTTTACAAGTTCCTTCTTGCTTGCAAATACGGATTTACATGTGCATATCTGTGCATGTGCCTATGTAAAAAATATTTGTCTATCATTTTTAGAGTCATTTGCCATCTTGAAACCAGACACTCTTGTCAGCTGGTAGGCCATGCCCTTTGTTTCAGTGTCAGTGAGTTTGGCACTTACAGCTTACATATTTTTCTACTCCTTTCCACGTCTCTCAGTCTTTCAAAAAATAAGCCAATTTGGTCATTAGACCAATCATGATAACACTAACATTTACTGAACACTTATGTCAGACACTTTTACTATGACAGGAATAAACTCATGTAATCCTCATAACCCCAAGGTCGCTGCTGTTATCACTATTTTACAGATTATGCAACTAAGGCACAAAGAAACAAAATGGCTTAAAGCTGTGTTAAATACATTATTTTTAAAAAGTGAAAGAATGGTACTAGTCACTGTCAGGATGGATAAAATCTGGTTCTTGCTCTCAAAGCCTAGTCTGACCATGTTGAATCTTACTTGGTCCCAAATTATTTCCAGATTTAAGGGTAACCAAGAACTTTCTGATGACTGCCAAGATTTATATATCTGAGCCAATCCTCACTCTGTAATTTGGAAGTTTCTGTAATTTGGAAGACTTTGAGAATACGTCACCTTCCCTTTGCATCCCCCTCAAAAAATGGAGAAAATATAAGAAACTGGAAATTCCCCGGGGATGTTTTTGGAGTTGGAGTTGTCTATCTTGGTATTTAAGGTTATATTTATCTGTAATTTTGAACTGGTACCTTAAAATTCTGCCGTTACAAATAAAAACAGATTAACATGTTCATTGTCTGTTAAGGGACTAAAACTTAGTATCTCCTTTTTGTTTGTTTTAGTACATAGTACTTCTCTGAATCAATGGAGAAATGGATATTCACCTATATGTAAGCCTCAAATAAGATCAGAATCTCCTGCACAACTGTTACAGAGAAGAAAGAAAAGACATCTGAGTGAAACAGCATTAGGTAGGTTAAAGTGAAGATATAAGCAGTAGTGCTAAATATTAAAAATAAAAAATTCTGATCTTAACCTGTCTCATGGGAGTTTATAATCCAGAACAGCCACTAATTACACAAAACATCTATGACCCTACAAACATACAACAGCATATTCCCAGTTAATTCAGAATTATTTGTGGACTGGTGTCTACTCACTTTATGGCAATTAAGTATTTCCCTCCTGTGTTCCCTGACTACTTGTCTTCTACCAGTCATTCCCTGATGGGATTTAATCTTCAAAGTTGTGTTCTAGGCTCAAAATAGGCTAGTGCAAAGTTGCCTGACAGAAATTGATTCCCTGTGGAGATGCTGATGCAATGCAAATTCCTCAGGATTTTGAGAAAGTAAACAAGATTCAAGTGAAATACTCAAATACCTTGTTCAGTTCTCCTTAGGAGCCTATAAACTTAAGAGTTCTAAGATGATCAAGAGCTACCTTTGGAAACAAGAACTCTTCTAGTAATACAAAGGGGTTTATTTTGGAGATCTGGGACAAGATAGTTGCTGCAGTTATTGCAAATGATTAAAAAAAAAAAGTTAACTGGCAAGATAAATTAGAAACTACAGCCAAGGTGGCTGTGCTAGGCTGTAATTATACAGAATGGATTTAATCTGTTTATCTCTGGTGTCTTTAGATAGTCCATGATAAAAGACCTACCTAGTCACTATCTGATAACTATCCAGATCAGCTACAGTGTAGCAAAAAATGAACACATTCCAACACATGTCCAGAGGTTTCATTAAGCTTTTTAGTGTATCACTCTTAAGAACAGAGAAGCAGGTATTACCTAGCTTTTGAGGAACTTTCACATATGCAAACCAAAACAGAAGAAAACTTTAAAAAAAATCAGTAAGATGCAACATGAAATATACATTACCTAATATACAAAATGTTTCATTTGAATTGACTGATACTTTAGATCTAACTTCAAGTTTGATGTACATACAGGAATAGAACAAATGAAATGACATACTACAAAGAAATAACTAGACAATTCCAAAAGGGTAGGACATCTGGTCCAGCCTGTCATATGTTAATTTAATGAAAAATGATTTATTCTAGAGTATAAGAAACCTAGGAGACAACAGCCAATTTTAGTATGTAGATCCTTATCTGAAGAAACTAGCTATAAAGGCCTTTAAAAAAAAAATGGAGACATTTAAATATGGAGTATATTAGATTTTGTATTATACAGGAAGACATTCTTGTTTTAAAAGACTTGTACTAAAGTAAAGTATGGGCAATAAATAAGTAAATACATACATATATATGTGTATATATACACACACACTCTTAGAAACAGGGAACCAAAACAAGAAAAAAAAAGAACTTGGAAGAAATACAGAAAATACCAAGAGAAAGTAAACTTCTAATCGGTATCCTGAGAGAAATGAGAAAGTGCCTCTATGAAAGAACAGATGCTATTTAAAAAAAAATGAGTGCCAGAAAATAAGTACTTTTGTAAATATGTACTTTAATAGAATTTTTTCAAAAGAGTATTCAGAAGACTAAGGGCAGACGCCTCACAGAAATGAGAACAAAAAGTCAGATATGAAAAGTATGAGACTAGATAATTTTAGAGTTTTGGTAGCTCAACCACTAATAGGAATCACAAAAAACAAGAATAAAGGGATGAGATGAGGGATTATTCAGGGAACAACATGAAATATATTGGATAAAAACTGCCAAGGCCCCAGAAAATGGAAATAATTTATGGTATGACTGAGTAAAGCTCCTCTCTCTTCACTTCCTTATTTTGTTTGTTTGTTTTCTAATACATGAATTAAGAAAGGAATCAATCACCTGTCATGCAATTAGGAAAATAATTCTAATGATACCTATTAGTAATGTTTAATGTGTGACATTTAATGGCTCTTTCCACGACAGGTGAAAGAACTAAACTTGAAGAATCTGATTTTCAACACACAGGATCAGGATCCCATAGCAATTTTACTGCTGTTTCTAATGTCAACGTTTTATCAAGAACCCAGAATTCATCATCACGAGTAGGTTTTTCTGTATGTTGAACTCTAAAATTGCTTTAAAAATAAAAGCACCTGATTTTGAAAATAATTTTATGTATTTTGCTAATCTATAACAGCCTTATTTACTAGCACATATTAACATTAACAATTACCTTGTTAGAAAACAATAAATCTGACTCCATACAACTTATTTTTAACTATGAAGCTAAAAGTTCATTAATATTTGGTTATAGCTTTTTCTGTTAAAAATTTAAATTTTATCATGTTCATCTCTATTCTTTAACATATGAAGCTAAATAAAGTCTTACTAATGAGAATTTGGGACTTCTGTTGTTCTTATTCTGTTTTGTTTTGGTTTGGTTTTTTGTTATCTGGCCAGGGAATAGAGAGGTGGGAGGCTTTAGAAATGAAGAGTCTGAAGCTCAGGAACCAGAAACACAGACATGAAGAGCATACTCAAGGGCTGACCAAAAATATCTCACCGCCTTTCCTAATAAAAAGTGGGTTTGTTACTGATCAATTCATTGACATTTAGGGCGATATGTGCTAGTTTTTTCTGATAAAGTGTTTTACATTTTAAAATATATTTTTATGGTCTTCAAAATAAGCTAGTGCCCATGCACACATAAATACACATTACACATCTACCAAGAGACTGTTCTGGTTTACAGAAGGCAGAAATATTTTCTTACTTGGTTTTAACATATTTTAGTCAGATTTTGTAACAATGTATTTATAAAAATTATGCAACAGGTATACTGTCATATTATCTTTCTATAACTGATGAAAGGAGGGTATCATTACAACTATACAGTACCGTAAAACTACTGTCATCCTGTTTTGCAGAATACTGCACGACGGAGATTGAGAAGCGAAAGCTCTTACGACATAGATAATATTGTGATTCCCATGTCATTAGTAGCCCCAGCTAAATTAGAGAAACTCCAATATAAGGAAATACTCACTCCAAGGTATGTATACTTACATCTTCATATTTTTCTTCCTTCCTTCCTTAATAAACTTAAATTTCCAAAGTGAAGTTAGAATTTTAATTAATGAAAGGAGGATTCTTCTCCCAGTTCCTTCCCTATAGCCATAGAGGGGAAACGGCGAAAAATAAAACATTACTAATGCCTTTAGAAAAAGTGTTACATAGTATCACAACTTATTTCTCAGTTTTTATTAAGATTTGGGTATTCCTAGACTAATTTACTTCAGCATTCTTAGTCTTTTTTTCATTCAGTGTCATTTAGTTATCTACTATGTAAATGACACTAAAAGTTACTTTAGTGACATAAAAACTATAGCAACAAATAATCCTTGCCCTTAAAGAGAACAGAGTGGCCTACGTTGCAAAGAGTTCTGCGTTTTCATGGGGTATTCACACTGTAAGACAGTAATACCTGTGACAAAAAAAAAAAAAAAAAAAAAAAAAAAAAAAAAAAAAAAAATGTATTGCCACGTCAGCAATAAACACATTTAAAAGATGAGTGGGAAGGCCTGGAAAGTCATCCATGAAGGATGGGAAGGTGGAAGGGCATTTACATAGGGATACCACAGACCAAGTGTGTAAGGCTTAGCCAGATACTGTTTTCTGCAGGTTGATAATGGAAGGTTAGAAACAAAGTTAGGTCCAGATTGTGGGAAGTCCCTGAATGCCATGCATAGATCTGCTCCCTACTAGCAGTAAAGTTAGCCAAATTTTTTGGAAATGATGAATGCAGTTTCTTAAGAATATAAATATGACACCAGGAAGTAGAGACAGAAAAGGTTGCAAACAGAGACAGATGGGTAATTTCAGTTAATTGCTATACATCTCTATTCTAATTTCATTACTTCATAATTAAATAAAATTTAAAAAGAAATTATGAAATTTGAGGTATTAAGAGAACGCTAATTTTTAGAAGAGTTCTCCTGTGATAACTCCTGTCATCTGTGGATACCTGTTGCATAAGTAATAAATCACATTTGTGGCTATGATGTTCTATAGCAAAAATATATTTCAACTTGAGATGGTAGGCTGGAGCTAGCTGGTTGAGCAGATTGTTAAATGTAGACGACTTCTGTGAGCCAGTTGTTAAACTACTGATGGCTCAGAAGGGGCTATGGTAGGCAAGCATTTTCACACCAAAGAAATTGGCAAACATACAAATCAGGACTTCTTTCCTTCTCTCTTACTTTTTGGCCAGGCCAGTTTATCAGCATACCACTGACTTAATTCAGTCAACACATAATTATTGTATATGTATATACAATAAGTATATATATGTAATTGTGTATCATATATGTATAAAATGCAGCTATACAGAACAGACTGTTCAACATTAAGGCCAAAAATAAAGTCTCATTTTTTCTTTTGTCCCTTTCTCATAACCCAAATATTTTTTCTTTTAAAAAAATTGAGTATTAAAATACAACAATTTGAAATGGAAATTTCCATGGAAATGCCAAGGAAACCCTAAACATAGAGCTGAGCTTAGAGTATAAAATTGCCACATTTAGATAAATAAAAGCTGCTTAAAATTGGTTTTTATCTTCAACAGCTGGAGGATGGTTGTTCTTCAGCCTTTGGATGAATATAATTTAGGCGACGAGGTAAGCTGCCTTTCACACAATGAGATAATTATACATTATGTATTATGAAGCCTGCTTACTTTTGACATTCAGGGAACAAAAGGAATATATACTTACACTGATTTTTTTTCCTTTTCACTTATGAAAAGGAAGTTATTTTAAAAGAATATTCAAAAAAATGTTTTGTGCAAATTTGACTATAAGCCTAACATACAAATACACAAGAATTTTAAAAAGCCAAAAAATACAGTATTTGTGAGTTTTTGACATACTGAATTTGCTAAATATACCTTCATTCTCAGTATTAATCAGTTTTCTGCATGAGATTAGTCTCATTATTCAAGTTTAAGTGCCATTTTCAGAATCTTAGTGCCTATTTGCTCTTCAGTTTGGAAAATTCTGGACTTTAGAAGAGTAATGTGGTATGTATCTCATGTCATACTTGTTGAGTCTAGGGTAGTTCTCAAAACAGTAATCAGACATTAATGTTTTTGTAGTGAAATATTCATAGGAGTCTATAAAAATAGCCTCACACCATTTCAGAGGCTGTGACATCATATGAATTATGAAAAATTTGTTTTTGCAGATTTTTGGATTTTGGAGTTGCAGGTAAGGGGTTATAAATATGTATGGGTAAAATTATATCAAGAATAATTATAGGGAAAAAATACTGTGTAACCAAACTAATTCCAAAGTGCTGGTCTCTAAAAGAAGACACTGTTGAAGACACTTAATTTCTGTCAAATAACAATCTTTCTATGCTCAGTGGTCATGGTTTCCAACTACCAAAATTTACCTTTTAATGACCTTTCCTCTTCTAATGTATTCTTCCTTACTTCTGAATGATCCTAGCCAAGAAACCCAAATTCTTAAACACCATAACCAAGGTAGTGTTCCAGGTTCGAAATCTAGATAAGCCATTCATTAAATTAATTTCGATTTATCTAAGATAATTAGTTTTACTTTTCTCTGATACTAACATGTTCTTAGAATAGTGTGTGCTCCACAATGGACAATCGATAAAAACTCTTGAATGAGTAAGGCTCTACACTCAGCTGTAGCAAATGGAAAATACTGTGAACTCATTTGTAGTCTACTGAAGTCTTGAGATATGAACCAGTAGTAAGCAAGCTTTTAAGAAAGTTTGAGGCTACAGTGAGCTATAACTGCACTCACTGCAGGCTGAGCAACAGAGATCTGTCTCTAAAAATAATAATTGTAAAATAATTAAAACAACCTGACTCCCCCTTTTCAGGAACTTGAAGCTCATCTCGTAACATTTGTTCCCTTGACTTACAGACAGCCTTTATTTCAGTCAGCTTCCTACTGTTTTCTATGTGAGAAACTTTTTAAAACCTTGAAACCTGATTTTTTTTTTTGAGACGGAGTCTCGCTGTGTCGCTGGAGTACATTGGTATGATCCTGGCTCACTGCAACCTCCACCTCCTGGGCTCAAGCTATTCTCTGCCTCAGCCTCCTGAGTAGCTGTAATTACAAGTGCCCACCACCATATTCGGCTAATTTTTTATTTTGATAGAGACAGGGTTTCACCATCTTGGCCAGGCTGGTCTTGAACTCCTGACCTCATGATCCACCTGCCTCAGCCTCCCAAAGTGTTGGGATTACAGGCATGAGCCACCGCACCTGGCCTCATCTTATATTTCAAAACGTTTCTGATTAAAGCAAAAATCTTTATTTCTAATTCCAGATGGAAGATCTTTCTGATGAAGTCTTCTACCTAAGGCACAAAAAATATGAAGAGAGAGAGCAAGCCAGATGGTCATTATGGGAGCAAAGCAAATGGCACAGAAGAAACAGCAGGCAGGTTACAAATGTAAAACCCCAAACCATAGAATCCATGTGAAATGAACAAAACCTCTGCATGAATTTTGGGGGAGACCACTAAAAAGGAAAACATGATGATGTAACATCAGCTATTCGTGCATAGAATGAGCTTATATTCAAAATATATTTGAACTAATTATGTAATGATAACATTAGTTCTGTATTTTACTATGGTTCTTAAAGCTGTCAGGCTCAGGAATAGATTTAACTAACAAATAATGTGAAAATTCTCTGTGTATATAAAGTATGTCATTTTGATCAACTTTTACAGTGGACCCAACACTGGGGACTGGAGTTTAAGTAATCCATTTTAACATCACTACTTCCAAAATACGTTTTCCTTTAAAAATAAAAAATTTCTCAAGAAACCTGTTCAGTCTAAAAAGCCTAAAATACTTTTAGAAACACAAATGGGCTTTGAGGGAGTGGGAAATAAATCAGACATGATTATTATATATATGAGAAAATCCCTGGTATTTTATATTTATTATACATTTGATAATTTTTAATATAGCCAAAACTCAAAAAGCAAGATTGTGTGAAGTCTAAGAGTCACTTTAGTTAAGGAGCATCTTTCATTTAAGTCAGACAAAACATAAAAGCAAACAAAATACACAACAAGAACCAAAAAACCCCACTTACAATTGGGTAAAATATTTCATAAAGTATTATTTCATTCTCTTAAGTATGAGTATGAAAATCATAAATAGCATCAGGAAGATCATCAGAGGAATTTTTAAAAATCCTTTGGGCAAAATGGTTTAAAGTTACCAAGTTAACTTGACTCAGTGATATCTTGGGTTGTTCATACATTTTCAAAAAATACCAAATAATTGTGTTTTCCTCATTTTCTTGCTAGAGCTTACAGTAAAAATGCTGAAGGACAGGACTTGCTTTTGAAAGAATACCCTAATATCTTCAATAGCAGGCAGCAATGTGCTGCTGCAAGTCCTTCTGAGCTTCTTTCAGAGAACCATGATCTGTGTACACATGGCTTACCTTTAAATGAAAGTCAAGAAACCAAGGTAAGTGTAATATATATAATTAAACTCCCCATTCCTTACCTTTTAACTACTTGTTTGTAGAAACTGCTTTTTACAAATTAAGTTTCTAATATCATTACATAACAAATTCAGTTAAGATAGGTATGGAAGATCTGTATTCCACCATTTTGTGTCCACTACTAACTACAGTCACTTTGTGTAACAAGTCAATTCAAACTTCCAAATACTCATTTATCTATTAGAGAATGGAGGTACTGTCAAAGATTCATTACAAAACAAACCTGATTAGTGAAGAATAGAACCTGCTACATGGGCCAAAGTTAGCTATTTCTTTCTCCTCATATCTAAGATTTTTACATGCCTCACCAGACCTAGTTCCCACCTCAAAGGGATTGCTTTCTAACACTGCATCCATAAAGTTCTTACACCTTTCTTCATAAACAGATATTGAAAAAGAACTAGATCTAGAATGGAGAGTAGAGATTACAGAATTAATAGGCAAGTTGCAGAAAGCTAAGGCAAGAAAAAGTTAATAGATAACTTTAAGAATGAAAATGAAGATATGGCACAACTAATCAAACCTAAAAACACTTTCAAAAGGGGCTTTCCCAAAGTGATCTTAGATTGGAAATAAAGACCACTGCCTATGGCAGCATTTCCTCTTCTTGGCAGAGGCAAAGTAAAAAAATGATTCCCAAAAGTCACTAAACAATTCTCAATATATTCCATTTTGAGATGCTAGACATTAAAGTTGAAATGAAAATTTGTACATTTATGTGCTAAAAGAACAGAACAAGTTATTACAGTATGGACATTTAGAGATTACTTGTTAGATGAATTTAAACAAGTAAGTTGAAACTTAACTGAAAATGTTTCCCCTTTCAGTCTTTGTGGTGGGAACGACGGGCTTTTCCACTGAAGGGTGAAGACATGGCAGCCTTATTATGTCAAGATGAAAAAAAGGATCAGGTTGAAAGGTCAAGCACAGCTTTCCATGGTGAAATCTTCTGTACCAGTGTACCAGAGAATAGCCACCATCCAAAAGAACAGTCAGATGGAATGGAAGAATACAAAACCTTTCGTCTAGGACTGACTAATGTTAAAAAAAGCAGGTGACAGGGAACAGGTTAAGAAAACTATGTAAATGTAGGAAAGATAGGAGGAAATAAAGCCCTGTTCTGGATCCTCTATCCCCTCCAGAATGAGAGCATGTTCTGCATGTATTAATCTTTTATGCTGTTTAAGAAACAGGCAAGATAAGTCTGTTTTTCCTTCTGGAACCACAAGGGTAACCAGCTTTTCATCTACAGACAAGTGGTAGTCATTTGTGTTTATCATGCAACTTACAGACACCAAGATATTAACTGCTTCAATTTGATGTCAAATCACATTACTGGGTAATTTTAAGACTATGTACCCACATCATACATTCACACACATATATACACACATACATACAAACTTGTGCGCCAAGTGACAGCTATTCTTTGTTTATATACATGGTAATTCATTAAAATTGCCTTAGTAATATATTAGAATATATAAATATATGTGTTTAAAATAAATATACATACACCCCCCCCAATGTAGTTTTAAAAACACTGGTAATGACCCACTCCACTTGGAAATGCATGTATGAACTACTCTATGAAATGTAAGCTGCAGTATATATAAAACACAGATTTCCACTCATAAAAGACATCTAAACGTCTTGAATATAGAGACGGAAGGTTTTGTTTTGTTTTTGTTTTTTTTAGTTTTTTAACATGTTTAACCAATAGAAGTTATTTACAGAAATTCATATACCAGATAATACAAAACTCCTTTATTCAAAATCACTGATATCTTTTGGACTAAACACAGGCTTTCTGTTTACTCCCAACAGAATAAAGCAAGCAAATCTGAGTTAAATATTGGTGCACTTTAATACTATCACATCTTTGAAAACTCAATTTGAGTTTTACCTATTTAATGTGTCTCATGAAGACACCAATTTAAAATGAGCCACAAACAGTAAAGTCCTATCAGTATAAAATTTGAAGGAAAAAAAAAAGATGATTGTATTTCTAGATTAGCAAGAAATTAGTAATTCTGGCTGATTTCTATTTCTAGCTAATTTGGTCATTCTTTGCCATAGCTTACTCTATTCAAATAAACATCTATTCTTACTTGCATCCTAGATTGGGAATTAAAAGTTTCCAAAGGACTATGTTTCAATATTGGATACTGAAGAGTATACATTAAAGAAAATTCCTTCTGAAGTTATGAAACCATTTATATGTGAAAGTTGAGGACAATTTATATATAAATCACTTTTTGCCATGTAAAAAAGGTTATTCAAGTTTAGTACCTGCATAACTGAAAATATTGGCCATTTGGCCTAGTCTGTGAGATTTAACACTAAGTTTTTGTTAGAGATTGAAAATTCTACTAGTCCTTTTAAAGGGTAAAAAATTCAAATTCAATACTAACAAACTTTTGCTTGTAGTTTTACTGTACATTTATTTTTAAAGAAAAAGAAAACAAAAGCCAGACAAACCCAAGTTGTCCAGGTAAACAAACTCAAATCTTTATCACATCTGATATTATAATCTTCTATGTAAGTTTTTTAATTAAAGTTATTTCTATATGCCTTGTGTTGTTTGACCGTTATTAAATGCGACCTATTCATGGCACAAAGCTTTTCCAAGCAAGCTTTCCCAAGCTGAAATAAAAATAAACATGAGCAAATTTTTACCTTATAATGCAGGAAAAACACCCAAGCAAGCTCTAGTCTATGCTTCAGTGTTAACATTCTTACTTTTTTAACCTTATTTCTCGAAACTCATAGTAGCCTCAAGAAGTTTATTGATACTGGTCCTGATATTTCTTGCCATATTTATAACAAGAGTATTTATAGGAATGAAGTAGCTGACACATATCTTTAGACTCTGTGTAATTTAGAACACAGTTATAAATACTCAGTTTATGGATTGACTCTGCATCCTGTCATCTTTCAGCCTACCTGATCTTTCCTGGAATAAAATAATATATCCTTGAGGTCAAGATCCATAGTTCCAGAATATTCTCAGCCATCTGGTTCTGCTATAGGGTAAAATTAGACTGGAAATAAGACAATGTTAAGTAAAAAGCTTCTTTTGCCCTACTCACCTCCCAAGGGCTCCATTTGTAAAAAGAGTACAGATCAGAAATGCTACCGCTTTCCAGGGAACCATCCTACTGTTAATTTCTTCAGTTTTTAAATGGGGACAAAAATATCTGCTTTATTACCACTTGCAGAGGTGATTTACAGAGTTAATGAGAATGTATTGAAGTACTTTATAACTCGCAAAATATAAACTTATATAATGGTAGCCACTTTGTATTGAGCATATTCTAAATTCTGGGACTAGTACTGGAAACTTTACATATATAGTATTACTTCTTAATTTGTATTGAGCATATTCTAAACTCTGGGACTAGTACTGGAAACTTTATATATATAGTATTACTTCTTAATTCTCAACACAACCCCACAGTTGTTCTAATTACATTCAATGTATAAGTGAGTTCAGAGAAGCACAAAAAGGTTGGGTGATTTGTTAAAGGTCCAGCTAGAAAGCGGCAGCTTCAGAATTCAACCCAATATTACTTCCAAACAGAGGCTTTACTTTTCCTTTCTACGCAGAGGTAACACAACAGCATTATTTAACCTTAAAAATGGTGGGGAGGAATCACTGAATAACCTGCTTTGACAAACGCCTGGATAAAATCTATGCTTGTATTTTAGAACCCCTGGGTTTCACACATTGTTTTCATAGTTTTTACACATCAAGTGTAAGGTGAAAAGTAATAAATTTTGAGAACCAGTAATATGGTATGCCATGCCACCAAAATTTGTATTTTAAAATTCCATTCAACTTGTATTTCCAAGCATATAAACAAATCACGAATAACATGAAAACCATAAAGACTTCCTCTGCTTTTGGAAAATAGCTGAGAAACAACAAAATGCTTTTGAGAAATACAGAAAAAATTTGTTTTTGTAGTGTAGCTAATATGCCCTCATTAGGCATTAAGACACTTTTCTGTTTGTAACCTTAATGCAGCCATAGTTTTACTCTATATAAAAATCAAGTTTCTTAATAAAAACAGTACTTACTCACTAATCGTTAAATTGCATCACTAAAAATGTAGTTATACACACCAATTTCTAACCTTTCAGACTATTCTGCACAACCAATTTTAATCACTGGAATGAATAACTGCTCAAAAAAGCAGTACTGCTTCACTTGCATTATGATTTGGTAGTCAATATTCCTGTTTTCCAATAAAAGGGAGATTTCATGAACAGAAACATTGGGCTCCTTATGATTCATCGATCAAGAGAACGTTTCTGAGCAGCTTCTGAGCAAACATTTCTTAATAGGTTGATCACAGATCTGGGGTCTTCGCTCCTCATAATAGCACTGCCAGACACAATCATGTTAGCTCCTGCCTGGAAGAAGTAAACAGTTAGGTTTCTCAAAGGAAAATGTCAAAAAACCTAAAACAGAATTCCTGGACTAGAGTGTCTACCCTTGCATTTACCAACATTTCAATCATATGAGAGCCACTTTGAGATTAAGTAGACTTAAGCAATCCAGTTCAATAAGGAAATTTAAAATGTTCACAAATGAGGATGTGAGATTATTTTTAAATGTGTCTAAGAAATCACTGACCTTTCTGGTAAACCAACTCTTAATGGTATCACTGCTATTCTACATGGTATCATTTCTACTCTTAAGCCTTTACTCCTCAGTTCCACTAAGGTTTTCCCAATATGCACCAATGCCTCTACAGTTACTTAAAAAAAAGAAAAATTTTAATCTTTGAATTATATTTATATGAATTTGTGAGTATGAAAGGACAACTATTGCTAAAATGTGAAATTATCCATAAACTATGGCAAAATTAAAGTGATTTCTCATTTTTGTGTCAAAAAATGGAATGTCTCTTTATACTTCATTGCATTCCAGAATGCTTTCGAAGCTTTTAAAAAAGTTTTTAAGGTACTTTTAAATATGAAAGCAAAGAAACTAAAAAGAAAAGCTAGTAACACTGGGTCCAAATTTAACTCCAAGCTTCCTAGGATTTGATTTTGAGGACAGAAACCCAATCTATTATGTGATTCATTGCTAAAACATAGAGGGAGAAGTGGAGGAACCACACAGGCTGAGGAAAATTTTTCCAGACAGACATTGTCACTATGTGTGACAACATTTCAATAATATTCCTCATAGAAATTATGAAGGTGAATTTTATAGGGACAACACTGCATGTATCTCTTTAGTTAACCCATTTATGACTAGTGTTCCATTAATGGAATGCTAACTTTTTGGGAGTTCTTTATATTCTACTGTTTAAGGTCATCGCCAAGGTCTGATTTTTCACACAAAAAATTATGCAACCTCCAGCATAAAAGCAGGAATAGTATAATGGCAAAACACAGTTCAGTACAAAGCAATTCCACAAGCAAAAAAGAATATGCACTCGCTGACCATCTAGCCAGCCCCTCCTGCATAAGTATTGACTACTATCAAGCTTTTGATAGGTATATATCAAGCAGAAAAGTGTGGCAGTTGTACTAGAACCTGGAAGTAGATACACCACATTGTTGAAGAAAAGCAAGTCATGTGAGCTTTAATCACCTGTGGTACTACCAAAAGGCTGGCATCCTCAAGAGACCAACTATGCTAGACTAGCTATCTGAAAAAAAAGTTTAAAAAACTTTATCTTGCTTCTATATAGACGGCTAAAGAGGTAATACAGAGAGAGCCAAAGGGGTATCCGGCCTAGATTTTCATCAAAAATGGTTCTAGCAAGTTCTTACAAGGAACAACTAAGTAACATCTAGGTTCTAAAGAATAACGTAATAATTAAATAAATTAGATTTCCTTTTTTCCCCTTTGGTAAGGAGGTATCTTTTAATTCCACATTTTAGAAAAATTTCTCACTTCCAAGGCCCTGAAACAATGCTCTTCCAAAGGGCTGAAATTCGACATACTGTTTTTTAAAAAAGAACTGTCTTCAGCCTTCCTGAGACAACCAGGATTTACTATTTAACAATCTATGTGATTTTAGAATATCCACTTATGGGCCGGACACAGTAGCTCACATCTGTAATCCCAGCACTTTGGGAGGCCAAGGCAGGCAGATCACTTGAGGCCAGGAGTTTGAGACTAGTCTGGCAAACATGGTAAAACCTCATCTCTACTAAAAATATAAAAAGTCAGCTGGGCATGGTGGCAGGTGCCTGTAATCTCAGCTACTCAGGAGGCTGAGGCAGGAGAATTGCTTGAATCCGGGAGGCAGAGGTTGTAGAGCAGAGATCACACCACTGCACTCAAACCTGGGCCACAAAGGGAGACTCTGTCTCAGAAAAAAAAAAAAAAATCCACTTGTAGCTCTTTATTTTCCTAGTTGTACACGTAAACAAAAAATACTTTTCCAAGAAAGAAAAGTCAACATAGGAACCATAGAGGAAATCACTGGCCCATGAGACAATGTCCTAGAGATGTATCTGACAGGAAATTGGTCTAGTCGTAGTTGAAGAGCAATCTCACCTCTGCACACTTATGGACAGTGTCAGGACCTACTCCACCATCGACCTCTATATCCAAAGACGGGAACTGGGTCCTCAACCAGTGAACCTAGATATACATGAGGAAATAAGTAACTCCTGAAGTAGATATGTGGGGTGAGGGGGAAAACCAAATAAACAAAAAAATCCAATAGCCAATATTAGCCATTAAAACTCCAATTGTCTCACACAATTAGTATACCAATTACAACATTATTACTGGGGAACACTTGGTTTAATAGCAAGCTTTGTTCTGTTTGGAAAACAGCAATCTGTCATGTCTTTGCAGAGACTGTATGTCATGGAAACGACAGAGATAAACCCTCAATAGTCAATGACAACTTCCAAGAGATCTAAAAGCTACAGAAAAAATAGTTTCAAAAGAAAATTTCAAGATTGCCAGGCGTGGTGGCTGACGTCTTTAATCCCAACACTTTGGCAGACCAAGGCAGAAGGACAGCTTAAGTCCAGTGGCTCAAGACCAGCCTGGGTAACACAGTGAGACCTCCTAATGGTGGTATGCACCTGCAGTCCTAGCTACTCAGGGGGCTGAGACAGAAGGATCTCTTGATCCCAGAAGGTCAAGGCTGCAATTAACCCTGACCGCATCACTCCATTTCTAAATAAATGAAAAGAAGCCCGGGTGACAGAGAAAGACTTTGTCTCAAAGAGAAAATTTCAAGATAAAGATGTAATACATTTCGAATTTCCCAATCAGAAATCTATTACAGCATTTATTACTTGGTATTAGAATGATCTGTAAGCATCCCCATCTCCTCACCTTCAGAATAGGTTATGTCTAAATATACAAGCCTTTCAATAAATGCTTGCGGAATGAACACACAGTAAAAGCCTCAACCCAAAATCAAATACTTCTTTTACCTTTGGCATCATGTCTTCCATAAATTTCTGCCCTCCAAACCCCGGTTCCACTGTCATAACCAAGGCCATATCTATTTGATTAGCCCATGGTGCCAAATACTCAACTGAGGTTCCTGGTTTGATGGCAAGGCCAACCTGTAACAGAGACAAATATGCTATATCACATTAGCAATTACTTCTGTATTATGTTATTGTGGCATAGCAGGCCCAGTAGAACTATCTATTCCCATTTTTAGAGAGTTAACAAAACTATTAAATGTAAATATTTCCAATAGGCAGTAGCTTTCAGGAAACATTAGTGGAATATATAAGTGCTATTTGACAAAGAAGTTAAACACTGGCTTCACAGCTGAAGAACAACTGCGTAAGTCAGGTATTCTTTACCTGCAGTGGGCCCTGACTAGGCCACTGCACTTTAGCCTGAGCAACAGAGCAAGACTCTGTCTCAAAAAAAGAGAAAATTTCCCATTTCCAGCAAATCTTTCTACCTCTGAGAATAAATGTTACAAAACACTCTCGTCACTCATTTCTTACCTTCATCCCATTCTCCCGAATGTCTTTAATCAAAGCCCCTGGGTTCTCAGTGGCCTCAAGATGAAAGGTGTACTGATTGGCTCCTGCGATAGCCATTGGCTTTACCCACTGTTCTGGCTTGGACACCATCATGTGCATGTCTGGAAAGAAAAGACACTTCAAAATATTACTGAAAAATACCTGGCTCATGTCATTGGAAGACAACCTACATGCAGTTTTTGCCACTTTGGATATGAACTCTTTGGGTATCACACAGATCATTATTTAAATAGTTGTATTTCAGTATTAGGTAGTTTTCTCTTATATGAAGACAGGATTTATTTAAATTCATTTACAAAAAAACTACTTTCCCACAGAAAGCATATGGTGCTATATAAGAAAAGTTAACATCTAAAAATCAGGAAATCTAAGTCCAGGTCCAGGAAATGCCACTCTAAAAAACTTAAAGAATATGTCATATTATCTGTGCAGACTAGTTTCCTCTAGGAAAAATTAAGTGATTCTTTTCATTTATTCTTTCTCCTCTAGGAAAAATTAAGTGATTCTTTTCATTTATTCTTTCAATTTATTGAGCAGTTACTGCACCATTAATTATTTTAGGTCCTAGAGTTAGAGCAAAAACAGGAAACTCTCCTGTTATAGGGATAACGTTTTTAGTGGAAGAGTCAAAAAACAAACAAAATAAAATATACACTAGGCTGGCAGTTAATATGGCTGGTGTGCCTGGGGAAGGAGATACACCAGTCAGAGATCAGGGACGCATGGTGAAAAGAAACCCTATGGCATTCTGCAGGCCACTGGGAAAAACCACCACAGTGTAGTGACAAGATACAACTGAGGAAGCTACGACAGCAATAACCCAGTTGAAAAATGATGGCAGCAATTCAGAATGGATATGTTCTGAAATAAGAGCAAAGAGAGTTGAGGATGGATGAGATGTAAAGAATGAGAGGATCCTCCATGGATGGATGGATGAGAGGAAAATAAAGATTGTGCCAAGGATTTTGGCCTTATCAACTAGAAGAGCAGAACTACCATTAATTGAGAGGCAAAAGACTGCAAGAAGAACACATTTAGGGAGAAGGACATGTTAACGACAAGAAACCTGATATTCATCCTAATTCAAAAGATTCATATAAACACATAAGGTGAAAACGGACATGGACTTCTTAAAGATTTTGACTTAAAACATAATACCATTTCATGAGGAAAGGGTAGTTTAAAACAAGCTAAACCAAGAAATAACACATGTGAAGAGTCCTGTGTTTGATAGACGGTAGAGAGGAGAAGTTTTGAGTTTTTTGTTTTGCTAGAGGAAGCACATTTCTGTCACAGCCAAGCTATATTTAAGAAAAAAAATTCCAACATTCCAGAACAATAAAGCCTTGGGAAAAAAGTCAGATAAAGACAGTACAAAGTTTGACTAATGAAGTCAAGATTAATGTTTATATTTCTAATCCAGCAAAAGTAATTATATGAGAACCTATTTTAATTTTTTAAAAATAGAGATGATCTCTCGCTGTTTTCCAGGCTGGTCTTGAACTTTTTGCCACAAGTGATCCTCCCACCTTGGCTTTCCAAAGTACAGGGATTATAGGCATGATCCACCACACTGGCCTCAATTAGAACATATTTAAATAGGTAAAACGTTATTCTTAAAAAATATATTAAATCTGGTATTTCTTATTTCTTTGTATTATAAGCGAGGAAAATTCAAGCTGGTTTAAAATACCTACTTTATTCATTCCTTAAGTTACCAGACTGTTAGCTATGTCATCCTTACTCTATCTCTAGCATCCAGTAACCACTAGCAACCCTCAATGGAGAATTTCTATGGTGTTCAGGATGTTAATGGTTCAGAAAATCTGTATATAGTTAACATAAGATCAGCAATTCTCAAACATTCTCATTATCAGGCTCCCTTTCACACTCTTAAAAATTAACAACTCCAAGAAACTTCTGTTGATATGGGTTATATTTATAGATATTTAATGTATGCGAAATTCAAACTAAGACATTTTAAAGCATGCAATTTTTAGCAGGTATGGTGGCCCACACCTATAATCTCAGGAGGCTGAAGAGGGAGGATGGCTTGAGCCCAGTTTGAGACCATCCTGGGCAACATAGCAACACTCCTTCCCAACAACAACAACAGAATAATTAGCTAGGCATGGTGGTGTGTTCCTGTAGTCCCAGCTACTGAGGTGGAGGGGGCTGGGAGGAGGACTGCTTGAGCCCAGGAAGACTGAGGCTTCACTGAGCTACGACCACTACCACTGCACTCTAGCCTGGGTGACACAGCAAGACTGTGTCAAAAAAAAAAAAAAAAAAAAAAAAACTCCATTGCATATTAATTAAGAGTGGCATTATTTGTTTTACATTTTTGCAAGTCATCAGTGTCTGGCTTAACAGAAGATACCTACGATCTCACAACTGTTCTGTATCCAATCTGTTGTAATACAGATATCCCATGTTACAATGGGGTTACAACCCAATAAATTCATCCTAAATTGAAAATACTGTTGTGTCTAATTGCATTTAGTACACCAACATAACAAGTATCATAGCTTAGTCTAGCCTATCTTAAATGTGCTGAGTGGTAATTTTATAAAGGCTAGCTGCACTGTGCACTCTTGTAAACCATATCAGTGAGCTTTTCATTTTTTGTTACATTAAAACCCATTGTTTATCTTATATTTTGAATGGGTCTTTTAAGTACTGATTTACTGAGTTACATAAATCTTACAAATAGTGACAGATCTCATAGTTAATAAGTTTTTCAAAATTCTACCTTTGGCAACAAAATCTAACAAGGTATCTTTCCTCGAAGAGACAGATTCACTTAGAATTTTTTAAAATGTTGTATCAAGTCTGAAAAACCATAGTTTATCTGTCAGTTGTTCTTTCAAATAAATAAAGATAGTATTCAGGAAGAAAGTGGCTAGTTCAGATCATAACTCTACGGTGCAAGTGGTTTTCCCTGAGGAAATCATTATGCTCCAGTATGCAGCACGGCAGCACAAGTGCTTCATATGCACTTCCTACCTTGTCAGGCAAAATACTAAAAAGACCTGTATTCAAGGTCCAAGATGTATTAAAATTAATTTGTACTGCTTCATCAAGGATACTTACTGCAAATGCATGATGATGAAGAATATGACGATTCCTGATACAGTCCTTGTCTTGGAGTTGGGTTACAGTATCAGCAAACTAACTCATCAATGTTTCTGTACCATCAGTAGAAATAATGGCAAGTAATTTCCTAATATGAAAATAGTTGTGATATATCCTCATGGATGATGTGAAAAGTGTCTTAAGAATTTATATGGGTCCTTATACAACTACTTAAAAATCACTGATTCAGACAGTAACAGAAACAGACTTTTTCCTATTTCTGTATTTCTTAGATGGTTATTTCTACTCAATATGAAAATGGAACAGTTAAGAATGTTAGCATTACATACGTAATCTATGTTCTAGAATACATTCATATATCAATTATCCAACAACCAAAATCCAAGAATTAATAAATGTTTCTTAAGGTAAAAAACAAAGCAGTTGGGTTCAGTGACTTACATCTGCAATCACAACACTTTGGGAGGCCAAGGCAGAAGGATGGATTCAGCCCAAGCGTTCAAGATCAGCCTGGGCAATACAGGGAGATCCCATCTCTACAAAAAGTAAAAAAAAACCAGCCAGGTGTGGTGGCACACACCTATAGTCCTAGCTATAGCTGTGGTAGGAGGATTACTTGAACCAGGAGTTCAAGGATGCAGTGAGCTATAATTGCACCACTGCACTCCTGCCTGGATAATAGACTGAGACCATCTCTTAAAAACAAAAAAACAAGGGTCACAAAACCCAAACATTAAAGTGCATGGAGTTCATTTATCTTTTGGACCAAATTCTAGAAAGAGTAATTAGTAAGTTTCAACCAACTAAAAACAAGAAGAAAAAGCAGATTGTGTGTGGTGGCAGCAACATGGGACTAGTAAAAGGAAAGGCATCGACAGGGAAGGATACAGACAATAGTAAGGTGTGATGATGGAAGCCCAAACAAAAGGGAACGAAAAGGAAAAAAAAAAAAAAAAGCATTAAAAAAAATTCACACAAGAAAGCCAGAAGCAAGGATTCTGGCCATTGATGTACAGTGGGAGCAAACAATGCTATTTATTTCATCCACCTCTCATGGTCATGAGAACAACTTTACTTCATAGGAAAAGTCATGGTATCTGCTATATAAGCTAATTGTGGCTTCAAAAAAAAAAAAGTTTAGATAATCGGAGGACTATATCCCATTACACGGAAATTTCAAAATGGGGAACATATTGGTGGAACACTGTTTCTTCATGCCACATAAATGAGGTAATAATGTACATTTTCTTTGGTGCACTGAAAGTAGATGGATGCTATACAGAGGCTGGGGGCTGTACCCAAAAGAATTTTTTGTGATAGTGTAAATGTCCCATAGTTGCACTATACAATATGTGACTACTGAAGACTTGCAATGTGATTAATGTGAATAAGAAACCGAATTTTTAAGTTTATGTAATTTTTTAAGATGGAGTCTCACACTGTCACCCAGGCTGGAGTGTAGTAGAACAATCTCAGTTCACTATAATTTCCCCCTCTCAGGTTCAAGGGATCCTCATGCCTCAGCCTCCTAAGTAGCTGACATTATAGGTGTGCAACACCACACCCAGCTAATTTTTGTATTTTTAGTATAGATGGGTTTTACCATATTGGCCAGGCTGGTCACGAACCTAAGTTTATTTAATTTTAATAGCTACATGTGGCTTATGACTACTATAGTGAACAGCATAGAGTCCTTCATAAAATTGGTCATCAACATGCTAATTATAAAGAATCTAAGTTCTACTAAATTCTAAGTTATATTAAAAAAAAAAAAAAAAAAAAAAAAAAAAAAAACACTATTTATGGCTAGGCGTGGTGGCTCAAGCCTGTAATCCTAGCACTTTGGGAGGCCAAGGCAGGTGAACTGCTTGAGCCCAGGAGTTCGAGACTAGCCTGGGCAACATGGTAAGACCCAGTCTCTATTTAAAAAAAAAAACAACAAAAAAAAAACACTATTTATAAAAACTTGTAAAATTTCTTATGTTTAAGAGACCTGGCAGGTAAGACATTGCTAACTTAGTATAAATCACTTGTAGGCCACTAAGTAATTTAAAAAATCTTAATTACATTGTACTATGACATTGGAGTGAATATTTAGGCATCACTTGCAGAAAGCTCCAATTCACACAAAATAAATGGCTTCTAGACCATGTATCAACTGATTCATAAATTCATTTAACAATTACACTGAGCCCTGATCATGTCTATGCTTAGCTTTAGGAAAACCACAGTAAACATGGTAGATTCCATCCCTGCCCGCAGAAAGTTTATAGTCTAACAAAAGTAATCTCAGATCAAAGGAAGCTCTAAAAGGAAAATCAACAGGTGATAAGATAATTGGATAAATGTTAATTTGGGAGAGGGCAATCAGAAAGGCTTCTCTGAGGAATTAACAAATGACTTGAGGCCCAAAAATGAGGCAGCCAGCCAAGCTACTACTACTGCCTGTTTCCAGGCAGATTAGCCAAGGCCCAGAGGCAGGAAGATGTTTGGCTTGCTACCAGAGTCAGGCTAATGAAATCCCAGCACAGGGAAGTTGGGGAAAGGGTGCCAGATGAACTTGGAAGTTAAAAAATCAACCATCCAGTTTTCCTTTACTTGAGCAACACATCCAGCTTCAGATGGCGTAACACCCACTTACCAAAGAAAGGGTCCTGGCCTAGCTGCTTTCGAAGGCTTTCTACCACAGGGTGACCAAAGGTGATGTTGGGAACAAAATGCCTACAAGACAAACAAAATCTACTCTGAAAATGTTTTCAATTCAGTTTCTGTATCTCTCTCAATATGAATTCTGACAGGGGTTGAGGGGATTGTATGCAATGTTTTTCAATTTAATACTTAATCATCAGTATTAAATAACACTAAAAATACTAGGTTATTTTGGTTTTACAAGGTAATGTCTTCTTAACATTTCAACAAATCATGTCACATACGATTTGACTCTATAATTCATAATCCATGACAGGTAGACACAGAGAGGTGACAAAATAAAAAACCCTCAGGTTTTATGACTTGCCCAAGTCACACACTAGTTAGTAAGTCTGGACTCCTAATATTGGTCTCCTGAATCCTAGGCTGTCACAGGAGGCCTGTGGCTACTTCTAATCACTTCTATCACAGGGTACTAAATGACTGTTTCTTTAAACTTTTTAAAAAAATGACTAGTAAAGAAACATGATGTGTTTATTAATAAAGACCACCTTTCACTGAGGGTTTACTATATGCCAAGCATTGTACTTCCTTTCATCTTCACAACAGCCTTATAAAGTAGATGCTATTATTATCCCCTCTGAAGAGCACAAGATAAATAAAATCCTTAAGTAACTCAGTTAATAATTTGTGAAAGTGAATTCAAATTAAGTTTACCAGCCAGGTATGACAGCTCACGCCTATAATCCTAGCATTTTGGAAGGCTGAGGCAGGCAGATTATTAATAAAAACTTGAGGTCAGGAGTTCGAGACCAGCCTGACCAACATAGTGAAACCCTATCTCCACTAAAAATAAAAAAATGAGCCGGGTGTATTTTTACCGGTGTGGTAGCGTGTGCCTGTAATCCCAGCTACTCGGGAGACTGAAGCAGAAGAACTGTTTGAACCCAGGAGGCGGAGGTTGCAGTGAGCTAAGATTGTGCCACTGTACTTCCAGCCTGGGTGAAACAGCAAGACTTCGTCTCAAAAACAAATCAAGTCTACCAGACCCAAAGTACTTATCCTTTACCTTAATCCAGTTAATCTTTTTGTTCTATCACTAGTTCACTTAAATATTTAACAAAACCTCCTATATACAAGTAGCGTACTAGGTGCTTCAGAAAACTGTTTTGTAAAGAAATATGCTACAGTTCCTGTTTATCCTAGGAGTTTACAATCTCAATGGCAAGAGATAACAGAGATCGACAGCTAAATGACAGCTAATGACTCAATGATTTGACAGAGCTGACATCCCCAGTTCCCTTTATATCCAAGTGGCCCATGTGACTCTCACCACTGGACTGTGAGTGCAAATGATGTGTCACTGCAAAGTCCAGAAGGTTAAGTACAATTCCTTTCCTATTGCCACTTTACCCTTCTGCCAATAAAGCCCTTACAGAATGGCAGAGTCACAGGATGGAAGAACACTCACACCTAACTCTTACATGGATGAGAAACTAGAATTCTAAGCTACTGAAATCTGGCCTTGGTTAAAGCAGCAGGTATTATCCTATATGAGGATTATAAGAGAAGATATACAATAACAGGCAGGCAACATGTGATTATAGATAACACACACATAAAATAAAAGCAAGTATTAGAGAACGTTAAGAAAGAAGTTGTTCATGAGATTTACAAAACAGGATTTATGAAGAAAGATGGAAAAAGAAACAAAAGTAGAAAATGAAGCAAAAGCAGATATAAGCAAGTTATACTCAAAGACGTGGAGCGTGGTAATGACCAACTTTGGATATTGTAAAAAAGATGGGAGGTAGGTAGTATCAAAAGGTGTCAAACGCCAAGCTCAGTGTCTGGACTTCTGTCCTGCTGTAAATACGAAGTAAGATCTTAAAGCAAGAAACATTAATAAATAAGATAGAATGGGAAATAAATTGCAAGAAGGTAGGTAATTGCAACTGCCACTTGATAGGTGGCAAGGCACACTATGAATGGCAAGGAATGGTAAAACGGATGGGATCTGTTAAACGATTAGGTGTGTGGGAGGGGAGTTAACATACAAACTATGTTTAAGAGCTTACACTTAGATGAGAGGTAGAATGAGTGTTAATAAAAACCAAACTTATATGTGGGCCATACAAAGTTCTAAAGACTTTCTAGATATTAAATCATTAAAAACTCCTAACAACCTTGTGAGCTAGGTACTTTTATTACCCGTATTTTACAGATGACAAACAGAGGCCCAAGGTCACACAACCAGTTATGTGCTGGAGACAGGAGTTAAACGTCGGCACTATGGCTACAAACTCCAGGCTCTTAACTACTATGCTCATCTGCCCTTACAATGACAGCTAACAAACAAACAAACAAACAAACAACGGGGAAAAAGTCCAGTGGGGAAGAGATTCAACAGAGAGAGGTAAGGATTCAGGAGACATCTGACAGGGACAGGTAAGGTGGATGCGTACAGACACTTTCACTCAATAACACCTTGGTCTTTGGAGGTTTAACTTCTATCATTAAAAAAATTATTCTACCATTTGCCTAAGCCATGATTGTCAGGGCTGTGGATAAGACACGTGTGTTTATTTAAAACTTGAAATAAGGGTCAGAGAAGCAGGCTCTAAGGCCTATTGAATGTTTTACAACTCTGGAATTAAGGATTTCAATTTCACATACTGTTCTTTTAATTTGCTGAGTCTGAGAAATAGTTTTGTTGTCTTAACATTAGGTTTCATTTATTATGAAAATAAAAGTATAATAACCACCTCCCAAGTAAATATAGGAACCAAAAAAAAAAAATACACTTTTATTGAGAAAACCGAAACAAAACGTATAAAAATACTAACCCTAAAGTTATGTGACTTAATTTGTGCTTTTGAAAATCAATTCAATGCACTAGGTTCACAAAGTATATCAGAAGAACAAAAATGCACCAGTAGTCTCAAAAAAACCCAAAGGCTATGCTAAACCATAACAAAAAAATGGCTACACTCCTAAGCATGAAGTCAGGATGTCCCAAATTTGCCAAACAGTAAGCATGAGAGCAGTTCTAATATATTTACAGTCTCTACCTCAAGCCTACTGACTCCAAAAAGGACTGAGAATCTGAATGTTTAACAAATGCTTGAGGGAGTTAACAGACCAGTTTGGAAAACAATTATTTCGCTTTAATGGAGAGAAACTTCATTAAAAAGTCTGCATCATTATCTTATTCTGCCTCTTTTTCCTTTAAGTTATTTTCTGGAGTTAGTTAAGTCTGAAAGAAACAAAATACAACAAAAAGGTATCCCTTTCTCCCAAGGACTTACTGGAATTAAACTATAATTGTTTGTAATACAAGGATATGATTTTCTCTCTCATGTTCCATCATTAGTCCTAAGCTTTACTTATGTAATTCCAATGCAATCTACTGCAGACAGATCAAGCCTTTTACCCTATCCCCCAACAAGGCAAAGATGATAAAAGGAGAATTAGGGTCAGTATAAAATGTACAAGACTGTAACAAGAAAACAATCTTACTGTGAATCCGGAATCACAAACTCAAATGCTGCTGGGGGTTAGCAGATAACATTAAAGAGCAATACAGAGCAGATAGGGAAAGGGGCCAAATGAAGAACACGTGGCACGACTAAAGGTGGCACTGCCCCATTCAGCTCCAGCGCATGTCACCTCGTAAGACTGAGGGCCCAGTGCTGCCAAGTCTTTAGATTGCTTTCTTTTTCCAAAAGTCAGAAATCCAGTATTAATATGAAATCTCCCCAGTTTTAAATCCTGGTAACTGATTTAGAAATTATTTGCTCTGCCCCACGGTTAGAGTGAACACTTTCTAGTCACTGTCTTGTCATGATCTATTTATGTGTTTTCTAGTTTTTTTCCCCCAGAAAATACACTTGTTCTTTGTCTCACATACCCAACCATGCTAGTGCTCCATCTTCCACAGTATTACCACAACTGGTTTCTGACTTTCTAAATGAAGAAATTCAGTTGTAATCAGGGGAGAAACTGAAGGTCTTGGTGGGGAGGAGGAGACTAGAAAACAACAAGCACATCCAAAGTGTAATGCTGGATGAGATTTTTAAAAGGGGTCAGGAGAAAAAAAAACACAAAGGCAGTCTTGGGAGGGAAGGTACATTGTGGTTGGTCACCTTTCAAAGGAAAGAAAGAACACAGCCCATAAGGGCACTGGTAGCAGCTCTGTCAGGTTTTGCCTAATCTGGTGAGACATTAGGGAAGAAGCTGGTTTCCTCCTTTGCAAAAGGGGAATACAAACAGCTCTTTACTCAGAGTGTAGAGAAGATTAAAAGGGAAATAATTTTAAAACTGTGTATGCAGAATTCAGTTTTTCCAAACCAAAGTATCTCCTAGAAAAGGGGAAGAGGAATCAATAAAAAATACTTTATCTTTTAATTTTTTTTTTGTTCCTCAAACTCTGATCCATGATGAATATTTTATTGAGCTCAGTCTGCCATAGAGCTGGGAGTGGAGAAAAGTGACTCCTTAGAGACTCCTATTATGATTAAGCAGTTCATTCATTCAGCCAATGATAACTAAGCTCCTTATGGTGCTTTTCTAGCAAATAATACATAGGTGAGCAAAAAGAAGATAAATTTGGCTTTCAGGAAGCTTATAGGGTAGCAGGAGAGACATGAAATAAGTTAGCAGGAATAAGTATACAAATTATTAGTTGCTTTTTTGAGGCCAAAGAATGTCTTAATCATTCCCTGTACGCCTAGGACCCACAGAAAGCATTTAATTTGTGAGACAACACAAGCTGTTGCATTGCTTCCAATCCTGATTCCACCATTTCCTAGTTACGAGACCACTGGCAGATGACTTAACCTCTCTGTACCCAATTTTTCGCTGCCAAATGCTGGTGGTAATAACACCATCAACTTCAAACAGTTGTGTGAGTTAATTCACACACACACACACACACACACACACACACAAAGCCAGAATAGAAACAGCCAAGTGCTCTTACACATTGCTATTATGGTTATCATTAATAGTCCTGACTGGTGAACTGAAACCATTACTTTCCCCAACCATTCACTTACTCAAACATGGCTTAATTAAAACCAGACTGCTTTCTGTGTCAAAAAAGACTCACAAACATACATGTAGCTTGTTCAATCCTGTGACCCCCTAGGTGTTTTCTCAGGCACAAAAATGTAGCTACTTATCTTTGAGGTATACGCTCAGTGTCCCACACACTTGTGAGAGTTTAGAGCTTTCAAGCACAGGTGTCAAAAATAAGGTATATAAATAGAATTACATATAATGGCCAACTAAAAACCAACCTTTGTGAGAGGCAATATTTACTAACCTTTTTACACATTTAGTCTATTACTCTTAGTACTCTGTGGTCAAAGTTTTGTCTTTATCAGTTGGGTGAACTAAGGTAACTGGGTAAAACGCAAAAGAGAAACAATACATTTAACCACACAGAACAACGAAAAACAAAACTCTTCAAAGTCAGATGAATATTAAAAAGAAAAGGAAATTATCATCTTTTGAAAATAACACCCATTTGAAAATTGGGAAGAGAGTTTTTATCTATTTAAAATAAATTTATTTTTCCATCCCCACCCAAGATAACGGTGTTTATGACTTTTATAGTCAGTTAAAAGTGGGGGCTCAGAGAAGGACTTGGCAAACCCAGGAAGGGCCAAATTGCAAGTCTGTTACAATCTTCTGTAATCCTGAGGGAGTCTTACTACTTTCTCTGGGTTTGCTTCCTCATTCTATAACCAACTTCCGAAACTAGTATCCTGATTCCAAACAATATTAGGTGCTATAACTACAGTGCTTAAAAATTACTTACAAAAAACTGACCTCCCTGAAGAGCAGGGTGCCTGAAGACAGAATAGGAAAATCAGAATTTTAATAATAATGCAACTAACAATTATAAAGAACTTAATATACGCCAGGCACTTTAAACTTTACATGTAATTGCTCACTTCATCTTCCAAAGATGCCTAAGCTGTAAGTTCTATTAGTAGTTCAATTTTTCAAATAATGAAACTGAAGCTCAATTAGGTTAGTGGCTTGTCCAAGGTAACCCAGGAAGTGGCAGAACTCGGGAACCTCAGTGCAGGTGCCAAGTTTAATCGTTACAGGACTCCGTCTCCCAGCTTTGCCACTAACTAGCTATATGAGCTTGGGCAAGTCATGCTTCTCCCCTTGGGCCTCAGTTTCTCTAGCTGAAAGTGAAGAAACGTCCTAAAGATTTAAGGTCGCTTCCGGGTCCTAAGTGATGGAAGACCACACGTTACGTGGGGGGAGGGGAGGAGCTGAGATTTGGGACCCGGCCGCAACCCAGGATGCCGCGTCGGGTCCGCTCCTGCCAGGACCGCCAGGGATCCTACTCCATTCCCCTTCTAGCAACTCATTCAGAGTGAGGCGCTCGGTGGCACTGGAACGCGGCACATCAACAGGCACTCAGTAAAGGTGCGCTGATCCCGCCCCACCGCGCCGCAAGCCCGACCGGAGCCCGGAGGAGTTACCCGTCCATTACATCCAGGTGCAGATAATCGGCCCCAGAGTCTAGCATCCGGAGGCACTCGGCCCCTAAATTGGCCAGGTCGCTGTTGAGGATGGACGGGCCAATCTTGCAGCCAGACGCCATACCGCAGGTTCCGAAAAGCAAGTTATCCCACGAGTCCCCCGGCAAGACTAGCCGTCGCCCCGATTGGGCGCGCAGTCTTGGCCCCGCCCCTTCCCCCTGCAGGCTTCCGGACTCTACCGGAAGTAGCGACTCTGCGGTGAGGAAGTCCCGCCTCCTGCTGTGGTGAGGCAGTCCCGCTTCCTGCTGTGGTGAGGTGCTGTCAGGTGCTGTCCTGGACCGGGGTCTGTCACGGGGGCCTCGTCCTCCTCCTTCTGACCTTCCTTCTTGGGCTGTTTGAATCTTTAAGTCCTTGCAGTACTCAAGGCGTTCCTTAAGCTTTTTTCGCTTTGCTTCCCCTGCAGTCCCCTCTCCTCGGCTCTTGACTTCACATCACTTTGTTTCTCCACTGTTTGCAACGAGTTCCTTTCCTCCCCAGCGCCTATGCTGCCCCTTTAAAACAACAGTAAAAACCTTGCTCTCTCGTATTTCTTTTAGAGCTCTTGTTTTGAGCTGGAGGAATCCTGGCTCTGCCAGATAGCAGCTGGGTGACCTGGCAAGTCACGTCCTGCTTCGGTTTTCTCGTCTGCAAAGACAGTGCCCAGCTTCAGGTTTGTGAAGACTGAGTGAAGCCAGGTAATGCACCCAGCAGGATGCGTGGTGCTCAGTACAAAATGGTAGTTATTATTGCCCTCTTTTTCTGCCTCTGCATTTACTCATTCCTATCTTTTTTTGTTTTTCCCTCTGTTGGTGCTCAGAAAATGATACCCCAACGTGAAGGCCTCAGAGGCCACAGTGTTTCTCTGACCTCCTGCCCTGCCTTTAGTCTCATTCTCCCAGGAGGCAGGTCATAGAAACTAGAGCCCCTCTTCCCTAACAAGAGCTACTGAAAGCAGAAACCCTTTTCCCTGAAGCCAGCCGTAAAACTCCAAAGTGTTACTCTAATTTTCCTCTATCTTTCTGTGTAAAAACTGGCCATAAAAAAATTATTTGATCTACCTCGATTTTAGGTTATACAACTCCTCTTCTAGAGAAATTTCTATCCCATATCCAGGAGGAGGGTATGCTGCACAGAGAGGCCAGGAACCTAAACTAGAATGGCCAAGGCCAGGTCAGTCTATTAGCATTAGATTGCCTGTTTTGTCCAATCATATTTCTACATCGCTGTCTATACTTTGTTGAACCTAAGTATAAAAATGGGTAATCTCCCCTGTACCTTTGGGTCTTCATTCTGAAGGCTCCGGTGTCAGGTAAAATTATGATCAAGTAAGTTTCTAGCCTTTTCTCTTGTTAATCCTCTTTTTGTCAGTGATTTTCAGCAAAACTTTTGGGAGGGTGAAGGGCAAGTTTTCCCTTGGCCCCTACACCTCTCCAATGCTCATTCACAAATTGTGTAGGTTCTGAACTGTTCACACACAGTTCAGAAATGGGTAAGAGTATCCTGATGCTAAATGTGCCTAGGGTCAGGAAAAGAGAGAAGTAAAACCACATGAGGGGGAAAAAATGGAGTTAGCAAGAGCAATCCTTATGGAGTAAGGATAGAGCACTTTGTATAAAAGACAGAACTTGGACCACATGGTGTTTCTGGCCACATTGTGAGGAGCACCAGATCTTTAACAATCCCACTGGGAAATCTACCAGTTACTCTAGTAGGTTAAAGCAAAGGCAAATAAGTTTTTTTTGTTGTTTTTTTTTTTGAAAGTTAGATTTGGGCCAGGTGCAGTGGCTCATGCCTGTAATCCCAGTAGTTTGGGGGGCTGACATGGGCAGATCATCTGAGGTGAGGAGTTTAAGACCAGCCTGACCAACCAATTGGCCCTGTCTCTACTAAAAATACAAAAAAAGAAAAAGATTAGCTGGGCATGGTGGCTCATGCCTGTAATCCGACTACTCTGAGGCAGGAGAATTGCTTGAACCTGGGATGGTGGAGGTTGCAGTGAGCCAAGATCATGGCATTGCACTCCAGCCTGGGCAACAAGAGTGAAGCTCCATCTCAAAAAAAAGAAAGAAAGGTAGATTTGGAAAGCATGAGTAGAGTAGAGCTAGTTTGTGGGAAAAGGTTATAGGGAGTGTTTTGGGGGGTGTCTAATTGGATGGTGACCTCAGGCCAGACTGGGGAGGTTGAGGGTGGCCAGCAAGGCATTAACAAAGGCATACCCCTGGATCCAAAATGAACATCTTCCAGAATTAGTCAACCTCTTCCCCACATTAAGAAATGAAACATACATATCCTAAATATTTTTAGACTTATTTTATTATATGTCCATACCTAAACACAGAAGTCTTAATATCTTTCATAAATATCTTTCATAAACATTTCAGTATTTATTCATATGTATTTTTTCCATGTTCTTTGGTCATTCAGTATTCATAACAGACTTTATAGTTATCTGAGGGAAGTCGGCTGTGTAGTCAATCTTTTGTTTTTACCTATAAAATGGCTAATAAAGGATTTTCATCCTGTGGTCACAGTGACGATTCAAAGATTTATGGAGGTAAATTGATGTGTAATCCTAAATGATCCTAAAACAATATAAGTAAATTTGTCTTAAGCTTTTCCAAATACATTCTGCCCTCAACTTGTTTTTATTCTCCTGAGTGTCAAATCAAAATTTGTTTCTGAAATGCTGCAGTTGAGACCCACTAAAGTAACTGAAGTGGGACTTTTTACTCACTGCCAAGACAAGGCCATGGAATTGGAAGTGTAAGGTCACAGGGCAACAGCATGACTTGGTGTGATAGCAGCAAATTCTGGAGACTGTTTTCTATTAAAGTATCCTTTATAACTGGAGGAAGGATATTTAATTCATGTTTTGGACTGTAATTCTATTCATTTATGACCCTTTCTTCCCTAAAGGTCCTTACACACACCCTATTCTTATCTCAGATACTCTCAGAGCTGGGCAGCAGAGTGGAGAAAGTTCTTTGTTGACTAAAGGAATATAATGCTAAAAAAGAAAGGAACTATCACCTGTGTAAGGTACTCTTGGAGGCTTGAAACAGCAAACCAGTTACTCCCAGCCTGTGCAACAGGCCCTAACCAGATCACCAGTACCATAGAGTTTTCTACCAGCACTGCCATGCCCATTTATGCCTTTTGATTTTGACACTGTAGTTCTCAGTGCCTTGTCTCAATGCACTCGATAACTCAGTTTCCTTTTCAGAAAAATGAAATAGCTTATCTAATAGAATTCTAGAAAGCAGCAAATACTGAAAAATGAAATTAAAATGTTTTGCTGTAGGAGATCCTACATCCAGGATTTAAACTGTTTTAATTGGATCTGAGTCATACTATCATGGATAATACATGATTTATTCCAAGGTCTCTCAAAAGTTAATTTCAGAAGAAGCAACCTCTTTGTTGAGTCTTAATTTTTTTCTATGTGGGAAGTGGGTACCTTTTTTTATTTTTCCTCTGAATAAGATAAATATCATTAAGCATCATGGCTTAAGAAATTATCTACTATTACCAACACTGTATTTATCATATGTAGTAATTAGCTTTTAGTCATATACTTAGTAATATTTTGAACATTTATCTTGAACTTTTTTTAATCTTCCCCAACTTTTTTTTTAATAGTTATTCCTTTCAAACTCCAGGTAACAGTATTCCTGAGAATACATCTTGTGACAGTTTTATGCACACACATATAGATACTTTAGCCATTACACATAAACATTCAACACATTACATTCAACACATTTAAGGGCACCTTAAATGAAACAGATGCATACATCTGCAAAATTTCAGTAGTTCCAGTATGAAAACATTCCTACTCTATAAGGCCCTGTTTCTCAGAGTGGAGGCTTTTTTGCAAGCTACAACATTGCTTAGCTTATTGAAAGTTTCTAATAGACGTCCATACACAAGAGTGAAGGAGTCAGGCTAAAAAGGCAGACAGACCAGCATAATCATGTTCAAAACAGCCCAATACTTTTTAAATATATGTAAGGATATTTAGGATTCTTGTTGGATATTTAACAATCTTCTTTGACGTCTTTGCTATTTAAATATTTCATACAATTATACATAGATAATTTGAATCAAGAAACTGGAATAAAGCACACACATATGTAGAGACTCACATAGCCCAGACACTTGTAATTACCAAACATAAGGCCTCTAATGCTAATTGAGCAGCATAATTTTTAACAGGTGAAATATATCAGCTTGGAATCATAAAACCACTTAACATTTATATTCCTGCACTTGAGAAATATTTCAGCTTTAACTGTAAATAACATGAAAATATTGTAAAACACAAAGGAGGTCATTTACTGCCTCAATTTTCTGAATTGTTAGATTTGAAATTTTTAGTTTTGTTCTTTTTAACTCATGGATATCTTTCATTCTTTTAGTGATAGGACCATAACCCCAAATTATATTTGAAATTATAAACCACAATATAAACAATGCCTATTTAATAAGCAATTCTAACAAAAAATAATTTTCCTTTATGATTAAAGTGGGTTTAGTAGGTATCCTCTTTATGTACATATACATTTCATAGTCAACACACTCAAAGTTTAAGCATACAGAATGTGTTTTAAATTCATTGCAGGGTAATCAAAGTCTATAGTTGACTTCATCTTGAGGACTAAAACACATACACACACACGCGCAAGCACACCTATACCACCATACCAATTTAAGTATGTATATGAGTTTGTATATGCCTAGTTGTTAAGTAACAGTTTTCTAATGTAAATTGTTAAAATTGTGAAATTCTTTGTGAACCACATGATGTACAGCCCCGTGACAAGATCAGTAATACACTAGGTGTTGACCTTACAAGCCTTCTAAGTGTTACACTTTTCTTGAAGTAACTGAACTTCAAGTTAAAGGCCTATTTGTAAAATATATGAACTGGAGGTGTCTATGAAGAAATTGTTTACTTTATACATTTTTTCTTTTAAACTTAGATGTTCCAAGTATCATACGAATATTGTCTCTATTGAGAAAATGTTATTAAACTGATTCTAACAACACTAACCTTAATATCTGAAAATACGCCCTCAAGGGCAGGCACAGGATACGGTAAGGAAAAGTATTAAACACATTTCCCAATAGTTTCTAATCTTGGCATTAATGTAGTCAGGGCTAGGAATAGGAATACCATCTCTTTTAAATGATTATATTTACATTTAGGTTTTATAATTGTATAGGCTATTTAGGTTCTTAATTCAGAGTTATTTCTGATGATTTCTAGAATATTCTCTAACACGATAGATTATGAAATTGGATGATTATGACATCTGCATTTCGATCTACAACATGCAATGAAAATGACAGTTGAAAAATAAATATCTAAAAGTCCACAGCTCTATATATAGTATTTTTTTTCTTCTTCTAAATGGCTGTATTGTTAATCAAAACAAAAATGGCTGTAGGCTTGTTATTTAGTATCCCCAAAGTAAATATTTTTCTTATTAATTATTTTTTATGTAAATTGCTACTTGTATAGCCAACCTGAATTAATATTTTTAAAACTATAAAAATAAATATTTGCATGAGATGTATAATGTGAGTAATCTCAAAAAATTGCATTCTATTTTTAGGCCATATTATTTGTTAATATTTCTATGAAAGCAGCACTGAATAGTATATATTTTTTAACTGCTGAAGGCTTCTTGAATCATAAACAATGTGCAGTGAAATGGCTCTTTCCCCTTATTCCTCCCTGGTTTTATGATTTTCGCACAACTAAATCCTTTTAGCCATTGACTTTTAAGATGTTTATGAAACATTATGTGTATTGGCAGCAAAATCTATTCAGATTTGTGCTACCCATTAGAAATAAAGTGCTATTTTGTAATTAATCTTTTTTAAGCAAAAGTGTTGAACTTGTAGTATAGAGATCACTTTCATGTCTTCTGTATACCTGCAGAGCTTACAATATACAGAATTAAACATGAGACTCATCTAAGACTTCATCCATTTTCCCCAGCTCAGTGGGAGTAAAGGTGAACTGGCTAGACAGTAGGGGGTTCTCCATGCCATTTTCCTCACTGATGTGAAGGACAGTGTCTCCATGCTGTAGGAGGCTGGATGTCTCGAGGCCCGTGAAGTCATCAGGGTCAGAGAGTTGGGTAGAGGGTGGACTGTGTGCAGTAGCACTTTGTGCTTCTGTTTCCTCTTTCTTTTCTCTTTCTTCAGTTGAAAAGTTCTCGCTCTGTGATCAAAAGGATCATAACATTATGGAATGATAGGATGGGTACCAGAAAAGATTATAAAAAAATGTCATTGTCCAGTGGTAATTAGAAAAGGAATCAGATGGCTTGTCCCAGTTCCAGCCTTTGTTATAGGTAGGATCTTATATAGGCCTTCCAACTTTCTAACCCTCAGTTTTTGAACTTATAACATAAACATAACTTTTGATTTTGCTTATCTTAGATACCGTGAGGATCAAATGGGATAATAATCTTAGTGTTAAAATGCTTTTTAAGCGTTAAAGACTATACAAATATATACCGTAATATAGCCCTTTAGTTTTCCTTAAATACCACATGAGGAGAATATAAAACTATACAAATTCATTTATAAAAATAAAAAGAAGAAATATATCAAAACAAGAAAAATATCAGCAAAACGATGAGGAAAAAGATCAAGACAAAAAGTTCCTTTCATCTTATAGGACATAGAGGTTCTTTATTTAAAGTCTTTATCTAAAATGATAACTTTATTTTTTAAAATTGAACTAGCTTTCAGCTATCCTTTATCTGAAATGCTTGGAACTAGAAGTGCTTTGGATTTCTGATTTTGGAATATTTGCGTTATGTAATTACCTAGTTGAACATCCCTAATCCAAAAATCTAATCTAAAATGCTCCAATGAGCATTTTCTTTGAGCATGAGCTTTGAATGTCATATCAGCACTTAAAAAGTTACAAATTTTGGAACATTTCAAGTTGCAGATTTTTAGATTAGGGATGCTCAACATGTATAAACTTGTTTTCAATAGCTGTTTTTGCTGCAAAGTATTTTCTCTTAGGTTTTTCATAACTAAAAATACCAAGACTTTTCTTGTTCCTTCTTAAGTAGATATATTCCTGGCTGCACTTTATATAGATTTTCTTTTTCATGATAGCAGGAGCAGTGTCTGTTTGGATAACAAAGCATTGCAGACCTGGACTTTATATGGAATAAATGTGCATATCCAAGTGGCTGCTAGAAATAAGTACGCAGAGAGCAAGCCTTGCCTGTTTCTCTAGTGCCCTCACCTGCTTGGGAGACAGGCTGTGGAGATCCGCAACAATTATGGCAGGAGAAGATGTGAGGACTGGTTCGTCCACTGCCTCTGGTTTCCTAGATGGGACTGGGCTGCAGCCCTGTAGTTGGCCTGTGGCAGGAAGTGCATCTGTTGGGACAGCTGCTGGCTCTGGCTGAGCCTCAATAAAGGTCACAGACCGTTTCTGGTCCACTGTAGGTCAGAGGTGAAACAGTAAATTGGGGAAGAGTTGGTGGAAATGGACTGTCAGTGCTTAATACTTGGTTTTAACGAGTGTCTCCTGATTTGTTTTTTTTAAATAAAAACATTGCTGGGCTTATTGATAAATGAAAGCATGTTTGAACATTTTGCACATTTCACTTCATGTTCTTACAAAGAGTAGGACTTAGGTAGAAAAATCATTTTCATATAAATGGCCTAAAATAACATTTGTGTAGAATACTGGGTGAAGTTAGTCATTCCTAATAACACCTGCCCACAGGACTTAGAAATCCCTATTATTCACCATACCTTTACCTTTAATGAGACGTATAGCAAACCCAGTTTGTTTCAGGAAAGAAACCACGTCCTTTTATAGTCAAATTTCATAGTATTAGTGGTTTACCTTGGGCTCTTCCATTTGTCTAGGTTCATCGGGGGTAGAGACAGGGATTGGAGAAGTCAAGAAGAGAAAAAGACACTACGTTTTTCTGGGAAACTCCTTCCCTTATGTTAGCACCTCCCCAAAGGTATGCTTAATCAGCTCGGTTTTTGTAAGCCTTCCTGGCTGAGTTGCATGGCATCATGGCAATGGTATATTCAGAAGGGACACAGGAGACCTCACCAGACGGCTTCGTTTTAGGTTGAATGCTCCTGCGAGTGGTTGACAGTCGAGCCCCTTGGCGATTTTTGGGTTCAGTCTGAGTTTTCTGACGTGATAGTAGAGGACGTCTTAGCTAAAAAGAATAGGCAGAATAAAACTTGCAGGAGAGTCTAACTGCTTAGGAGGAAATTGTTTATTTATTTATATGTTTCTGTGGATTCTTGTGGTTGTTCCTTACATTTATAGCTGATAAATTTATTTCTTCATCTTTAACTGTAAAGTATTTTCTTCTGACATTCCCTTTCACTAGTTCGTCTCCCAATTATTACTCCTTTATATATGCCAAGAACATTGACTAACATAATTTAGATTATAAACTTGAGAATTTCAGTTATTTTAGGATGCAAAATGAATTATTGCTTATTGAGCAAGCTTTTCTCATTTAAAACTTACAGTTGAATATATACTAACTTTCAAAGGGGAGGTTTATTTTTAAAACCTCAGAAGCTGGCCAAGTGCCTGGTCCCTGAATCAATAATGGGAGGCTCCTATGGAAGCAAAAGTGATAAGCTGCTTCCAGATTTTTTTTTTAGACAGTAATGTAAAATAACTCCACATAAGGAAATCTGTAAAGATGACCATTACTTCAATTTGATTTAAATTTAATAATCTTGAAATGAGAAAGGATAGACTTCTTTTTCCTTGCCTCTATGCAGAAACGGGCCTTAAATCAACTGTATAACAAATCCTCTATCAGTAAGTTTGGCTGGTAAAGAAGGTTTCTAGGTAAGTAACAAATAGAATTATAGGCCTACTTACTTTACTACATAATCAGCTTTGCTAGTAAGAAAATTCAGAGCTAAAATAGAATATCATTTGTCTTGCCTAAGTATTTACACATTTTAAAGTTGCTGTGTGCTGCCTATTTTAGGTAGGGTGAGTGCAAAATACACACTTAAAAAAAAATACATTGTTTTATTTAATTAGTTTTTTAGAGACACAGTCTTACTTTGTTGCCCAGGCTGGACTCTTAACTCTTGGGCTCAAGCAATCCTCCCACATCAGCCTCCCCAGTAGCTGGGATTCCAGGCACATCCAGCAGCAAAAAGTAATTTTAATATACATGGGCATTAAAAAGCACACATTCTACAGTCTAATTTGTAGGATGGTTCTCTTGCGCTTGCACTTTAAGGGTCTGCTTACCTGCCTCAGGCCCCTCTTCCTCCCCAGTGGCTGCTGAACGAGGAGGTTCTGTTGACCAGGTTCACTTTGTATACTTGCCACCCTGCCAAGCATCAACAGTGTTAGCGTGCCCTGGAAAGAGTACAGGAGACCATCCTCTGGTGGGTGTTAGCCAAAATCACTTGTATGATACAGTCGCTTCAAAGATATCATTATCTTTGAAGGATAGTCGGGATACTCCTTGGGATGGGTATTTTCAAAGGTTTGGGAGGGAGGACAAGGCCTTGTAGCCCCAAGCTGCCAAAATTGAGATTCTGTTTTTAATCACTGATGTCATATCTGTCATTTGGAAAACATCAGTTTGATCACACCCCTGGTTTGGAAGCCACCAAAAGGTTTTAAGATGTCATGTTCTAATCTCAATTTTTTTCCAATGGGAAGGGAAACAGTAGTGACAAACACACACGAACAACTCTATCACATGGATGGGAACACCTTTTTAAAATTTCAATTTAAATGAAAATAAGATGGACAAATATCAAACACATCAGACACAGAATTTATTTGGGTGAAGGGGCACATTCAACACATGTTTGCAGCCTGAAGTCTCTGTGACTATTGAGTAAATGAATAGTCACATGGGTAAACAATTAAATGTTTTTTAAAAAATGGTTTTAGATTTAAAGGCTGGCAAAGTATAGCTATAGTTAAGCTATCATTACAATGTAGGAGCTTTAATATCGAGTAACTGCACTGAAACATACCATGCAGTTTATAAAAGCAACAACCTGCTCCCCCCAAATTTACTGTGTACGTGTGTCTTTTGTATGCAAAAATGACTAGAAATAGTTGTTATTGGTTTTGGGCAAAGCTGAAAATACTGACATGGGCCCATGATCCTTTATCATTCTGCATGCATGTATAAAAGATAATTATAATGGGAGTGGAGTGAAGAAAAGAAGTATCCTGTGCCCCAGATAATATTATAAGTCTGTGGATGATGCCAATGTGGTTATTTGGTTAATGGTTAATTAATTTCTGCTTTGCCTTTGCAAAAGGAGAGTCATCTACAGATAGTTCTTAAGGTATAATATTCCACAGAGGAATCCAGAATCAGCAACTGTTCAGGGAAAAGAAAGACTGTATCTGTTCATTTCCATTTTCTCAAAAAAGAGCTACTTAAATACCCAGCTGCAGTAGTAAGGAGAGAAACTGGTGGCAAGACAGGCAATCAGATGTTTCCCTTTTTGTATTAATTATTAGTTAATCATTACCAAATTGACATACTCACATTGGTCATTTTTTAAAAGTCTTACATTTCCACTAAAAAATCAATGTGATCCCCAAATGGAGTTCATCAAATTTTTTATGAAATAAGGATGTAATTACACCATTTGGAGTACACAATAACAAAATCCATAAAGAGAACCAAAACAGGTGTTTTTAAACTTTCTTGTTCCTCTGAATATCGACTTTAAAAAGATCAATGTGCATTATCCTTATACATATATAACCTTGAAACAGATATGGTATCTTCATATCATATCTTCATCCTTTCCATGAAGATAGAAAATTACCCCAAAGGAACAATGCAATAAATTCTGATAAGCAGTTCAGACTATGTTGCTGTAATGTTTTAAATGACATCTCCTTATTAGTTATACATGTTAACATGTCTGATAAATTGGAAAGAGTATTCAATAACCATATGCACAAAAGTAGGAACAAGTTTCTCCTAATACGAAGCAAAGCTTTCATTGGAATGGATTCTTCATTGACATCTAAATGTTACCTCAGTTCCCTTGGCCATAAGAGGAGGTTAATACTTACCAACTACCTCCCATTAAGGTAGAGAAAAGAAGTTAGTTGATGTACAATGGTTTGAACATGAAAAGGGATGTACATAGCATGCTTTCTTGTTTTACATTTGATGTTGTAATGAGTTTATTGCTTCTAGAATACTAAAAGGAAGTAGGTAATAAAATGTTTTGAAAATAATAGGGCAGAGAAAATGAAATCGAGGCAGTCCACTTGTCTCATTTTTATTCAGGAATCTGTGATTGTGAGAAAAAATGGCATAGGAAAAGAAAGGAAATTCACGTTACTTAGGGAGTGTTAAATGTCAAAACATAATGGTAATTTCATGATGATTATTCCAGGAGAGGATCATAAGCATCAAAATTTTCTCTATGGATAGAGAGGCTTATATCTAAGAGGTGTATCAAGTTTATAGCTTTAGTATTTAGTTGTACCGTAAATGATATAGCATTTCATCATGAAATGCACACATCAAAGATGAAATTAAAAATACATCCTTGGAAATAACCCAGCTGATAAATTATACTTGCTCTAAAAACTTGATTGCTAACATGTTTATATTTAGAATATCAAAGGCTGGCTTAACTATGTACAGTTAGGACACATTAAGAATAAGCAGCCAAAAAAGTTCACAATGATAATTTATGCAGAACATGTTTCTTTTTCTGGGATCTATGTCAAATTGAAGTTGCATATAAAAAGTTTCAATTTAGCTTCTCTCCACGTCATGTAATATTTCAGTCATCTGTAGGATTTGTGATACAGGACTATAAGATGTGCATTACTAGAATGAACAAGGGGACGACTAATGGGTTTTCACTAAGCACCTCCCTGTTATGTCGTTTTCATTTGAATTTTTTGAAACAGTTCCGTCACAGTCCCCACCTACCAGAACTACAGTAATCAAGTTATTTTCCCCTTTAGGGAAATACTATGTCATATTTGATGGTCAATTTTAAAAATATTATATTGTATTTTATGGTCACAAAACATTATATTCCAATAGACAACTGAATCTTTTCAGATGAGTGAAATATAAATTTCATGCTCTGAAAAGTTGAGACTATTTGTTGAGATATGTCAGAGTAGTGGGACAACTTCTTAAAACTGTCCTACAGAGAAAACTGGTTTTCTAATTTTTTTTTTTTTTTTTTTTTTTTTTTTTAGACAGAGTCTTTTGCTCTGTTACCCAGGCTGAAGTGCAGTGGTACTATCGCTCCTCGCTGCAACCTCTGCCTCCCGTGTTTAAGCAATTCTCATACCTCAGCCTCCCAAGAAGCCTGGCTTTTTTTTTTTTTTTTTTTTTTTTTTTTTTTTTTTTTTTTTTTAAGTAGAGACAGAGTTTCATCATGTTGCCCAGGCTGGTCTTGAACTTCTGGCTTCAAGCAATCTGCCTGCCTCAGCCTCCCAAAGTGCTGGAATTACAGTCATGAACCACGGTGCCTTGTCAGGTTTCCTAAAACTTTTAATCTTGGGAATGAGATATGACTGATTTCCACAGTTTTGGCCAATAGGGTGAAACAATAAGGATATAAGCAAATAAAGCTTTCTAAATTAAAGCTAACATGTTACAACAGATTTAGGAATAAACCATCTCTTATGTTTTGAGTCACTGAAAAATAGCACTGGGTGAGACCATCACATGGAAAAGTGAATTTATATTTTCATTGCTTTTATCTGTACTTTTGATTTCAATTTTAATACAGTTTAGAGAAATATAGAGGTGGCACAAAAGACATGCAGCATCATCGTTTACCCTGAATGATTGCCTTGTGACAGGAGTTCCTAGAGCCAGTACCTCACTGGAGCAATAAGGCAATAAGCAAAAAGTAGACAGCAGGGAAATACGCAGTAGACTAAATCCTACTTCCCCTTTCTCAATAAAAGATTATTGTTTAAAATTTACTTAACTCCAACAACATCTGACAAAATATAGCTTAAGTGCCACATAATTTAGAGATTATAGTTGAAAATCACATTGAAGGGAATAATCTAGATCTTTGATACCTGGTAAGAACGGCTTTAGCAATGGCAAAATAGGTATCTGTGTATCACAACACATTTTCTTAGTCATTAATTCTCAGCTACTTAAAAAGATTTTTTATTTTTTTGTACTTTGAGAGCACTTGCCAAGTTTTTATGCTTTGAAAATGTGTATAATCATGAGGTGGGTCCCACTGTATAGGTTACTTTTCTTTTCACCTAAACTACATAGTCTTGTTCAAACATTTTTATTTTTCGCTGTGCTTAAAGTATCCTTGCACAATCAAATAGCATTGTAATCTTTTTTAAAAAAAATTAGAATTGACTGTCAATTCCTGCCTTTCAAAATGTACTAACATGTCTAACCAAAATCTAATTCTTTATTGTAAACATCTGGCCATAAGCTCTTAAAAGCCCCTGTCTGTCTTTATTCTTCTGGAGAGAAAACATGTTCATGGATATGTGTGTATACTTCAGGGTAGAGACAGAGAGGGAGCATCTACAATGAATTTCCACAACTCTAAGAGCAACATTCTCTAGAGAAGAGAATTCTCCCATGGAATATTACTTCAGTTTATTAATAGCCAATACAAATAATCTTTTCTGCAGAGCAGAGTGTTTCTAATAGGCTATTTCTGGAGATGAATCTAAAAGAAACCGGTTAGCATATTAAAAAAAATACTAGAAGTAATTTTGATAGGTATGGCATTTTTTAAATTGATTTCCACTTATTCATCAGGGTATCTTGGTCTCCTTCTCATTTAGCCCACTCCATCCAGCTTACCCCTTTTGTCCAAAACAAGTATCCTTTCAAAAGCAAATACTCATGCAAATTTGGCAAAATGTAAAAAGAGGGTGGGAAGAGCAAAGTTTATTATTTTCCCTTAGGTATGCTTCCTGATATTCTCTAAGCTTTAAGGTGAGATTTTCATTAGGACTACTTTGGGTGTATTTTAGGTCCTCAGTATTGAGTGTATGCTAAGTGCAATTACCTGGTTAATGCCTTACTACTTCAGGATTTTAAAAGTCTGCAGCATAAAGAAAGTTCACGCCAAAGATAAGAAAGTCTGGAAATTAAAAATAAAAAGTATATATCCTATTTTTTAAACCAACTTCCTAATAAATGCCAAGAGTTCCTCTCCTCCAAAGAGAACTTGGTGACATGATGTAGTTCAAGAGATAAGATCTGCAGGGTATGGCAAAGGTGGATGTGCTACTGGTTGGTAGAAAGCCTCTATTAGAATTATTTCAGAAGCCAACGTGAATGCCTCATATTCCCATTTCTTAATGACCACAACTGGGTCTGGGTGACTCACACCCAGAACTAAAACACAATGGTCACAGAAACAACAAATCAATGGCAGTTGACCTAAGACAGTCATCAAAGTACTATCATGACTGACTAATTCAGTTGTAGACAAATCAATAGCTTTGGCTCTGAACCAGTCTCACCTAGCAAAAACTCTGGGTTTATTTCCATTGACACTGGAACCAGGACACACTGAATTGGTTTAGAAAAGTACAAATAGGTCCTTTGACCCCTAAGCCTGCTAGAGAGTGCCAAATAACTCAGGAGAGTTCATAAAAATAATCTCAAATTCCTGCCTTCTCTCACCAACCCTGGACTAGTCCTTACTAATCAAGAGTAGAATTTGGCCTAATTAGAAAAGCTCCAGCACAACGCTAGCTAAATGGAAGTCTGATTTAATACTCTCTACTCTCAGTAGGCCACTGAAATTGTCTTCTGATTAAGGTTTCCATCCCACATGTAATTTTAAACATTAAATAAATGCTTTCTTTGAAAGTAGTGACCACCTTGCTAGACTTGGTTCAGATCTCTTCCAACACTGTGAACAATAAAGGGAAGCCTTCTTGAGGCCTGTTTTGTTTCTCAACTTCCTCCTTGCCCCCAAACTCCTGCTAATGGAATTAAGTCTGCACTCTGCAGCACTTCCACATTTACCGCCAATAAGAGACTGATCTGTCAAGGCGAGGGCTGGCAAACACGAATGTTATGAATTATGGGTCTGGTTAAAAACAAAATACACCCAATGATGGACTAAATTTCCCATTTTCAATTGCAAAAGAAAATGTGAAATCTGAACAAGATGCAAAGAAAACAAAAGACAGCCTTTCGCGGGAACAGCCTCTCAACATTTCCTCATCATTGTGATAAAGCAATAAACACGGGTATACTGTAGTCACTATATAATGCAAACCTGAAAGGGAATGTTGTTATCTCTTGAGATGGCACAAAGATACTCTAAGGATGAACAAGAAGCCTTACTCCTAATGAGGATTAGTTGAGAGGTGTGAATCAACAGCACAAGATTAGGAATGTTTGACGTGGTTTATCTGAGTGTTAAAGGTGCAGTCCCCTTTTCAGAAGCTTTAAACCAATAGCCAAGACATTATATTATTTGCATCATAAGACTTCTCTTACTTACCAAGAAATGTTTGTGCCTGATATTTCATGCAAGTTTTGGAGTCACCTTTGTGCTAGAACAGACGTTCTTTATATAAGTGTTGCTGGAACAAGCTACTATAGAAGCCTGCCCAATAGCATGCATCAAAGAGAAGGAATTATAGTATATAAATTGTATCAACATTACTATTCTTTTTATAACATCATTGTCTGTTTTCTTACCATCTGTGATATTAACTAAAAGACCTGTCTTGATTTAATAAGGGGCTTCCTGATGGTATATTAAAAGGCCTCTGAAAAACAATTCTTAATAAATATCAGTGTGGGAGGGAAGAATTAGATGGGATAAATTTAACATTTGGCTTACCAAACTTTTAGACATCCATGGGAAATGCCCCATAAATAATTCTACAGTTTTTTTAAACTAAGCTTTTCGGGCTTACTCGATTGAGATTGAGCTCTGAAGCTAAAAATAAAGGAGGGTTTGCTACACCTTTGACTTCCAGGCTCATATGTTCATGAACAACAAAGGGCAAGGAATGGAAATAGATATTAAGACGGGGCGAGAAGAGACAGAGAAGACAGAGAGACAGAGGAGACAGGGAACAGCTAGTTTCCCAGCACAGACACCAATAGACAGGTAGCATTGACACTGTACCTAGAGAGGCTACCCTCGGCGGCCAGGCCCTGGGAGTCATCGAGGACATTAGGTTCACTGCAGGAGGGGTAGGGAGATGAAGCATTTAGGGAAAGAAAATGAAAAAAAGAAAAGAAAACAGGCATGCAATTTTCTGCTTCCAAGAACCAAAAATAAATAGATTTAACAGAACAAAGAAGGAAAAGGAGACAGTCAACCATTTCACCTTGTGCTGGGTTTGTCAAGACATAGGACTCAAGGCAATGGGAGAGGAAGGGCTTTGCATGGATACAACTCTCCGAGGTGTAACCTATTTATTGGTCAAGAATTAAAATGAATTCCAAATGGACCCATAAGCTCTGAAACACATTGCAGAATGAATCCGTAGAAGATGAGACTATCATTTCCTTTGGTAACCATTTGGCTAGGTGGTGATTATTTTTAACCTGTCTTATGTACATGGTATTTCGTTGACCAGAACCCTGCTTCTTTCTTGTGCATTCTAACATTAGCACACAAAAACCACTTACCATGGATTGCCACAACCAAGCTCTTGGAACTGATGCCATTAAGAAAAGCAAAGAAAGAACCCAACTTTCCCTGCTAATTTTGCAGTGAAAATGCAATTAAACAAACGGAAGGAAGATATCTTGGAAAATTCACATGGAACTTGCATTTACCTCCTTACTCTCCATCCTCTAGTGACTGAATTGTAAATGCCAAAAGAAGAAATCTGTCAGGTTGGTGAGAATAATTAAATAGTTTATCGATTGATATGTATGTAGCTGAACTGAGATTTGTGAACAGAAACTGTCATGCTTTATCTGTCTTTCCTTCAGAGCCTAGCATTGAGCTAAGCATCTGTGAGGCACTCAATGAATACTTGTTAAATTGGAGAGAAGTAAACCGTTTAGAAAACTGGAGTGCCTGACCCCAAAGAATTGAAGTTTACCTAATAGTAGAGTATAAAAATAGCCTCTGTCCCCAGAAAGACTTTCCCTAATGTACAGAGACAGTATTATTACCTTCACTAGTCTTCTAAAATATGAATTAAGCCCAAAGTACTTAACTATATTATTGTTTCTTGATTTCTAGAAATCAAATGTTCAATCATAATGTGTATAATAAGACAAAATTTCTACCTGCAAACAAGTTGACCCCTTAATACGTAAAAAGGAAATTGATGGACTCGTTATTTTAGGTAAATAACAAAAAACCTCTTTATGAAATTTCTACAATTCTACAATTTGAATAAAACTTTCAAATAATTGATTTTTTTCTTATATTCTTCATAGAACCATGCAGATTGCTAGCAATTAAAAATACACTGATAGCTACCAATATTAGATGCTTGTGTGGCTTTATATCTTTTTTTGGACATGTTATTGTTTGGCTTTGATTTTGTTCACACTTTTTGTTTATAAGAATTTCTTTTCAAAGGAAAAGTACCAAATGGTAGATAAAACAATTTCTTAAAATGATATAAAACTTTATATAGTATTAATCTTTGTAATAATTAAATGGTACTTATATAAAACATTGCCTTCTTAAAAAGTATGCAACTTGTTTATTATTTATCATTTTATCCTATTCTTTGCTTTCTCCAAATTTGGGCTTTGTTTCACAAATTTTATTTCATCTATGTAGTTCATGAACCATTTGCTAAAAGATTTGGGTATGGGATAATTATTCTGGCATATAAACTGGTTTTATATGAACATCACAATATGTCCTGAATTTTATTATTTTCCATGTGTGAATTGTCCCACAGTGAATCTATAGGTATTAAAAAGAAGCAACACACTAAAATCATGTAAGGTCAATTCCTTGAAAAACTCAATTCCTGAAGGGAAAATATCATTGATTCCAAAATATTTGTCTTAAATAGATAAATGTTTTGACTCATATCAGATCATTTTCATTATACTTTTACTGTATATATATCGTGGAAGGTTTTTTTTAAAACTTATATTCTTAAAAGACAGAACACACAAAGAAAATGTTTAAAGGGGTTTTGTCATGGAATCATAGAACTACAGATGGAGAAGTTACCTTAAAGATTTAGCAAACCTCTTCATATTGCAGAGGGAAGAACTGTGGACTATGGTTAGACGACCTGTCCAAGGTCACAGGCAGTAGCATGGATCCTTTTCTGCTTGGTTAAGTGCCACTGCCTACAACTGAATACTAATAATATATCAGAAGCCTAAGCTTTACCGAATACATAAAGATGATCCTAACTCTTGCCAAGTACCCATCATTAGCTTAGGTAATGATAAATGTGAAATACAAGAGTGTCATTTGACAACAGAAAGATCACGTGTCCACAGAAAATTTTTAAGGAGAGAAAATACTTGGATCAGAGATTGGGATCCCTTCTACTAGCTTGGCTTAGAAAACTGCAAAGTGTGGCCTGCAGGAACTCTGTTGAAAAATCCTTTGTGGAATGATCTATATAAAAACGTGACCATTGCCTGCTTCTCTGGAGTACATTTTCAGAATTTATAACTTTACCCCCAAATGCAGAATATAATATAACCATAGCTGTTTACCTCTGGCTGGGTAGCATGCCCACCTCAGCCTGAGGTGCAGACATGCTGGAGACATGGCTGGAGAATCGCCTCCTTCCAATGGCACTCAGGAGGTAAGCTTCTTGTTCACTTACCACGCTGGGCATGCTTACAGAGTCATCTAAAAGGGGCAAAGGAATAGAGTGTTATAAAAACTATGACACTCATCAGAAAAACCCCACCAAAGCTGCACTTGGATTCTATCCTTGGCTTGACTACAACTTAGGGCTGTCTGTAAAGCTAAATTATCATTGCTCCCTTCATACAGATAAAAAAAAACTTAGACCTTTGGGGGTAATGATAATTCTTAGCATCTATATATCTCCCACCCTTCCTTCATGAAGAACTAGAATATCCTTCATGAAGTAAATGTAAATTTTTACAAGTAGATTATTTGTGAAAGTCAACAGGCATCAGCACATTTAAGATTTCAGAAAAGCTAGAACATAACTTTCTTTTAATTGCAGAAATAGATGAAGGGACTTTGTTACTGAATGAATCAAATACATTTCCTTGACATTCAAAAACCGCATTCAGTACAGTTAATGATTTCTAGACTGCAGACCATTTCAGATACTTTTAGGAAAAATATTTGAAAGATATAAAGTTAAGAAATAAATGCTTATTTTAACCAACATTGTAAAATTTAAGTATGTGATCTTGTTTTCTGCATAGAAGCAGATTTTTGTTGTTGTTGTTGTTTTGTTTTTGAGACAGAGGCTTGCTCTCTTGCCCAGGCTGGAGTGCAGTGGCGTAATGTTGGCTCACTGAAACCTCCACTTCCCGGGTTCAAGTGATTACCATGCCTTAGCTTCCAGAGTAGCAGGGACTACAGGCGTACAACACCATGCTCAGCTAATTTTTGTATTTTTAGTAGAGATAGGGTTTCTCCATGTTGGGCAGGCTGGTCTCGAACTCGACCTCAAGTGACCTACCCGCCTTGGCATCCCAAAGTTCTGGAATTACAGGTGTGAGCCACAGTGCCCAGCCAGAAACAGAAATTAATATACTCAAATTCATATGAAAATTAACTTTAGCACAGTGTTTATGACCAAGTGACCTAATTCTAAGTGAGATAATGTTTGTTGATGAACGCTAAACATTCTTTGATAAACAAAGAATGTATGCTACCATATAAGATCATCTGATATGATTTATTTAAAATACCCAAAGTAATAATATTTCTAATTGAACTTCTTTCAAATCAAAAGGTGAATAAGAAAAGTGCTAGCAATTTTAAATTTCTATATAATCACTGACTTAAAATTGATTCTTATTATAGAATGATTTTTTTTTTAGATATGTCCACAGAGTACAGAATAAACAAATGTGCCTTAAAAATATTTAAAAAACTCAAATCCCATTGATTCTTTTCCCCTTTCTTTGTACTCACATGTCACTGAACACTTACATCCCCAGTATTTGTCTGGTGATTAATCATGTACTGTCTTCCACTAGCTCTTTTGTTAAATGTTCTTTATTGTAAATGTCTCTTATCTCCTCAACATAACTGTATCTATTATAAGATCTTAGAAAGCAGAGAACATATCTTTCTCATACTTCCTTCTTCCTTATCTTATCCGTGATAGGCCTTAATACAAGTTTGATTATTGAATGTAAAAATAGTTTAACTCAAAACAGTGATCTAGTTTTCATACCCCTCCCTATTTAGATAAATACACACTCATATCACAAACACACACACTATTTGTTAGCAATCCTGCTGTCATTGGGATGGTTGTGATGTCTGCAATCAAAGATATAAGCAAAAACTTGCATGGCTTCCCAATCCTACTGCTGCCTCACTAGTATGTTAGTGTTGGCTTTTGGCCAGTGATATCACTGTTTAGCTCTTATTTACAGGTTAGGACATGTATTATTTATATATAAAGTTACCCGCAAAATACATTTAGCTCTACAAAAATAGATGATATTATTTTCTATAACTAATAACAATTGCTGGGAGAGACTACTTCAAGCATTAAAGAAAAAAAAAATGGATATTTAAACTGCTGATCCTTGGCCAGCTGTGGTGGCTCAAGCCTATAATCTCAGCAGTTTGGAAGGCCGAGGCAGGCGGATCACCTGCGGTCAGGAGTTCAAGACCAGCCTGACCAACATGGAGAAATCCCGACTCTACTAAAAATACAAAATTAGCTGGTCATGGTGGTGCTTGCCTGTAATCCCAGCTACTTGGGAGGCTGGGGCAGGAGAATTACTTGAACATGGGAGGTGGGGGTTGCAGTGAGTCAAGATTGCGCCATTGCACTCCAGCCTAGGCAATAAGAGTGAAACTGTCTCAAAAAAAAAATTAAACTGCTGATCCTTTTCTCTTTCATGGTGTTTTCTTGGTCAAGATTTCCCTAATTACAACTTTAGGTGTATTTTTATGAGCAGTCACCAGGGTGACTTAGACACAAATGTGTCTCTAGGCCAGGTGCAGGACAATATGATTTTTCCTTTGTCTGACCAACACTGAAGCTGAATGTGCAAATATTACTGGTAAGTACTGACAAAGCATTTATTTATTTTCTTTTCTTACATTTCCAACTGTAGTAGGACATTAAAACACTTCCATTTATCTCAGTTAATTAAAATTCTAACCTCAACTCTCATTTCTTCTATTTAATTTAGTTCAGAGTAGAGATGTGTTTTTTGTTGTTGTTGTTTGCCATGGAAAGCCTGAGTGAAGATCTAAATTTTGTTCTCATTCACATGACATTGACAACACAACGTTGATGTAAACATTATATCAGAGTATCTTAACACACAAGTGGAAAATAATAAATGTAACTTTAAGATCCCTGAAATAACAGTAGCATTTAATGGAACCTTTCACCCTAATTTTACTTTTTATAATCTCCCGTGAAGCAAACATATGTAATATTTCTCCTCATGTCATAACACCAAATCTCTAGCACACGACTTAGAAACTTCTGGGCTGTCCTAGTCACTGGTGATTCTCTTAACTCAAATTTGGAGTATATCCCCTCAAGACAGTGTGCTGGTTTACATACTGGATGGTAGAGCCAACTGGTCTTTTCTGAGTCCTAGGCATATGCATTACTCAATCTTCTTTGCCTAATAAGGTCATTTAAGTGCTGATCAGCCCTCTAAACAAGATCTCCAGGTAAAATGAGAATAAGTCCTTTCCTTGGTTAGTTATCCATAATTTAAATGGGAGTTAGTGGAAAAAGTTGACTATATAAGTTTAAAGAAAATTTAGGAGTCACTAACGATTTACTTTTTTCCTGAATTCGTTTTAAATGACCAAAGGATATCAATAAATTTATAGAAAACATTTACCCTAGAATGCCTTTTATAAAAATGACTAGGGGATCAGAACTGGAAAAGGTCAGAAGGACAATAATACTTCCCAAGCCCTTGCTCATATGGCCAAGCCATGTCTTCCACCCAGACTCTTTGAATTGACCTACTTTCCTCATCTTCCTCATCAGTCCGACTCAGGGTGTCCTGCGAAGCCTGCTGGGATGGCTCACTGTCCTGCTCCCAGACGGTGCCCGTGCCCGTGTTAGAGCGGGACATGGTGGCCAAGCTCAGGCGGTAAGCAGAGGTGGAGGTGCCCACGGTACTGATGGATGTCTTGCCTTGGTAGGCTAGAGGATTGGAGAGATCAAAGGAAATGTATGGTGAGAATCTTAAATGTCCACTTCAAAGTCCTCCCTGACCACTTGTATTTTTTAGAAAAGGTTAGTTAAATAATGTGTCCCAGACAAATGATTTTTATATCTCAGTTGCACATGAAAGTGGGGGTGTTTTAAAAATAATCAATATTGGCCACTGATGTAATTGAATAGTTCCCTTGACAGAATGCAACATCTATAACAATATTAAATGCTTTGACATTGTTGCCTCTCTTACTGCTTTTCTATTTTATTTTCCAAGGTTGGTAGGATGCATATTAACTTTGATCTGAATTGTAGCTTAGAATTTGGCAATTTTTACTAACAAATATATTGTATTTGACACAAGCCTATGAAAGTAATAAATAAGTTGTCTGATGTGAACCCCACAATCAAAGTCAGAATGCATAATCAAAACTATTCTAACTTTCTGGAAATTACAACCTACAAAATACCCCATCAGTTCTATGTCAGGTTATTTTATTACAAAGTAGAATATTTGAATGGTAAAGTGTAGACTTCACCAGGATTATACTTGTCAATGTTTTTACCACATTGCATGCAAAGAACAATAAAAGCTTTAGAAGGAAAGCAAACAACCCTCTCCTCCCGCAAAGAAGAAAACACAACACATATTACACTTTACCTGTGGGTAATGACTGCCCTCTAATGGCAAATGATTTATTTTCCTTCCTCAGTAATCTGCTGTTAATGTAGTTATAAAAAATAAAACAATGTACTCTCAACGAATACCTTTAGAATAATGTAAAGAAAGTACCTCCTAGTTTGCAGCTCTGATGGGATCCTTCCCCTTGCAATGTGTGAAAAGTTAAAGGCTGGTTGAAAATCCCCTTGCAATAATCACTTTCTATGCCATAATAGTAAGTTATGTACTTGAAAGTTATTTATCTATTTTCTATTGTGTTTGTTTCCTCATTCTTTATGGAGACTTTCAATTATCCACCTTGAAAGTATTTGTGTAGATTAAAGGAAATAATCTACCATAAAATAGAAGCTCAATAAATGAATGTCCCCCTTCTCTTTTTCAAAAAGAAAATAAACGTAATGATTTAAATCACTTTTCCTCTGATTAAATATTCAAGAAAGAGATTAACTACTAAAATGAAGACTAAAAAAATATAGAAAAGGAAGAAAATTAAACACTTATGTTATCGTTTCGATTTCTATTTTGTTACTGACAAAAGAGAAAGTCAACTCTAGTATTGGTCAAATGGCTAACTTACTAGGAATGGTCAAATCTAGTAGTGTACCAAAATGGTTAACATATTCATAGTTCCAAAAAGTGTGGTGACCTGGGCAGAGGAATTCTTTGTAGGCTGTGAGTTCCATTAGTCAAATTCACAACACGCTCATGCACACTCACCTGATCCACTATGAACTGCCTCTTTGAGAATTTTTAGTTCATTGTTGAACTCAGCGATGAGTGAGCTCTTACACAAAGGTCGTGGTATGAAGCGCCGCTCCAGCTGGTCGGCAATATGCTGCCGGGCGGAAAGCTCTTCATGATTCTCTGCTGGCTGGGCCAGCAGCTGAAAGGAAAGCATAGCATTCTCAGGGCCTCAATTTTTCATCTGTAAAATGGGCTAACTGCTGTACCTATTTCATAGTTGGGAGGAATAAATAACGTAATGCATATGATGTTCCTAGAGCAGCAGTATACACAGGAAGTGCTTAATAATTACATTGTTTTATATCACTGCCCTAAGAAATTGGGGCATGAAAAGAACAAGTGTAGATGTGTACTGAGGGTCTTGGAGGAAATCATATGTTAAGTATCCTATGTTTTTAATATGTTTATTTAAAATCAGATCTCAGTCATGCCACTGAAGACAGAAGATTCTCCAAACCATCCCGCTGGACCAGTCTTTTGGGTGGGTAGAGTGGGGGGGGGGTGATTAGTAGGGAGCGGGCAAAGTTTTATAGACTCCAGTAAAGCTCTTACTATGAAGGCACTTCTAGTGTGAAATTTTATCCTCTGGAATATATTTTTCAGTGGTTTTCTCATCAAGCATGGTATTTACAGGCCCTACTAACTGGCTACAGTAGGTACCATAGCACTCTTGCCACATTCCTGCCTCAGTGGAGAGCCACACATTCATTTGGGCTTGTCACTTTCAGGAGGAGAAGCACACACCACACCTTGCACTGGATGAAAGGGCGCAAAAGCACAAAGATGGGTATTCGGGTCCGCACGATGAAGTCGAGGAAGTCCCAAAGGGCCAGGCCTCCCACCTTCCGCAGAGCCATCTCCTTCACCTGGAGGCTCAGCCAGTACCACTGGCTTCCGAGCTGCCTCTCAAAGCAGACGAGAATCACCTTCAGTGCTTCACACCAGGAAAAGAGAAAAGTGAACCTGCAGATCTGTGCTTCAGAGGAACCCAACCTACATTCACAGCCCTTTTTGCACCTTTATAAATTTTCTAAACCTCTAAACTCTCCATGTTTCTAAAAACTTCATATGCATTCCTGAGAAAGAGCATGCTGGACATCGAGTCAAAAATGTGTATGGTGTTTTGATTCTGATGAAGAGAACCCAGATATTTTTCTTAAGTGCTTTGAACTACTAATTTGGAAAATATAGAACAATGTGGTCCACTGAATTGAAAGGAAACTGTTTTATCAACATGATGTGTGGCTAAGGTTTTACCTTCCACAAGTTTAATCATAATGACTTTATGGTAATAATGGGCATATCACTCACATTCTTAGCTAAAACATAGATCTTAAAAAACTTTTCTTTTAACCATAAAATAAATATTTGTGTTATTAAAAATAAAATCAAACCATGAAGAAGTGCACAAAGTTAAAAAAAAATTAAGTATTTTCCTTCCCAGTTCCCTTCCTGTCCCCAACCTAAACTGCTTCCCAGAGGTAACCAGTAAATGCATTCAGTGTACATTTCCAAATATAAAAACACCTTCTTCCTTCATTGCACAGTATGTCTATACTAAGCCTTACTAGATTTATTTTATCATATCTCTTTCCTCTCAGATTCTGGCAACCCTTCACAATCTGCATTTATTTTTATTTTTCAGGAAGCAGATTTCCCAAACTGTGTGTCAGGACAAACCAGAGTATTGTGAAGACATCAAAGATTATGATGATAGCTTCCTCTGCCACTACAGCTTTTACAATGGAGTCAGCTGTGGGGCAGTCAAGTGAACCTGGGCCTTCTTGATCATTCTTAAGGCCCATCAATCTCAACAACTAAAAAAATATGTATACTAAACCCATATTGATTCTGATTAGGAAAACACAAAAATCTTTCTTAAGTGCATTGAGTGACTAAAGGCACACAGAAATCTAATTCTCTAAAATCCTCAAGAGTCACATATGCCTTTACCATATTTAGGACATCTCCAGGAGAGACTCATGCCATGTAACAGAGAGAGAGAGAGAGACTGCAAGATTCTTTCTTAACCATCTTCCTCCTCAAGATCTCACTTTCCACAGCAATTGCTCATCTCAATTCCTTTCCCTCAGCTAAACAAACAAACAAACAAACAAAAAACAATACTCCTCTTTCTGTACACTAATTCTGATGACATTTCACTGTTACTAAATGCCTGTTGGCCGCCTTTGGCTTTCTGCCATTCTACTTTCCACCTAGACCTCCATCAGCCCAACACACAGCATAAAAGGGGCTCAAGAACAGAGACTTGTTCTGGCTCTGTCATGTATTGACTACATGCATTCAGGCAAGTTACTCAACCTTTCTAGGCCCCAGCCTCTTCACTCCTAAAATGAGAATAACATTAACTTCTTGGAGTTATTGTAAGGATGAGAGGATTCAACGTGGTGATAATGTAAAGCACAGAAAACTGCTTGGTGCACACTACGTGCTCAGAATAAATGTAAAAACAAATTTAAAATACAGGTTCAGTAGCCTGGCTGTATAAGCAAAGGAGAAACAACTCTTCACTAAAAAGGCAGATAGTGGAGAGGACAGAAACTCATCAAGTGTCTTCTCATTTCCTTCCTGTATATGGTAAGCCCCTTTTCTCCATCACCCTCTGCAATCCTTCATGTAGGGGTCTATGCCAGTCTAGATTTGAATGCTATTTTTATATACTTTGGCCAACTGAGCATCCATATGAGTTGGTCCTGGGTACATGCATTCCTTGTGTATTTTTTCTCCTTTTTCATTTTCATCGTCAATCCCCTCATTTTCAAACATATCCCATTATAATGCAGTTCAAACACCCCCCCATCTCCAAACTCCAAGAACTCGTTTTCATCAGTGTGTTTGTGTTTATCTTATACTTCCCACCAATATCTGCTTTGGTGAATTGAAAATGTCAGGCAAGACTGTCTCATTTGGAAATTCCCCACTGCCAGTACTCCTTATTCTCAGTGCCATGGCAAGAGTGGTCTTTTCCTGCTGGCGCAATTCATTCAGGGCCAAAGAGTGGCTTTCCATTGCTTCATGGGTTAGGACCAGGTTAAAGGCAGCATAGGATAATGGGAAAGTAGGAGTCAAAGAGGGAAAGAGATTGGAAGCCTGTGGGAACAGAAGTGGACTAGCCTCACTAGAGTAATGATCGAGGTGGAGATTAAAGACATTTTAAGGGAGGAAAAATAGCTAGTAGAGGGCATAACATACTGCAAGATCACCAAGTCTTGCTGCACAGGATGTAGACTGCCCAACTCCAGAACTCCATTTATATAGATGACAGACCAGTGAGCCCCACATGTTGTGTAATGCTGTGTCTTTGCCTACTAGACTGAGTTTAGATCTATAACAGCTGCTGTACCTCACTAGTGATCTTGTCCTTAATCAGCAAGGAAGAATCTTTAATGCAGATACCTTTCTTACATGTCCACACACTCTTATAAAAACAGCCAAGTAATTTAGGCATGGCAGATGTGAAACCACTTTGTTTTTTGGTATATGTTTACTGAAGGAAACCGGACTCTTTTGCAAGGCTAGTGTTTCTTGTTCAAGAGTTTTCTTTAAATACATTCTGGGTTGAGGCCTCTTTAAATACATTCTGGTTTGAGGTCTCTAAATACTGTTTGAGTTAAGTACATCGATCTATCTATCTACCATATATTTTCACATACACAGACATACACATGCACTCTCAGAGAGAAAGTACTAACCCAAGTATGCTGCTTGGCTGGTGGATTCAGCCAGCCCTTCCCTGCGCAAGTCTTTCCCTGCATCCCCAGGGGTGGAGCAGTGAGCGGGGGAGCTCTCCAACATGAAGTTCTTACTCCTGGATGTGCTGATGATCCGCGGTGGCAGGAGCACATTGATGACCGTCTGCAGCAGTAGCTGCACCTCAGGCTGCTCCAACCATGGGCTATCTGAGGGGCAGAATTTGGAAGAGGGAAGTGGAAAGAAAAACATCACAAGGTAGACTGTCCATATTAGATACAGAAAAACTCAGCTCTTTCCAAGTCCAAACTATGACACTCTAGAAATTCAGGTGTTTCCCACCAAGTACAGCTTCACCAATGGACAGAAACAGTGTTCCTGGCACTTGGGTATTTTCTTCATAGTGGGTACCCAAAAACTTGTGGTCTTAGCCAAATGTCCTGCTTACCATTTCAATCTCCTTTCTTTTTGCAAATATTCATTTGCACTGTTTTTACATTTGACATAAACTTTTTCTAAAAGAATCCCTCTACCCCTAAGCAGAAAAAGCCATGAAAATACATTGGAATTTAATGACAGTGGCAGGATTTCTGCTAAACCCAGTGGCAGTGGTTGTAAAAGTTTGTTCACCTGTCAATTCTTATATTGTACTTCAACTAATACCATTTTCTCAACTGAATTGAAACACTGTTCCCCTGATTTTTGTTGTACTGAAATGACTTTAAATAGGATGTATCTTCTAAGAAGTAGAGCAGAGAAACTCTGGTCCCAGGGTAGCTAAACTGAAAAGAAAGAAAAATTCTTATTTCCTAAGGTGATTAATCTGAATGATTTAAATCATTCAGATTGACTTCAGTGATAGTCTTCATGGGAACAGGGACAAGAAATAACAGCCTGACATTTAAGAAAACACAACAACAATGACAAATTTCCTTTAGTCAAATTAATCAGACCTTTGCTTCCAGATCCTACTGTGAGCACAAATGGGATGAGCAGATTTAAAAGCATCCCCTCCCTTCGCTCTTGATTGGTGAATGGGGAGATCACATGGCTTAAAGGAAAATCTTCTTTTAAAGCCTGTGCAGCAATAATAGAAAAAAAGATTAATTGACCACCACACACATTTAGTATATTTGTTTTTATACAGCATGATGGAGACGGTGATTCCCTGCCGGCTGCTCCTGTAAACTGAGTTCAATTGTCGTCTGTACATCATACAAGCTTCACCCAAATCTGATACTTTACCATTGTCTTGATATAATTGAGAGCTATATACCTAAAAAGATAGTAACACCTTGAATATTAAATGAAAAATTAGAATACTTATAGTCAGGTTCAAAAACAACCTCATTTCCCCATTAATTTTCTCTATGTGTCCACCAATAAATATTTTAACAACAAAGGAGAAGGAAGAAAATTAGAACTTCTCACTTGCTCCAGGGAATTGCTAAAAAGTCCTCTGGCCCCTGCCAGGAGAGGCCTTCTTCAAGCCAGGAAACAATTGCAATATAGAGAGAAATACGTGATATTTGTACACAGATCATTAAAATGTATCACTTTAGGGATGTAACTGTTTCCCCTCTTACTTCATCTCTTTTCTATCATCTCCCCATTCTCTCGATGATGAGCCATCAAGCTTATTGTCAAATAATGGATGGGTCAGTTATCTGTTTACATCAGTTGTGTACTTTTCATTGATTACAGAGCTTTTCAGTGATTTACCACTCTCTAAAACTGGGCGACACACAGAAATACTCAAGAGAATTGGGATTCTGCAGTGTTTTGTTGTTGTTATTGTTGTTTTTTTTTTTTTTCCCTTGGGAATGATTAATTTTAAGAAATAAACTAAGTGGGAGAATTTTCTTTAAAAAAGCACTCATAATATTCAACCCACAATGATTAAAGAAAGTTAAGATATTCAGAGTCTAGTGATAACATTTGAAAGAATTTTATATTGCAATTCTTTCTGAAAATAATTTAAAACCAGACTGTGAATATTACTGCCTCTTTTAATTAACAATTGTGAGCTGATTATCTGTGAACCATTATTTGCACACATTTTAAATAACTGAAGTGGTTCCTGAAGTTGTGGCAGGACTAAATGACTCTGCTATATTTGAGATCTCAGGAAGAATTACAGAAGCACAACTTAGGGCCAAGCTCAGGGCTGAAGATCCAAACTTATAAAAGTTTGGAGATATTTACACTTCTGTTTCACAGATTTTGCCCAGCCTTTGCAGAAAAAAACGAGAACACCATGATCTGGTGCCTCAACCAACAACTTAATGAGCGTGACAAACAGGTAAGGTAGTCACACCTGTATCTGCAATGCTACAAGCCGGACAACAGCTGTGCTGAAGGGCAGAGGTGGTGAGAGATAAGGGCTGAGATGAAGAAGGGGTAATCCATCAGCAACACTGGAAGGTCCTACCACTCCCATCACCTGAAATACAAACAGAGCACATGACCAGCCTTGACTATTGCAATTTCATGCAACCATAGTAAGGGAGTCTCAACGATGATGATGATAATAATGATAAATTGAAGGTTGGGCATGTTATTCAATCTTTTCTTTCTTGTTGCCTTCTGAAGGCATGTAATGTCTGGAGTCAGATCGAACATTACACTGAATTCAGGCAAGGTTTTGTAGAATGCTGTTAATAGTTAACTATGTAAATAATGAGAGATGAACTAAAAAGCTATTCTAATCACGAGATTGGACACTTACTTGTGAATTCAAAGGAATGCAGTCAACATTCCTTAATGGAGCAAATACTGACAACAACGATGATGGCAACAGCTCTATTTGCACTAGGCATTCCAACTACAGATTTATTGCTCAACTAGTGAAGCAGCAGGTCCTATTTAATGAGATGCTCTAACATGGTTTCCACACATTTTACAAAACCTTGTCAGGACCAGACTCTAGATATTACATAAACAACAAAAAAATCTTTTTTCTCCGCATAAATCCTAGACTGGCCAACTCATAATGTCATTTTGCACCATACAAGAAAAAAATTCTCTGCATTTTAAGCTCTCCCACCCCAACTACCTCAACTTCTAGCCAACTGTGGAGGCTCCACCACCCCACTCTCCAACTGGCAGCCCTCAACTCTCAGCGCAACTTGAAGAGGTGAATTGTCAAAGTAGTGCATGGGAAGCAGCACACCAAAATCCCGTCTGTGTAGGGATGGGTTCCTGGATCTCCCCACACACCACCTTGAAATGTACCTCACTATTTTCAGTGTCACCTGAGCCGTCTATTTTCATGGGCAGATAGGGGCACAAAGTGGTTGACCTGTAAATCTTCAATTCAGAGAAGTCAATAGCAGAGTTAAATTGTGCAAAGTTTCATAAGATTGCCACTTGGCTACTCACCAGATTGACACAGACATTGATCAGTGACCTAAGGTGAGGCAGGAAGGATATGATTGGCTGCCTCTGAAGTGTCAAACAAACCCCTTCAATCAAATTGCTGGCAGGCTCCCACTCAACCTGTCGCCTGGAATACAATATAGGAGCCATTAGCCGCTTGGCTCCCTTCTGGAGAGTCTGAAACAAGTGAATGAGACAGTGATTTTGATGCCATCTAAGACAGGATGTGTCTCTGGGATGAAGTTTACCCATATTGTTCCAAAAGCATAGAGCACACTGGGAGGGGAAGAAGATACTGAAAACGTAGCAGAGGCAGGCCTGCCCCACTCGACTAAATCTATTGAAGAAAAAACAGAGATGATGAATGGGTTGCATTTTAAGTTCCCTGGTTTTAGCTTTGACAGAGGGTCCTAAGACTACCATTGCAGCAAAGCGATCACAGGGGTAATTACTCCTAATAGAACTAATCTGACTCCAGCTGCACTTCTGAAACCTGATTATCAGACTACACATGCCCGTCAGTTTTTACACCAGACTACCACTAATTTGATTTATATAGCTTAACTCCTGCCAAGATCACATTAAAATAAAATAGTTTATTTAAACAGCGATCTTTCTTGGCCTCCTAATATATGATATGTATTTTTTGTCTACTTTCTATGGTAGTATAAATGGTGTTACTGTATACATAACCCAATTAAATGAATATGGGATTTTCTATAGTAAGAGTCAATCCATTCCATAATTGTCATAGTACTGAAAGATTCATCCCTGTGGCCCCAAAATAAACAGCTTGGGCTTTACTGATATTAACACCATTTCTTTATATTTTCCTGGCAATACTTATATTTCCTATCAAAAAGGAATCTGCAATGACAAATGGAAATGTATTCATAATTGAGGCTGTGTAACACCTCCAACACTGAAGGTAATGCAGAGGTCAGGTTTAGTCAACATTTCTTGTGTTGAACTGAGATCACCTAACAAATTTAAATCCAAGCCAACTCCATATTCATAGCGCAGCTCCCAAGAACATTGCCTATAGCAGACCAAGCCTATGTATTAATCCAGAACTCTACTTTTGGGAAGCATGATTTCTTTATAGTGGACTTAATTATATCATAAATGGGTCAATTTTGGAGATGTTTAACATCTTTAGATACCAAGTATTTAAGAAAAGAATTTATTTCAACACACCCCTGTAAGACTGTAACTCTTTGATAAGCCATTTGCTGACAGACACAAATCTTCTATTGGGATCACTAAAGAAATAGTGTTTTAAAACAGGCATTTCCATGCCATTGAAATAAACAACCTTGAAATAATGTACAGGCAGGCATCACCATGATATAAAATAATATAAAAACAAATAATCAATTATTAGAATAAAAGTTTTCAATTTGTTTTTTTAATGACTCCTGAAGGGTGGATTAGTGTGGAGATTATGAGCTAATACCTGGAAAAATTCTGATATAAATTCTTGGGAAAGAGCTGCACTAATTTTTGGGTTTAGTTTAAAAGGACAGAAAATGTTCTCACTAACCCAAACTTAAAATTTCCAGGTAAGTGGGTTTACCAGTATTAATTCGTTGAACTACCTGCTCACTGTCACTAGTTTCCAAACTCAGCTCACATCTCTAAGTAGACTGGTTCAAAACCATCTGCTAATATGCAGGCTACCAATGAATATTTCCAAGATCACTGAACAAAGATCAAGTGTTAACATTGTTCATTTAGTATGACACTGAAGTAGGTAAAAAAGTGAAAATTAGGCCTTTGTTATCAATCCTGTGAACTTTTAAGCTGATGCTTGGATGATTATTGTAAAGCTTGGAATTTCTCTAAACTGGTATCTAAATATGTTAACCAGCTATGTCAAATATAGTACTTTGAACATAAAATTCATTTTCTTTTCTCATTAGTTGTTTCATTTATAAGGCATGGCTTCTTTTATTTTAAAAGGGATTGAAGGGTACTAATTGAAATTTTTATATATATCAGATGAGGAGCATGATAGCTAAGAAATGGATAGATTTTTCAAGATGAGCACATATATTTTTAAAGAAAATGTTATTTTTCTTAAAATGTAGGCTTTGCTACTTAGGCATTCATAGACCCTATTAACTATGTACATATACCAAAGAAAACTTTCAAATCATTCATTCAACTCCAGAATGATTCACCATCTTAAAAAACGACAAATCCTAACTTTGACATTTGTGATAGCAACAGCTAACTAGGAGGCATTCTCACCTCAAAGTAGGCATCTTATGAATTTTGTTGAACATTCTATCCAATCTTTTTAAAATGAGGATGAGGGCTGGCCTCACTGCCTCAGCTGTCCAGTCAGTAATGGGTAGCATCTCCATGATGTAGCGCCGAAGCCCACGACTCTCCATTGTCTGGGTGTCATATGGTGCCAGCTTCAGAAGGGAGTGTGCAATTTCTGCCAACCTAAAATATATATGTATATATTTTTAAGATAAGTTTAGAATGACACAATGGGAATTTTTCTACATAGCATCATGTTAATTTCTCCTTCCAGTCCACCAACTCCCTGAACTAAGCACATTCTTCCCCACATCCTCTATCCTTCTGCTCTCCTATATACCAGAACAGTGATAGCTGCACATGCATATTAATAGAGATCATAGAATGTTCAGAGACTACATGTAAAGAGCATCTAATAAGGAAACTAAGATCCAGAGAGATTAAGGATAGGCCAACTATATCTAGGGAATGTCACTTCTGAGGATACGCATGTGTATATATACAGGTATATATACACGCAAATACATATATATTATAAATATGGCATATATGCATATAAAAAAAGAATATAACTTTAATGAACAATAAAATCACCAGCATCAAATGTCCTTGTAAACTTCATGGCTTCAGAAATCCCTCAGTGCCCACAGTCAAGATCAAAGGTGCCCTATAAAAAGTGCTCTTGGTTTTTGTTGCAGCCCAAGGAGTTCTTCAGACTCCATTTCCATTCCTCTCCTTTAAAGCCTCCTCCTCTCTTTTTGTCTTACACATGGATCCTTTCCCTCTGCTAAGATTCTTTATATAATAGACCCAGTTGTACTGTCTGGATTTTGGGTGTCTCTACTTCTCAGATTTCCCAACTTGGTTCCATACAGGAACTATCAGAGGGAGAGTTGTGCTTCCCTCAAGGCTGGCCCAGGCTTGCAGTCACCAGACCCAAGTGTGGATGCCCTAAGTGTCAGATTTTCTGGAGGAGAATTGGCCAACTAGATTAATTGGGCAAAAAAGGTTTTTAGTAAATGTAATAGTAACAAAATAATCTTCAGAACTAGATATGGACTATTGGTTTCCAAAGAACACAAATACAATGATGTACATAGCTTTAAAGCCAATTTCATTTAACTTTGTATAAAGGAGAAAATACTTAAACATTTTACAGTGCCTCCTTATAAAGTATACTGTGTAGATGCAAAATGTGTAGAAGATAATATTAAGACGTAATGTATACTCATTCATAAAAATATCTTCCAACTATGCTGTATGAATTGAGCTTGATTTTAGTTCTTTAAAAAAAGCTTATATTCTAAAAAATACACCTAATACACAGTGGTTGAAATGTTCATATTCTTTGTTGAGATACTGAAAATTCATTTGAAAACAAATTTCTTTAGGAAGGGTAATACATTAAGTTACTACCACCCATTATTTGAATCTTTGGCTTGAATCAGTACATGTTGAACCAGGCAGGCAGAGGATCCTATGGAACTGAAATGTAGGACAGAGGATTCCTGATGGGGCAGGGGAGCAGAGAGGCCTAATGTTGCCTAGGAATGCCTGTGTGGATGGCATCAGCAGGAGACAGCCATACTTGGAAAGTTTTCAGGGCTGTTACTAAAGAGAGGAGGAGATTTGAGATAAACAGAAAAATAAGCTTTTCTGTTTTTTTGTTTTGTTTTGTTTTGTTTTTTTGAGACAAGTTTGTACTGGAAAAGCTCTGAAGATAATCTTCTCTGAGTCATGGAATTTCAGGGCTGAAAGAGCCCAAAATCGTCATAACAGTCCTGTGGGGAGTTTGCTACACACTGGCACCTCCTATTTAAATATATATATATATATATATATATATATATATATATATATATATATATATCTTAAAAGGAAAATGAAAAAATATAGTTTCCCAGGACTTCCAAAAATCTCATAAATAAGAACCTCTAAGGCCTGGGACCAGAAATCTGCATATTTTTAACTTTTATTTTGGAAAATCTCAAACATACAAAGAGGTAGAGAGATGAGTATATAGTAAGCCCCCAATATACCCATCACTCAACCTCAGCCTCCCAAATAGCTGAGGCTACCGGTGTGCATCCCCATGCCTGGCTAATTTTTATAGTTTTTGTAGAGATGGGGTTTCACTATGTTGTTCAGGCTGGATTTGAGATCCTAGACTCAAGCAATCCTCAGCCTCCCAAAAGTGCTGGGATTACAGGTGTGAGCTACTGTACCCAGCCTACAACGACTCTTGTTTCACACTCCCCCTTTCCCCACCCTGGACTATTTTGAAGTAAATCCCAAGCATCATATCATTTACCCAGACATATTTCAGTATGTGTCTCCACATTTATGGACACAAAAAAATTAAACACAATACAATATGACATTTGACAAATTAAAAGTAATTCTTTTTTTCTTAAAAAAAAGAAACCCCAAATATCCATTCAGTTCTCAACATTCACACACTATCTCATAATTAATTTTTTTTCTACAAATTAGGAACAAATAAGGCCCATAAATTTCAACTCATTCATAGATCTTTAAATTTCTTTTAATATGCAGATTTCTCCTTCTGTGTGTTTTTCCTACCTTTTATTAAAGAAATTTGCTGTAGCAACACTGAATTTTGCTGATTGGATCTCTATGGTGTAATTTAATCTATCCTACTGCCTTTGTATTTAATTCAATTGGAAGTTAAATCTAGGGCCTGCATCTGCAGACTCGGTTTTGATTTTTGGCAAGAGTACGTAGCAAGTGGTGTGTGTGGTGTGTACTTCCGCCAGGAGGTACAGGATTCCTAGCTGTCACTCTTTTTATGACGTTAGCTGCTCTCAGTCACTGCACAGATCCACTGATGCATTAGGAGTAGTGCAGTGGTAGTATCACGTAATTTTTTTCTCACATATTAACTATAACATTGTAATAAAGAGAAATTGTGATTACTCCAAGAGAACAGAAGAGTGAATAACTTTGAAAGGATCTAGAGAGTAAGAGCTCCCCAGTTGATTTTGATAGGCACCTTGGTTTAGAAATCACAGCAACCTATTACCTCTCTAAATACTTAGATTGTTCTATAATTGTTTCATGTGACTAGCTCCACGGATGAAAACTCACTATTGTACAAGGCAACCTATTTCATCTTTGGAGGTCCACACTGTGAGAGGTTCCTCTCATGTTAGGCCTCCAAATTCCCTTTAATTTCTTCCTACTAGGCTTAATTTTGAAATCATAAATCTAATCTATCTTCTCCATCATGACTCTTCATTATTAAGAAATAGTTATTATCTCTTAATTCCCACTATCTTCTCTCCAGACTGAACATATTCACATTGTCCTGGAAATTGTGTGTGAATGTGGATGTTTTAAAGAAATCATTTTAAACAGTTTACACATTCTTTTGTTTACCTCTTTCTCATGAATTTGATATACAGAAAATAATTCTTCTCAGGTTATTTGTGTGACAAGTAAGAGTGTATCTATATGCACTTATTTCTTTTCTCTTACTATTTTTAAAGACAACATTGAGAAGTGCTTGTGAAATAATCAATCTATTTTAAGCTTCAAAAGAATACTTAGAGCTGAATTTAAGAGCCATTTTATGGATTACTACCTGAATAGCTCTAGTCCCTGGTCACATGATAAATTTGTTTTGTGCATAAAACGAAACTTCCCTTTCCTACAGTCTTTGCTGTACTATCACATGCATAATCAAAAAACTTTCCTATGGTTCTTTCCCAGTGTGAATATAAGAGATTTTCCCATTGACGGAGTGAGGGAGAGAAGAAAAGAGGAACAGAGAAAGAGAATGAGAGAAAGAGACCACACAAGAAGAGAGAGACAGACAGAGAGAGAGTGAGAATTTACATATTCTATTATCTAGCCGCTTTGGCAGCACTGGGTTGGGCAAATGAAGCAATACATTTCTGTAGGGCAGAGACGCTATCTAATCAAGAATATTTTCTTCAAGAGCCTTGTAATCAAGTATACATTCTGCGGATTCAGAAGTATAGATTGCCTCAGCACTAATTCTTTTTTTTTTTTTTTTGAGATGGAGTTTCGCTCTTGTTACCCAGGCTGGAGTGCAATGGCGCGATCTCGGCTCACCGCAACCTCCGCCTCCTGGGTTCAGGCAATTCTCCTGCCTCAGCCTCCTGAGTAGCTGGGATTACAGGCACGTGCCACCATGCCCAGCTAATTTTTTGTATTTTTAGTAGAGATGGGGTTTCACCATGTTGACCAGGATGGTATCGATCTCTCGACGTTGTGATCCACCCACCTCAGCCTCCCAAAGTGCTGGGATTACAGGCTTGAGCCACCGCGCCGGGCTGCCTCGGCACTAATTCTTAACTTGTTGGTTTGATTCAAATTATTTCTGCAAACATTTGTATTTTTTATATCATCCCATTTCTCTTTCTCTTTTTAAAAATCAACTTTTCATCCTTGGGTGACATTATCTATTCTTATTAAGAACGATTTAATACTACCCTCAATTCACAAATTTATATATTAAGCTCTGACTTCTACATATATTCAAGTATGCACTTAATTTATAGGAGGCGCCTTAATTACATCCTTTGCTTGGCATAAGGTCAAAGCATCTGGATCTACCCCTACTCAGCAACACAGAATAGTTCTATTTAGTTAGAGACTATGGCAGGCCTATCTTTTTCAAAAGCTTGTTGTGAGAAAATGCATTAATAAAGGGCATTTAATCTACCTATTCCCTGGGCAATATAAATGTTGCCCTCCTATCGACCCAGGCCATGAAATAGCTGTGTTCTTGAATGTCATTATCCTGGCTTCAGATCAATTGCTCTTGCTGAACTGCATTATGACATTGTGACAACTTTATATACTAACAGGCGTCCAGCACGTACAACCAGCACTTTCTCTGCTATAGGTATGTTGTTGAAGACTCTGTTCATCATACCACTCTTTCAACAAACACCAACCAGGAGACTGTTGAAGCTCAGAAAGCAATACCCCAAAATGAAGACCTCAGAAGCCAAAGTTTTTCACTGCCCTCCTGCCCTCCTCTCTGTGGTCTCTCATTCTTTTCCAAGGCTAGCCGTGGAAACTGGAGAGACCCTTCCCCTCAAAGGGGAACCCTTTTTTCCTGAAGCCAACCATAAAACTTAAAATTATTACAATAACTTTCCCCCATCTTTCTGTGTAAAAACTAGCCATAGAGAAATGATCTGACCCATCTGGTTTGATTGTAGGTAGAATGCCCCCTTTCCAGAGAGGATCTTACCCCATTTCCAGAAGGAGGAATGCTAACCAGAGAGGCCAAGAAGAATCTAAACACACAGGCCATGCTGGGTTTCCTCACTTGGTCTATTAGCATGAGATCATACCCTTTTTGTCCAGTCGTACTTTGTTAAACAAAAATGGAGAGCTTCCCCTGTATTTTGGGGTCTTCATCCTGAAGGCTCCTGTGTCAAGTAAAACTATGATCAAATACATTTTTATGCTTTTTGATTATGATCTGCTTCTTATCAGATGATTTTCAGCAAAGATTCAGAGAGTAAAGGGGAAATTTTCCCTTGGCCTCTACAGGATTTTTCTTGTTCTTCGTATTTTCAAAAAGTATTGTTTCGCCAAGTAACTGTTTGGTTTTTAACTTATTTATATTATGATTTTTTAATTAATCTTTTTTTTTACTCATTGCTTTGATAACTCAGAAGCTCAAAGTCAAATTTATGATTCATGAATATCTAATACGATCTTATATTGATTGTCTGTGCTAATCTCATCATAGATAATTAACTCCTTGAAAATCTCTCACATTATCCTGACCCTATAATTTGTATATACCATCCCTTCATATATTTTCTGAGTTGCCTCAAATACTTTATACAATGATAACACATAAATACATACGCAATTATAGTACTTGCAACACTGTATTATAGTTATTTTCTTATGTGCTTCTTGCAGTGAACCATGATAATTCTGAGGACCAGGATCTTACTTTATATACTCAGTGTTTAACATAGTATTTGGACCATTCTCATTAGCATTAGTATTTATTGTGTCCAGATCTGTGCCAAGCATGGAGCTTTCTAAATCATTTACAGTTTATTTAACCGTTAATAGGTATTGGCCTCTAGAGGGAGCTCCAGGACTCTCTGACTTGCTGTCCCCTCCCTCCAAATGCCCTAAAGAAGAGTGTAGATACAGTCAGGTTACAGGACAATCACTACCTCATAGTCCTCTCTCTCTCTCTCTCTCTCTCTCTCTCTCTCTCTCTCTCTCTCTCACACACACACACACACACACACACACACACACACACACACACCCCTTCTAGTAATATTTTTTCCTTTCTCTCACAAAATGGCCATTGGTCATAGTGATTTTCTGACTCTGGGAATGTGATGTTTCTCTGCTCACAGAATTGCTTAGGTCAGCTAGAGAAGACCAGTGGGAAAGAAAGAGGAGGGGCTGAATAGATCCTAGACAGCAGGACCTTAACATGTCCCTCCCCTTTCTTTGAAGGCTCCCATCTAGGAGCTGAACTTCTCAGTGTGAAATAAGCTCTTCCCCATTACTGCACAGCAGGGAGTGTGAACTCCAGTGAGGTTATGAGGCTCTCCAGGGCAGTGCTGGGTGTGTGCTCACAATTCAAAGAATGTGAAATGACACTGGAAGCAAAAGAACCTGTGCTCTCTTCACATTTCTGTCTTCTCATTTTCTTTCATTTAGTACTTTCTAAATTAAAAAAAGGCAATAACCAAAAAACTGTGAGTTTTGCCAAATTGCAACGTTATTTCAAAGTCTAACTCTATCTGAACCTAACTCTATCAGCACTTTTTTGTTTTGTTTTGTTTTGTTTTGTTTTGTTTTGTTTTGTTTTGTTTTGTTTTGAGACAGCCTTTCCAGGCTGTCGCCAGGCTGGAGCACAGTGGTGGGATCCCTTTAGCTTTATGGATACATTAAACTTTCCAAGTGACTCTTTTGTTACCCATGACATTTTTCTTTCAAGGGATTTTTATCACCCTTAACAAATGATTACAAATGTGAATAGAAGATCCTCTGGAATCACGTTCCTTTTGAAACACAAATACAGCCTCTAGCGTGAATTTCAAGTGAGATGTCGTCTCCATAGGAAGATAAAATATGAATGCCCAGGGATGTAATTCTGGGGCCTTTCCCTAGTGTACTAAGAGTAAAACATGTAAATGACGACTGGCCTCATTTGTTATTTACATGAATCCAGTTCAGAATTTTTACCAGGACACTTTTTTTTTTTTTTTTTAAGCTGTTGTGGTTGTTTATATAAAGGGGATTTCAAGCCCAAGCCAAGTTGGCTGAGTTAAAACTGCTTACTTCCCCGCAGGGCTCATTACTGGGATTTTAGGGAGCCTAGAAGCAGAAAGTAGTTGTGCATTCTTCATGTAAAATAACAGAAGAAACATTCAATTCTTGTGAAAAATTAGAATCTGGGCATCAAATAACACTGGGAAGAAGGCTACTTTTATAAGAGTTCAGGTGATAACATTTCCCTTTCTCTTTTATTGAGAAGCAAATACATAAACAGTGCTTTTCTGTCCTAAAAACATTTCTCCCTTGTCCACCCTAAGATCCTGTGTGGTCACTTAATGCACACCTTGCCAGAGGGTTCTGTATGATGTGTACCTAAGTCACAGGAAACAAATCATTCTACTGCAAGTGTTTTTCCTCGAGAATGCCCACTCTCGACCCAGCACACACATTCCAACACATGGGCCAAGCTGTGCTCACATTTGGAGCAGGGAAAGGGAGGCCAGTACCTCATGTGAGACTTCACATCCAGCAGCTCCAGGGCAGTGACTCGTGGCTCCCCAGCCAGATTTTGCAAGATCTTCAGCCGCGGTCCACAGTGCTTATAGAACTCTGTGCAAATATTCAGTAAGGACTCCCGGGGTCTTCTGAACTCTTCTCGAGCAATGCGTTCATCCAGTTCCTCTCTGGGAAGGCCTTGCCCTTCCTCCAGTAAATGAAGGTTTTCCCTGGGAAATTGTAAAAGATTAGCTAGGGAGTCTGAAAATGTATGCATGTGGCAGTTGTGAGAAGAGGGTATGACACTGAAGAAAAATACAAGATTCCTAATGAGTTAATGAATCAGTAAGTAGGGTGAGGCCAAGGAGAACCTCATCCAAAGGATAAACAAAGCTTATCAGCCTGGAAGAGACTGTCAACCAAAATTGTAGTAAAGCCACTTCTGGGGGTTTACCCAGAAACAGTATGTTACGCATCAAACTAAATCTAACAGAGCCATACCCCAGTTTTAAAGGCAATCATCTCAAGATGTCAGAACTGGTATGAAATTAGAGCTAGTCTTTCTGTACCTGATAAAGTGCAGTTTGGCTCCTTGTTCCTGGTACCTGGGAGTTAGAAAAACAGTCTATGTGACTATTAGAGCAAGAACAGGGTCCCTTGGATATGGCTTCTTACAGGCTTTTTCTTTTGAAAAGCCCTTGAAGCTATATATTTTGATAAGCTCACAAATATAGATAGACTACTAGTAATATACACTCATAAACACAAACCCATGGAATATAGCCAAATGAGAGAAATTCTTAGAAATTTTGAAATCTAAGATGTAGTTTTAATACCATGTGCTCTGTTTTAAGTGATAGGAAGGAGAATCATGGCTGACTTCCTTTCGGTTCTGGAGACTTATTGCTTTAGGATTCATGGATAATAAAACTTTAGAAGCCCTCTTTCTTCTTTAGAAGTCCTCATTTAACCCAGTGAGCCTAGAGAAGCCCCTAAATATCACTTAAACTACAGTATATCTTTTTTTCTTAATATAGGAAATTGAGGCATGAGTTAACCATCGTACCAGGCAATTTATAGTTGGGTTTGGAATTTATTTTTGTTTTATTTTTAATATGAATATATATGATAAGCAGGGAATTAACTTTACATGAATAATGATACACACTTAAAAATAGGCTTCAGAGAGAGTGGAAATTTATTGAATTTCTCCTTATGATTTCCATACCAACTACTCCATACTGAGTAAAGAGAACTTTTTCTTAAGCTGATTTTGAGTCTGCCCTATCTTAAATCTTCCTTGTAGAAGGAAGCTAATTAGGCTTCTTGTGTATGTCAGAGTATTTAAGTCTAACACAGATGGAATGAAACAGGTAAAATATTAACTAGTATAGCCAGTGTCTGAGTTGTACCAAAACGAGGGAAGGAGACTAAGTCAACAAGCATGAAAAGCATCATTTGGGGGGCATATGTCAAATTTCAGATGAAATGTCTGCAGAAAATCTGTCCAGATGAAAGAAAGTAAGTTGACTCAGTGCCCTGGGAATGAGAAACCACCTCCTGACTACTATTGTTTATTTGCCTTTTGTTGAAGGCAAATGAAACAACACTGGAATAGTTCCAAGACCACCCAGGAGGCAGAGAACATCTAGCATGCTCAAGCAAACCAAACAACACAAATGCCTATTTATGAGGGTGGTTTAGATTTCTCTTTGACAATTTCAAAAGAAGTCTTAGTCTTTTCTTGGAACTCTACACTCTCACCTCTTTTCTTTTCCTTGGAGGTTTTCACACTCAATATTGACTATATTCAGGATTCCTTTCATTCCCAACAGCTGACATTCAGGTTGTATGAAATTAAGAGACCATAGAATAAGGCGCAGTGAATTACCTGGTGTTCACCCCAGACGACATGGTGTGATTGGCTGTGGTGGTTCCCTTATGACCTTGGTCACACCTGCTCATCTGTGGGGCTGTCATGGGCCTATGACGACGACAGTAATCATCACAGCAAAACAACAACACAAGTGGAAACATTTATTAAATCCTCAAGTTACTGAAGCACACATAAGTTTTAAGTTAGAGTCTTCAAAAGACAGGCTTTCCGGCTTTGGATTTTTTTGTTTGTTCTGAGAGTCACTTTAAAGGAACGTTGATTCCCAAGGGTTTATAAGCTCATTATGATTTGTGTTTTTCCACTTCTTGGTTTTGAATAATTAACTCTTTAAAATGACTCTTCAAATAAGACATTTATGAAATATCTACAGACTTCAAAGTCTGTACCAATTAAGAGTTAAGAGCTCATTCTTCAATTCTGCAGACAGTGGGCAGTTCACCATTCTAGATGATAAGTTAAAGGCAAGAATGTATGTACCACTTTGGCCGCCTACACCATTATCAACTACTCTATTTTTTCTGAGAAACTATCAAAGAATAAAAGAATTCTCCTCGTCAAATCACACCTAAGGCTACCTGGGAAAGTGAGTATGTTAATATCTATTATAAAGTCAGTAATTTAGATGCTTTGTAATAGATCTGAACTGTCTCATTTTATATCTGCAGGGTTTACTTTAAATAATAGGTAAAATTTTGCCTCTGTATTGGCATCTAAGACGTAAAAGGCATAATGCAGTTTTTTAAAGCAATTTCTTTTATAAAATCAAGGCTTGCTTCTGTGCTGCTCATTTTCTCTATGCTGGGCATAGCTAGAAAGTAAGCTTTTAACAATCACACCAGATCTCCTCTTCCCTTGCCTGTGGTGGTAGACAGAATTTAGAGATGGCTCCCAATATCTCTGCCCCTTGGTGTTACTCCAGTGATTATGTTACATTATATGGCAAAAAGGGGGAGTACCTGGGTAGACCTAATCTAATCACATCAACCTTACAAAAGCTGAGAGTATTCTCTGGATGGGGACAGAGAGATTTGAAGTATAAGGATTCAAGGTGCTATTGCTGGCTGGAAGCTTCGGCCGGGTGGGGGCTGGCATGTGAGAATAAATGCAGGTGCCTTCTCAATGCAGAGTGGTGCCTGACTGACAGCCAGCAAGGAAATGGGACCTCAGACCTAAAGCTGCTGGGAACTAGATTCTGCCAAAAAAATGGAATGAGCTTGGAAGTGCATTCTTCCCCAGCGCCTTCAGATAAAAGTTTAGACTAATAAACAACTTGACTTCCAACTTGAGAAACCATGAGCAGAGAATTCAGCTGAACCTGCCTGGACTCCTGGCTTATACAACTGTGAGATAATAAATGGGTTTTGTTTAAAACCTCTAAGTTTATAATAATGTGTTACAGAACAGTTAAAACTAATGCACTTGTGATATATTTATGTAATTCTAACTATGTAATTGTTAAATTTCTTTTGTCATGAGATAAAGAAACTAGGAATATGGAGAAATTAAAAATTAGGGGATTCTTATCTTCTTGTGTAAAAACAGTGAAGACAATTTTGTTGTAACTACTACCGACTAATGAGGCTAGTCTTCTCCACCAAAAGAATATTAAATGAACTAGAATATTTAAAGCCAGAGAACTTTAAATGTCAGAGCCCCATCCAAAACTCTTTGTGAGCTTTTGGGTAAGTAAATTTTGGATAAGTTAATTGACTTATTCTTATAAAAGGGCATAGGAATGAGGAAAGTTTTAATATTATGTAATATGAGGAGAAATAGTCTGAGCGTGGTAAATCACACCTGTAATCCCAGTACTTTGGGAAGCCAAGGTGGGCAGATCATTTGAGGCCAGGAGTTTGAGACCAGCCTGGCCAAAATGGAGAAACCCCTTCTCTACTAAATATATAAAAATTATCCCGGCATGGTGGCACATGCCTGTAATCCCAGCTTCTTGGGAGGCTGAGGCATGAGAATTGCTTAAACTTGGGAGGTGGAGGTTGCAGTGAGCCAAGATCATGCCACTGAACTTCAGCCTGGATGGCAGAGTGAGACTCTCTCTCTCTCTCTCCATATATATATATATATATATATATATATATATATATATATGTGTGTGTGTGTGTGTGTGTGTGTGTGTGTGTGCGCGCGCGCACATGTGCGCATGTGTATGAAGAAATACAGTGACACTTTGGAAAAAACTGCATTTCTCTCCTCTAGTTGTAGGAGAAGGCTAGTGATGTAACCAGATAGGTACACAAGGAAGAGTGTAAGTCTTTCATTTCTCTTTAGGATATTCTTCTGGGACTTTCATGAAACCATCAGCAATAGCATAGAACACTACCTCTCACTGGAAGAGGCAATTTGTCATTGCTGTCTGTGCCAACCCTTCCCATTTCCTTAATTTAGGTGCATATGAACATTTCAGGATGACAGTCTACAGCAGAGTTTTGGGCAATATTCTGCTTGTCTAGTCTGGCAATGTAGCTCATGATCAGAAACTAAACCCACATTGATGTTAGTGAATTACAATCCCACTCCCTCTCTTACTTGCGGATGAATGCTGAAAAAGTCCTTTCTGGACTAAAGGGCTTCCCTCTTACCAACACATTGAGGTGGACTGGGGGAGTTGGTGTCTTCTGGTGGAGGTGTAGACAATTTCACAGTAAGGATTTGGCACTTTAGATTGGACCCACAGCATGGCAAAATGGAATGAAGGAGCAAAGACACTAAACCCAGGAAGAAGACTTCCCCATCCCTATCCTGGGGAAGAACATTTCCTTGCAGTTAATTTAGATGGGAATGGAGAAGGAAAGCCCATCATACACATAGTGTCCTGCCACCACCTTCCCCACTCACATTTTATTTTACTTTTCTCATCCAGAGCTCTCTGTCTGCCCCTCTCCTGCCATATGCCAGCTTAATGACTCTGCTTCTGCACCCAAGCATCTTGTGACGGGACTAACTTCTTGATCTTTGTTTAGGGCTGAACTCTGGTGCCAATTTTTCTTAACCATTCCCAAATTTCTCAATCCTCTTTCCCAGCATTATTTAGTCCTGTCCCACAGAGCATCTGTTAATTCTAGCAGTAGGATAATATTTTGCTATTTATATTGGTGACGTAGTTTCTGAAATGATAGTTTAAAAACACAACTCTTCACAAACAGTAAAACAAAAGAATACTTAGTTGGAATTGCATGCATTCCATGTTTCATAAAATAATATAATAACAAAAATGTAGATTGCCTCTTAAATTCACTAAATTGGTTCTCTTATATAAGATTTGCTTACCACTGGGTTATAACTGCTGGAGAAGCTCAGAAAGCTACATGCAATGTGTGTTTAGCAATGATAGCAAGAATATTATTGCTATTATTACTACTACTACTATTCAGAGTACTTAACATGATTTATTCAAATAGCTTAGGAACTGTTTGCAGTTATAAGCCATAAAGGGCTGAGTTTAGGAAGTATTTGTAAATAAAGATTGGGTTTTAGATTTGTACCCATCACATTTTTTTCTTTGTTATTTTTTCAGTGGACACATATGATGTAAGGCTGTAGCTATTTCTGCCAATAAGATTACCTGGTGAGGACCTCTACACTGTATAAAAGGGCCTGTAGGGACGTTGCAAGAGCAGCTGTGGCCGCAATCTCCTCTCGGGCAGCAGGTACTGTCTCCACCTGTGATGTCTGCCTCTTTAGCTTTTGTAGGTAACACGGAACTAAGGCTTCCAAGACCATCAGCATCTGAAGACTTTAAGCAATAGAAAGAAAATGAGTCACTTTTTACATTTGACTTTTGTTGGTGGTGTCACATTTAGGAGCACAGAACAATGGAAAGCATCTAGAGATATAATGAATTCTAAGCCCCCTTGACACTCCAAATCAAAAGTAGTTAAAGCTGCTGGAGATGTTGACCAACAATTATTAGTTCACTAACCACCTGTGACAAGGTGATGAATCTTGCCTTAAGGAAACATGGGGTCTAGTTGGGGGAATTAGCCATATATACAAATAAATGATTGAAAGAATAAGAGAATGATAATAGGTGGAGCTATATAGTCCATCTAGAGAAATAGGCTTCAGAACGAAACTCGAATTCAGGAGTTTGCTGAGTAATTTTCCAACTGCAACAATTTTGAGACAACATAAAACCCTTTCCTGGGAGGCTGGCTTTCTGAGCTTAAGGAATTCATAGCAAAAAAACTTTAGACACAGCCATCATAATGAAGTCTGACAATGCGTGCTTACCAACGTGAGTAAACATCACTCACTGGGTAGGGCCCACACTCAATTTACTACTGGGGTGTCAGAAACACCTTGAAGGGAGATGGAGATTAAGTAATTATCACGAAAAGTGGATTTTCTCCTCTAAAGTTGTAAGTGTATAACACTACCAACATAAATTTTTCTTTTCTTTTGAGACAGATTCTTGTTCTGTCAGTCACCCAGGCTGCAATACAGTGGTGTGATTTGGCTCACTGCAACCTCTGCCTGGTTCAAGCGATTCTCCTGCCTCATAGGTGTGTACCACAATGCCAGGCTAATTTTTGTGTTTTTAGTAGAGACAGGATTTCACCATGTTGGCCAGGCTGGTCTTGAACTCCTGACCTCAAGCAATCTTCCCACCTCAGCCTCCCAAAGAGCTGGGATTACAGGCTAAGCCACCACACCCAGCAATCTTTTGTTTAGAGATTCCCCAATTATGTTAAAGTTTATAAATTGAGGGTTCTAGAAAACAGCACTGATTGGTCAATATCCCAGATAATGTGAAATCAATATTTTCTTTGATCCATTCTTCTTCCTACAGATAACCATGAGTTTTTGCCATGCTCTTTATTAATGCTGAATACTTGTTTCTGGTAATATAATTTTGCCTGGAATATGTGCTCTAGAATCAGGAAATGGCAATTATCAGAATTTGATGAGTATGGAGAAAGAGTTATGATACTCTTTTGAGTTCTCCTATTTTTTGCAACTTAAGAAATGAGGCAAGAAGTCAGTTCTGCGGCTTTCTGCAATAATAAAAAGTACCTTGCTGCACACTAATTGTCTTACTAGAAAGGGTGGACAAAATTTTTAAAACATATTGAAGGTACCAGGTAGAAGCTAAGGCTAGCAGTTATCTTTTGGAGGTACCAGATGTCTGGGGGAAAGAAAGCTTCCTCAGTTCATCCAGACATTGTGCTGCACTCTTTTTTTTTTTTTCCAGGCATTTGTGAGTTTGTAAATTGCTTAGGGCCAAAAGGCTAAGGACAAATCCAAGCAGAAATGTCACCTAAGAGCCATGAAGCTAAGCAGAATTTTCAGTAGCCTCACAGTGGCAAGGAAATATATATTGGAATTCACGGACTTCCAGGAGGAGTTAGATCCAAGGAAGGCTGTATCCTAGGAGTGTGAAATAAATAGAACAGCCCTTGCAAAGACTGAAACCCAAGTTTAAATCAAATGAATCACAGATTGAATTAAAATTATCTGCCTTGCCCCTGTTGCCAGTCAGAGAGTAAAAATAAATCATTTTTGGAGGAAGATAACATCGGGTAGACCCTCAAAGCATTTCTAACATTTTTAAATGCAATATTCAGTAGTCAAAATTGTCCAGTCCTGCTAAAACCAACTGATCGAAATCCAAGGAAAGGAACAGACAATATAAACAGGGTCACAAGTGATCTACATAGTAAAGTTAACAGACATAGATTTTTATAAAACAATGATTAAAATGTTAAATAAGAGAGATAATAAAATGGAGAATTTTATCAAAACTCTGAAATCTATTAAACAAGTAGGAATTCTAGAACTGATCACTAAAATACTTGAAATTAAAAAATTGAAAGATACTTATTAATAGTAAATTAGACACAGGAAGAGATGAGTGTGAACTGAAACAAAGAGCAATGGAAAACATCAAGACAGAAGAACAGAGGGGAAAAATGATAGAAAATACGGAAAAGAACATAAGAGACACACATAGAGCATAGTGTTAAGGAGAAAAAAATGTACGCATACATAAATGGAGAGGGGAGAGAAAATGGGATAGAGGTAATACTTGAAGAGCTATTTGTCAAATTTTCTAAAATTGTTGAAAGCTATCAAGCTTTATATTCAGGAAACACTATGAATCCCAAGAAATATAAATACAAAGAAAAATCACAACTAGGCACACCACAGTCAAACTGCTTAAAACCCAAAGCAAAGAGAAAATATTAAAAGTAGCCAGAGAAAAAGACACATTACATTCAAATGTGCAGTAAGATCTAATGCTGATTTTTTGACAGATATGATAAAAGTCTGTAGAAGATGAAATATTTTCTCTTTTATTTTATTTTACTAGTAATTAATTTAGTTTTTGAGACAGGGTCTTGCTCTGTTGACCAAGTTGGAGTGCAGTGGTACATTTCAGCTCACTGCAGCCTCAACATGGGCTCAAGCAATCCTCCTATCTCAGCCCCTTCAATAGCTGGGACCACAGGCATGCGCCACCATGCCCAGCTAATTTTTGTATTTTTTGTAGAGATGGGGTTTTGCCATGTTATCCAGGTTGGCCTCAAACTCCAGAACTGATGCAATCCACCACCTTTGGCCTCCTAAAGTGCTGGGATTCCAGGTGTGAGCCACTGCACCCAGCTGGAATATTTTCTTTAAATTAAAAAAAAAATTGTCAAAGGTAGAAAATAATAAAGATGAAAAAGGAAAGAAAGGCAGATAATAAACCTATGATAGCAAAAAACTACAAAGCTCCAAACACTGGTTCTTTGTAAAGAGAAAACTGTTAATAAAATTCTGGAAATAATAATAATAAAAAAAGGGAGGGAGCAAAAATTCCCAGTATTAGAAATAAAAAAGTGAGTACAATACAAACCCCATAGTCGTTAAAAATAGAAAAAAAAAGAATATCAGGAACAAATTTATACTAATAAATTTAGGTACTTAAATGAAGTAGAAAAATTCCTAGAAAAATGTGACTTACCAAAGCCACCATTAGGATAAAGAATTTTAATTTTAAAATGTTCCTACAGAAACTACATCACTTACAGTTTTGTGTATAAATTATACTCAATATTTTAAAAAGACAAAATGCTATTCTGAGCCAGACACAGTTGCTCAAGCCTGTAACCCCAGTACTTTGGGAGGCTGAGGTGGGAGGACCACTTGAGCTCAGGAACTGGAAACCAGCCTGGGCAACACACTGAGGCTTTATTGCTCAAAAAAAAAAAAAAAAAAAAAAAAAAAAAAAAAAAAAAAATTAGCAGGCTGTAAAGGCACCCACTTGTAGTCCCATTACTTGGAAGGCTGAGGTGGGAGGATTGCTTGAGCCTGGGAGGTCAAGGCTGCAGTGGGCCATGACCGTGACACTGCACTCCAACCTTGGTGACAGAATGAGACCCTGTTTCAAATAAATTTTTTTAAAAAGCTAATCTGCACCAAATTTCTGCAGAGAATAGGAGCTTTTTTAAAAAGGGGGTTGGGAGAGACACATTCCAATTCATTTTATGAGTCCAGCTTAATCTTCATATACTTGATACTAGAGCCTGACAAGGACTTTATAACAATGGAGGATTACAAATAAACCTGCTAAAACATTTGCCAGTGGGTAGTTAATAAAGTAGTAGCTAAGCAAGACATCTTTTTTGTTTAAGCACTTGTAACTTTTGTAAGTATACAGAATTGGTTTATCTTGAATGACGTAGAGCTACCTAGAATATATCTTCTATTACTAACTTCCCTGCAATTCCAGTAATAAAACTCATTAGATAAGACCTTTTTAAAAAATAAAAATTACGGACATATCTCTCATTAACACAGTTGTAAAAATGCTAAAAAAATTGCAAACACAATCTGGCAATACTGAAAAGTAATAATTATAATATACAACCCAATTAGAGTTTATTTCTAAGGAGGCAGGAAAGTTTTAATTTTTAAAATAAATCAGTGTAACCTATCAGACTTAGAAAATAAATAATAAAAATCACATAATCATCTCTATAAATAAAGAAGAACATTTGGTAATATTCATTATCTATCAATAAGAAAACTCAAGGTAAATTAAGAATAGAAGGCAGCTTCTTTAATAATTAATTTATTAATGAATAATAAAATTACTTCCTTAATCTTACTGGTATACTACAACAAAATTCTATAGCAAATATTATTCTTAGTGATGAAATATTGGAAATCCCCTCCATATTCTGAGATCAGAAATAAGACAAAGATCCTACCATCATCACTTCTATTTAATTTTGTATTAAGGTTCTAGCCAGTACATTAATGATAGAGAAAGAAATAATGTGTATAAGAATTTGAGCCGGGCGCGGTGGCTCAAGCCTGTAATCCCAGCACTATGGGAGGCTGAGGTGGGTGGATCACGAGGTCAGGAGATCGAGACCATCCTGGTGAACATGGTGAAACCCCATCTCTACTAAAAATACAAAAAATTAGCTGGGCATGGTGGCGTGTGCCTGTAATCCCAGCTACTCAGGAGGCTGAGGCAGGAGAATTGCCTGAACCCAGGAGGCGGAGGTTGCGGTGAGCCGAGATCGCGCCATTGCACTCCAGCCTGGATAACAAGAGCGAAACTCCGTCTCAAAAAAAAAAAAAAAAAAAAGAATTTGAAAGGATAAAATACAGCTCTCATGATTTGCAGATGATATGATTAATTAAACAGAAAACACTAAGAAATCATATATATCAAATTAAAAATACTGTAACTTCATTTAAAAATGGGAGAAGACAGCCTGGCGTGGTGGCTCACACCTGTAATCCCAGCACTTTGGGAGGCCAAGGCGGGTGGATCACAAGGTCAAGAGCTCGAGACCATCCTGGCCAACATGGTGAAATCGTGTCTCTACTAAAAATACAAAAATTAACCGGGTGTTTGGCACACGCCTGTAGTCCCAGCTACTTGGGAGGCTGAGGCGGAAGAATCGCTTGAACCCAGGAGGCAGAGGTTGCAGTGAGCCGAGATTGCGCCACTGTGCTCCAGCCTGGCAACAGAGCAAGACTCTGTCTCAAAAAAAAAAAAAAAAAAAAAAAAAATGGCAGAAGACTTCAATAGGCACTTTGCAAAAGTGGATGTCCAAATTTCAGTAAGGATTTATCTGAAAAGCTTCCAAACCTTTTAATTTGCAAGAGGGAAATGGAAATTAAAATGATAATGATTGTCACTATAACCCAATGAAATAGCCAAAATGAAAAGACCGAAGATAAAAAGTGTTGATGAGGCCATAGAGTACTAGAACATTTACATACTGTTGGTGGGAATGAAAATTGAAACCACCTTGGAATACTTTTTGGTAGTATCTACTAAAACAATACATACCCACAGTCCATGACTTAGCCTAGCATTTCCATCCACAGAAATGCATAAATATCATATACAAAGACATATACAAAAACGTTCATTGCAGCATTATTTATAATACTTTCAAACTAGATACGACACAAATGCTTGATAACAAGAGAAGAAATAAATTGTAAAACAGTTACACAATGGACTATTATAAGTGAATAAAAAAGTATCAACTACTGTTACATATGTTTATACGAATGAATCTCATGAAATAATACTGAATCACAGAAGTCAAACATTACAAAATAGCTACTATATTATTTCAGTTAAACAGATTTCAGAAATAGGCAAAACTGATTTAACATATTAGAAATCAGGATAGTAGTGCCTCTATGTGATTTTTCAATCTTAATGATAGTTGTGTAGATGTGATTATGTTATGAACATTCATGGATCTGTAAAATTATTATTTTTAAATGTTTTATGTAAATGTTACACTTAAATAAAATACTTTTTAAAAATTAAGTACAACAGAGACTTGCTGCTACAAATGTTGAAGTCCTGTTAAATATGTTACTTATTCCCATGAGCCATATTCCAGGGAACAGCTGCTAAGGAAATTCTGATCTTACCGAGACATGAAGGTGTCATCTGGTTTAAACTGAGCAGAACAGAAAATTAGGGAGGATTAAAAAAAAATTCTACTTTAATTTAACAATATTAGACTTTGGCCTTTAACTCTCAATGACAAGGAAATTTGATTGTGAACTCTAATTCCTTTTGATTTCAATGCATTTGAATTTTAACTTGAAAGAGAATTTTATGTCTCAATGGAAATTAGGTAAAATTTGAAATGAAAGAATTTTTTAGTCAAACTTAGGTGTTCTCTGTCTTGCTGAAATGTTGATTTTGGAGAATCTGTATGCATTTTATTATTGCAGCGTCTCAATTGCAGACTCTCTGACATACCCGGTTAACAACTTCTCTCTACTCTATTTTCCATTCTGGACATACTTGGAACGGAAAATAGAGTAGAGAGATGTTTACATCCATGTATAGAATAGATTTGGAGTTAACTTCATGCAGGACTTGATCCATTCTGGAACATTTTCTAGATCTGTGGTATTAAAGGAAGAGCAGGAAAGTGGGACTAGGACCATGCTGCAGCTTTGCTCTCCTGAAGGATGCAGCCAAGTCCCTGGCTGAAGACGGGCATACTGTTTCTCCTTCCCTTGTTCAAGAAGACAAAAAGTCGAGAATGTTCGGAAAAATATTTCTTACTCATTCTCATGTTTCCTTCCAGTAAAAACAGTTCAATTAACATAAATCCTGGCTCCTGTTGGCCCTTATTCAGTCTCTTATGGGAGAGAGATACAGGCTTAAGGTGCAGGCAAATGGATAAAGATTTACTGGGCATAGTCAGCTTGGCTCCTCCCTTCTTCTTGGAAGAGTTTGTCAACAGAGTAAAACTTTTAATAGATCATATTTAAATCTCAGACCAGAGCCAACATCTTTGAATTGGAATGACTCATTCTTCATGTGAGTCTTTTGAATTCTCTGCACTTGGCAAAATGAAGGCAAGATTTATATTCTCACCCTTTGTGTTACAGAAATTCTTATTGTTCCTTGAAAGGAGTTTTTAAAAATAAATATCTGTTATGAAATTTTGTTTGCTACTAATTTACATTACTTGTGAGGGAAAATATTTTCTAACAAGACTAAATAGCTTAGCATCCGTACAAAACCCAAATTAAGGGATTTCAAATGAATGAAGATTTACTATTGTTTTTCAGAGTCTCTGCTATGTTTCCTAAACTTAGTTTGCTTCTTCTTTTCTTTTCTTTCTTTTTTTTTTTTTGTGTGTGTGACAAAGTCTTACTCTGTTGTCCAGGCTGGAGTGTAGTGGTGCAATCACAGCTCACTGCAGCCTTGACCTCCTGGGATTAAGCAATCCTCCCGCCTCAGCCTCCCAAACAGTTGTGACTACATGTATGCACCAACACACCTGGCTAATTTTTAATTTTTTTTGAGACTGTCTCACTCCATCACCCAGCGCCAGGCTGGAGTGCAGTGGCATGATCTCAGCTCACTGCAACATCCGCCTCCTGGGTTCAAGCAATTCTCCTGCCTCAGCCTCCTGAGTAGCTGGGACTACAGGCACTCACCACCATGCCAAGCTAATTTTTGTATTTTTAGTAGAGATGGGGTTTCACCATGTTGGCCAAGATGGTTTTGAACTCTTGACCTCGTGATCCACCCGCCTCGGCCTCCCAAAGTGCTGGGATTACAGATGTGAGCCACTGTGCCTGGCCAATTTTTTAATTTTTTGTAGAGACAGGGTCTGACTATGTTGCCCAGGCTGGTCTCGAACTCCTGGGCTAAAGGAATCCTCTTGCCTCAGCCTTTCAGAGTGCTGGGATTATAGACATGAGCCATCACAACTGGTCTAAATTTAGTTTTTAAAAGCTTACTTGTCAGAATGTTACAGACCAATATTAATCAGCATAACCTTTTCAATTTTATTTGCTTTGCCATATTTACTTATAACGAGGCATAGAATAAAGAGCTGCAGATACCTTCTGAATGATTCGGGAGCATACGCCACCACAGTGACACAGAGCTTAATGGCCTCACTGATAGAAAATGTCAGATCTTCATTTCCATAACAGAAATCTAAAGGAGCAAAAAGTAAAGACAAACAATCACAGTGGATTCAGCAGGAGATAAAGAAGAATGTATTACTCCTAATGTTATCATTCAAGTATATACTATAGCTTTTTATTGTTAGATTTTATTCTTAAACTGTGAAGACTATTAATTTCTTCATCTCAAGGGAATAAAATTCTGTTTTCTAGTTTTGAACGATCAGATGTAAAATAAAAGTACGTTTTTGGAGTGCTTAAAAAAAATCTCAGGTAATAGATGACATTGAAGGGCATTTAAATTGTCAAAGGTAAAACATGAGGCTCTAACCTTGAGTTATCTCTAGTTCTACATGATAGAACTAGATAATATTATTATTCCATGATAATAAAAGACCATTTTGGAGGGTTATTTACTTAGAATTACCCAAAATAATCCAACTTTCTGAAAACTGCAGTACTGGAGCAGTGGTCTACTGAGCATCATTTTAATACAGTTTTCATGGCAGAGAATTCTTTACTCTTAGGGATTCATAAAAAATTTAAGAAAAAAAATGTTCTCATTCAATTTCTACTGTTGCATTTATTTTTGCTATTTTGATTTAGTTATACACACATATATGTATGTATATCTGTGTATAATATATATATATAACAATTGCAATGAGAAAAAGAATGTCAAAGCAAGTTTCACTTTTACCTAATGACTTAAGAGGCTTCTCAGCTTTGACCAGCTCTAAGATGTCTAATATGTCAGTGGTCTCTCCCTCTAGGGACTGCAGCAAGTCAAACAGGCACTGAGCTGACACACCTTTGCTGGGTCCGTTATTAGCAGCATCCTGATAAAGAAAAACAATTTTAGTTTATTGACTCCCACCACAGTACAACTATAGCTTGATAGGAATTCAAGTTTTATAAATGCTATCACCAGAAACAAGTACAATATCTGTCTGGAATTCAGCTTATATAATTCTGCATCAGCAATGCTGTGGTATGATTTTGGAGTGGTACACCTGACTTTTAAGGAATTTATTAAATTCTAATCTGGAATAAAAGAAGTATTTATAAAAATTCATAAAAATACAGCAATATATGAACTTCAAAAAGTTCATATTAATGGTTCCCTTAATCTAAGATGGTATAACTAATGATATTTCTATAATTGATTGGTTGAATACTATGAATATGTTTGGGGAACATATGCTTATTTTAACTAACAACCCTGGGAATTTCACAGGTCTTCTTTGATAATGTATCTCCACATGGAGACACCTACAATTTCAAATCTATTTAAAATGACTTTGAATCATTCATTGAAACAATAAATCCTTATGAAGTTCTTCTGTGCCAGGCACCAGGCTATGCACTGAGGTTATAGAAAACCAAAACCAAAATACAAATAAAATAACAATATCACAATAACTAAAGCCAAACAAACAAGCAAAGGCAAAAACATGCAAAGATCTTGTTTTCATGAAGATTAAATTATATTGGTTGAGTGTGGTAGAAATTCATGTTAATGAAACAAATACATATAACGTGATATGGTGGTACATTCTCTAAAGAAAAAGAAAAACAAAGCAGGGCAGGTGGTAGAGAGTGACAAAAAGGAATGAGACTTGGAAAACTTTCCTTTTACCATTTTCTACTTTCCATCTCTTTTATGAATTGAATATTTAAAAACTGGAGAGTTGGTCTATTTACATGTTAGGATCTGAGATGAAAGCTGAAGAGGAATGTTGAAGAGAATTGTTGAAAGAAAAATTATTTATGATATGCACATCCCATTGGTTAAAGAAAGAGAGCTGAGAGACTGAATATACAAACTGACAATGACCAGACCATATATAAAAATAAAACTTTGACCCACAACCTGCAGCAACTTGCTCAGGAAACCAACCAATTGTCTACAATAACCAGCCCATGAATCCATCCTAAGTCAGGTTTATAGGATGTCAGACCACTAGCTCCAGTGGTAACCAAACAATAATCCCTTTAACAATTGACCCAAAGTAACCAGGACTTGCATAATAACTGAGAGCTTTCCTAATTTTTGTCCCCGCTTCCAACTTAGGACAAACAAGAGAAAGCCCAATATTCACCCCTAACCCATTGTATAAGATGCCCCACAACTAGTTAGCTCAGCTGCAGCTTCACCAATAGCTTTAATTAGAACATAACTGCAGCATCCGCTTTTTTTTTCACTGTACAGCTTTTGCATTCCTCTGCCTGCCTCTGCATCGCTGCCGAAACACAAGTGATGGTAGCCAATTCCCTTGCCACAGTACGCTCTAATAAATGATTCGCTTTTCTCCTTTTGTTGGTCTTTTCCCCCTCCCCGCCCACAGAGCTTACTTACTGGAAATTCCAGGAGAGGGGCCACACTGGCAAACAGCTGGAGCACAAAGGGCTTCCGGTGTAGAATGTAAAACTGATGACAGGCGAACTCGATGGCTTGACGCAACTGGGGGTTGCTTTCATAGTCGGAGTACACCTAACAAAAAATGCCCAGTGTTCAAAAAATGCCTTAATAAAGTATCAAAGTTGTATTTGCTTTTAAGACTCATGGTCATGGGAAGGGTGGAGGAAATGGCTAACTTCATAAACTGGTAGAGAGGGAATGTAACATGGTATAAACTTTCTCCAGATAAATTTAGTAACACACATCAAAATCCTAAAAATCTAAATATACTTTTTTTTTCCAGAAAGTTTGTGACTAGGAATTTATCTCAAGGAAAGGACTAGACATATGTATAAACATGCATCTATAAGAATGCCTGCTGCCAGATTGGTTTTAACAGTGGAAAATTTGAAACAACTTATTCATAAATATTGGTTGGTTAAGTGATTTGTACATACAAACCATGGAATAAAACTTGAAAATATAATATAATCCTGTGGGGTGTGTGTGTGTGTGAAAGAGTGCCAGAATTTGGAAGTATAAACAATGATTACCTGGGAGAAAGGATTTTAAGTGAACCTTATTTTCTCTTTAAACTTTATCTTTTGAATTTTGTAATGAACATACTTGCTTTGGGTAATCAGTAAAAACAAAAAGTTACTAAAAAATAGAGAAAACTGCAACTATCTAAAAATGGTGGAGTCCTGTGACAGTAACTCTCTCACCCCCATAGGTTGAGCAAACTTCACTTTGTGTAAGTATGTGCTGGCTGTGTTCATAATTTTTATAGAAACTTCCTTAAAAATAGAGAATTATGATGAACCCCTGGGCCCATCTGATTTTATTCCATACTCCTAAACATAGTCAGCTATATATTAGACATGAATAAATAAAAAATGTTCCTGCTAAATTACCTTCTCCAATCCCATCACACCACATTTACTGTCTATGAAAATCTCTATTCAGTTAGAGGTCAGGGAATCTCTTGGGAGAAATATCAGCTAAACACTTGCCATACATGTGACTCAGAAACAGTGGTTCTCAAACTTTCTAGGACAGCGGTCCCCAACCTTTTTGGCACCAGGGACTGGTTTCGTGGAAGACAATTATGTTACGGACCAGGGTTGGCAGGTGGGATGGTTTTGAGATGAAACTCTTCCACCTCAGATCATCAGGCATTAGATTCAGGAGCATGCAACCTAGATGCCGCGCATGCACAGTTCACAATAGGGTTCTGGCTCCTATGAGAATCTAGGAGTGGAGGTTCCTTATAGGTCATGGACCAGTATTGGTCCATGGCCTGTAGGTAGGGGCCTCCTGTTTTAGGGCATCAAAACCACTTGAAGGTCTTGTTAAAAACACAAATTACTGGGACCTGATCTCTGAGTTTCTGATTCAGTAGACATGAGATGGGCCCCAAGAATGTGCATTTCTTTTTCTTAAAAATTGGGATCTTTTTTATAGAGATGGGGTCTTGGTATGTTGCCCAAGCTAGTCTTGAGCTCCCCACTTCAAGAGACTCTCCCACCTTGGCCTCCCAAAGTGCTGGCATTACAGGTGTGAGCCACCACACCTGGTCAGAATGTACATTTCCAACAAGTTTCCAGTTGATGCTGATGCTGCTGACCCAGAGACTACACCTTAAGAACCACTGTCCTAGAAGAAATGGGAAAGCATATCCCAATTCTAGGGGCTCTCACGGTAGAAGGGAATATCGTGACCTCTTGCAAATTTATGGGGGTATTTCATTTGTTGCCTTCTGTTGTCATAAAAGAAGATGATAACTCCATCATTAAATAGTTTCAGTACAGATCTGGTTGAACTGCTAGACATGAGCAGTACTCATGCTAATTTTCTGGTTGGGGAGAGGAGGTTCTGGGTACCTGCAGCATAGTGGGGAGGATCCACTGGTAGCCGCTGAGAGAGAAGAGGTGGTTGAAGTGCACCGCGGTGTTGATGACAGTGGCAGCGTACTGCCTAAGCAGGGCACTGTCTTCTGGATGGAGGATCAGAGCCCCATTAAAAACATTGAGGAAAAGCATGATTTCGTCTCCCCATGGAAACTCGCTTGGCATGCCCAGGAACATTTCCTCCAGGAGCTGGATCCACAAGCTTTTCTGAAGAGTGTCGAGGCCAAACAGTTCCTTTCCAGCTGTGAGAACATGAAACAGCAGAGACAGAATTAGCCCCACACCAATCCTGTCAGCATGTGAGGTGATCAAACCCGAGGCACTGCTGTTCTCCGTTTGTTTCAGCTCCAGGATGTGAAGATCTACTGCTGAAATGCTTTCCAGCACAGTATTACTGGCTTTGATACAGCACTTCTGGTTTCTCTGTGGACTTTCAACATCACCTCTTTAACTAACCGTGGGTAAGACAGGGCAGGCATTAGCAGCATTTTACTGCTAAATAAGCTGTTGGTTTGAGAAAAATAAATTATTCCAGCTAGAAAATGGCAGGGATGAGACTATTGCTTGATCTTTTAATTAATGGTCAGAGACTAGAGTTCTTTCTAATCCTGATGAAGCTGAAGCTTTTTTTTTTGAGATGGATTCTTGGTCTGTCACCCAGTCTGGAGTGTAGTGGCGCAATCTCAACTCACTGCAAACTCCATCTCCTGGGTTCAAGTGATTCTCATGCTTCAGATCCCTGAGTGACTGAGATTACAGGTGCCTGCCACCATGCCCAGATAATATTTTTTTTTTTTTGTATTTTTAGTACAGACAGGGTTTCACCATGTTGGCCAGGCTAGTCTTGAATGCCTGACCTCAAGTGATTCACCCACCTGGGCCTCCTAAAGTGCTGGAATTACAGGCGTGAGTCACCTTGCCCCAGCTGTCTGAAGCTTCTGGATGAGGACGATAAAGCATAGGGATGCTAATTTAAGTAAATTTTCTCAAATTAATAACTGAGTAACAGAATGAGGCTCCAAAGTGGGTCTCTTTCTGTAACTCTGTCTCTTGCTCTCAAATGAGGTATTATTTAGAGTAAAATACACAGATCTTAAATGTAGTTCATTGGATTTTGACAAAAATACGCACTAGGCATTCATGTAAGCAACACTCAATCAATATATAGACAATTTTCATCACCCTTCTGACCCTTTCCAGGAAATTCATTCCCTCCAAGTCCAGAGGCAACCACTGTTCCGATTTCTGTCACCCTACATGAGTTTTGCCTCTTTTTGAACTCATAGAATTACTGGCTTTTGCTTACTGAAGTATTCCCCTACCCTAACAATGCCATCCTACCCACGCTTCAATTGCTGATGATTAGCTTAGAGCAGTGGTTCTCAAACTTTGGGATAGCAGCATCAGCATCACCTGAGAACTTGTTAGCAATGCTAGTTCTTGGGCCCCATCCTGAAACCCGGAGGCGGAGGGTGGGGTCCAGCAATCTGTGTTTCAGCAAGTCCTCCAGGGGTCTCTTGTGCACACTCAAGTCTGAGAACCACTGGTTTTATAGCAGTGTCTGATGATTCAGATGCTCTCCAGTTAAGGACAAAACAAAGACATTAGAAAAAGCCCCAGAGAGGCTGTGCTTCTTTGTTTGATACCTTGAGGATCACTGAAGAGTGAAAACTCAGCATCAATCGCACTTCGAGGGAAAGAGGGCAGGCGGAGGAGGTCTTCTTGAAGCATGGAGACGTGGGACTGTTTGTGGGCTGTGGGTATCTTCTGGGTTAGGGAGATGAGAAACAACACCCGCCCTACTTCCTCCAGCTTCCGAGTGAACACCTGGGGAAACAGAAGCAGGAGGAGACAAAAAGCAAAATTAGAAACTCCAGAATTACAGAGTGAAGAAACTGAAGGAAAATCTTTAATGGCAAACTGGGTTGATAAAGTGGGAGAAGTGAAATGAGAGAGAAATATGGGTTTTTTTCCACTTTACCACAAGAAAGAGCAAACAACACTTAATTGCCTCTCACTTCCTTCTGCCTACTTTACAGAAGGAAATGTTCCTTATGGAGTTTTAGGCTGGAGAGGAGCATAAAGCAAGCATTGTCAAGAACAGTTCAGTATTAAATAGAGCCCATTTGTTTGGATGCCATAATATGGAAGATTTTCATTAATGAGGAGCCAGTCAGTCTATTTCACTTGCTTCTACCATTGCCACCAATGCCTTAAGCTCTTTCCTGGGAGTTTCAGGTTTGTCTTTAAAAAGAAAAAAGACTGAAGTGAGATCCAGGAAAAACCTATCTTGGGATAGAAACTCGTAAGTCCTTGATTGGTGCCCTGAGTGTAGATGGCTTACACATGGGGCTCTTGGTTCTTAGGTCCTTTTCTCTTGATGATTAGGAAGTTTATATGCAGTGAGTAGCTACTGAGGAAACTTCTGAGCCAGACTCATAAAGCCTCCATCTTATAATCTCCCCAAGGAACTTAGAAGTCTTAAGACTCTAACTTGAAGTGTCAGAGCAAGAGCTCCATTTGATGGCATTCTTTGAGAACATATTCTTAAACATGAAAACACACACACACACACACACACACACACTCACTCACTCACTCTCACTCTCTCTAATCATTATTGATTAGGGTTTTAATTATCTTATCCCAAAATCATAGGCTGGGATAATTTGGGGAGAATTGTTTCAGAAATTCTTGGTATTTAAGATCTAACAGTTTTGCCCAAAATCTCACACCTTGCAACACATTCAGTATTTTCTTTCTTTTAAATTCAATGTAGGCAGTTAATGGTAGGTATATTTTTAAGTACTTAAGTGGTCTAATTCTATGCGATTCTCACTCAATTCATATATTTTTGGATAGTTTGATGCCAAATTATTATGCTTGATATGTACAGAAAATTGAAATGATCAAGTATCCTGAAATTCTTTAGAAATTTTATTTAAAAAATGAATGTAATAAATAGGCAATATTAAAATTGTATCTTTTTAGAATTGTATACTAAAGCTATATTTTGCATGCAGAATAGTGACTTTCCTTAAGCTTGAAGTCTGATTTGAGATTAGATATTATGATTATTCTGCTCTTCAAACTTAAACCTAAATACAGCTGCTAGACTATATCTTCCTGTTTCAAGATAAATTAATAACATGCCCCAGGTCAGATTCCTGGTCAGAGGCAGAGCTGGGACGAAGTCCAATTCCTTGAACTTTAGTTTAACGTTTTTTTTTTTTTTTAAGGCATACTAGAGTGACCTCTTTTACTTTGTAGCCTGCTAGTATAAACCACTGGGATAACTTAAATAGCTACATTATGGGTGTTTCCAATCCGATTTTACAGAAACGTGAAATGAAAATTTACATTTAGAAAATAATAGGTACATAAATTAGAAGATTTCTATTGTTTATACTCAATAATTCATCATTACTCCAAATGAGCATGTCTTGATACTTTTATGCAATCATCCAATTTATAAATCTTAACACACTATTTTGGGGAACAATTTATTGAGTAAGGGCCAGCTACTCTCTCCAGAGAGGTTCATAATGGAATCGTAGAATCTCAAAGTTGGCAACATATTAACAGATACCTACTTTAACAACATGACAAAACCATGGAGTAAAACTGATATGGTCAGACACCTGTTTCTGAATGAGCTCCTGTCCCTTCTCTGGATGCATATGTACAAGGTTCAGCTGGGGAGATACTGACCTCCGGAAAGGATAGATATCTCGAACATAGGTCTGTGTGGATTACACAAAGAGACAAAAAAAAAAAAAAAAAAAAAAAAGAGTTCAAAAGATTAAACATTTATTCTCATTTCGTCTTTACCCAAAGGTCTAAGCACTAGGATGCTATGTCAGGAAAAACGCAGCCAAAAGCAATTTACTAAACAACACTCTGGAAGATCACTGTAAAGTGATGTCAGTGGGCATCCTGAGGCCCCTTCTGCTCATTGGATCAGGTCACCATGGTCATGCTTAATATGATAGAAAAGAGATGCAGAACACATTCAACTTCCAAATAGACACACACGTGTATTATACGGGCAATGTAATATTTCACTGAGATGTAATAATGATCAATAACTAAGTGTCTTATCTGGCTTATCTCATTTAACTATTACGACTGCTCTAGCATGGATACCATTATCATTACCTTCATTTTACACACAAGAAAACTGAAGGGTAGCAAGTCGCCAGTTGAAAGCCCCATTGACAGTAAGATGGTGTGACCCAGGTGGCCATACTGTTATTACCCTCTAAACAGTGATGCCTCCCTGATTGTGAGCCACCTTCAGGAAGGCATGATGAGCCTTTGGCATAACTCAGTGGGGGTTGTCATTACTGGTGTCTCACCTTATTGTAGTGGATAAGGTTCCATCGTTTATCCATAAGAAAATAATGTGTTGACTGGGATTCTGGGATATTAAAAAACTCCAGACACTCCTAGAACAATAGCAACAAATTTTAATAAATGTTTATCAAGAAGATATTATGAGCTAGGTAGTAAGTTGACAGATACAAATTTCAAAAAACAAGGTAAACTCTTGCAAGGATTTTACATATATTGATATCTTATATAAATTGTATACATTAGATATGTATGTGTATATATGTATATATACATACACACATATATACACACACATACATGACTGCATATATACACACACAGAGTTATCCAAATAATGGTATGATAAAGACTGATAATGTAATATAAACTGTCTGCTCTCATAGTGCCCAAAGATGTACAATTATAGTTCAGACTTAGTGATGGACTATGGAGGAACAGTGGCACCTACTGGTCTCAGCATCAGGAAGAAAGCATGTTTAGAGAAATATTTAGGAATAATATAAACTACCATGTGCTGTGCACATTATATAATATATACTAGGTGTAGATAACTTGTATAACCTGAACTAGTATCTCAGTACTGTTGAAAATGAAACTGAGACTAGAGAAGTTCCATCACTTGATTTAGGTCACAGTGGTTTTGGTGAAGGCAGCGTTTGAATATACTTCATTTGCCTTCCTGCTATCCTACCATTCATCATGAGTATAAAAATGGAGTAGTTGTTGAAGTTGGGTCTTAGAAATTCTCTGGAGATATCTGAGTGAAGCCAAAATGAGGAGTAATGACTCTTTCTAATGAAATAAGATGCACAAGTTTGGAAAAGTTTTTTTTTCCAGAAGTCTCTTCTACTTACATTTGGGCCCAGAACTATGTTCCTGAAAATTGGATTATTTAAAGTTTCTCAAATAAAGTCAGTAGAAGTGTGGAAAATTATGGAAGGAAAAATCATAAGGAAATAATAGTAGAGCAGATTTTAGAAGAGTAAAGAAATGCATACATCCATTTAAAGACAGAAAAATGCCATTTTATTCTAAAATGGATCTTCAGCGAGGTGACCATAAGCATTGTTCAGTTAAAAGTCATTTCTACCTTCAATAGGGCTTCAAATTGAGTGTCTTCATGCACTGGTAACTGGGTTGGAATATCACACTCATTCTGTCCATGAACTACCAAGGTTTTGGTACCTACAAAAGATAAAAATAATAATAAACTGAATTTACTATAGGAAAATTTGCATTTAAAAGCATAAAATATTAAAATATTATCAATAAACTGATGTTTTTACTGTCAATTGCTTTTATTTTATTTATTTTTAACCTGGAAGTTTAAGTTTAATACATATATATTTTAAATATATTCACTTATTTAAAATGATAGGTACCATGTATGGCGTTCTAATACTTTTTGTACATTTTTATTTTTAGTAGAGATGGGATTTTGCCACATTGCCCAGGCTGGTCTCTATCTCCTGACCACAAGCAATCCACCTGCCTCAGCCTCCCAAAATGCTGGGATTACAGATTGAGCCACCGTACCTGCTGAGTTCCCCATACTTCTACCTGTATTTTATGTGCATAATTGTATTTAAATCTCACAGCAACCCCATAATATGGTAATATGATTTTTATCTTACAAATGAGGAAAAAGAGAAATGGAATAACTTACTCAAAGAGACACATTTATTTAGTGGAAGAGTTAGAATTCAACCTCAAGCATAGCAACAACTAATACATTCCTGTTTTCTAGATGAGGTGACCAGGCAATAAAGGTTAAGAAAATAAAAACAGAAATATTAGCAAAACCCAAATGAATACCTGAAATGTAGCTTAAAGCCACATTTTCTGTATTCTTCTTGGCTGATTGAGGTAATATTTATTCTACTTCATTCAGTAATTACAAATCTTTGTGAACATTATGATACACCTTGATTTTTAGTGAGTTGTTTTCAAATATGTTAAAAACAATAGGAGTTTCTTTGCTATAATAAAAACTGATCACTTTTTTTGGGATAATCTACAGAACTATACATACACAATTACCATTTATTGAATGCTTATCATAAGCCAGGTATGGCAGCAAGTATTTCACATATCTCAACTCATTTATTCCTCACAATTGGGAAGTATGAATTATATCCCTATTTTATACAGGGGAAAAGAAAGCATTGATAAATGATGTACTCCTTCACAGTTATTACTAGTTATATGACTAATAAACGACAGTGCTATGATTTAAATGCAGGCTTCTTCACTGCAAGAACCTGTGTTCTCATCTCTATGTAATTCTGTCTTTCTCTTTTATTTCAATACATGCATTATTTCAAATTTTCTTAGTCACTGCACAAGGATAAAGAATTGTCAAAATCTTTGTCTTAAGGCAAAACAAGCTATTTGAAGTGAAAAGGAAGCGTATCTTGAGTTTACATCACGCTTCATGTTCTTTTGTAATGCTCCTTCTTCCTGCTCTTCCCTTCTCCAATTTTTCATAAAGCCCTCTCTCATGGAGTTTACAAAGGACTGGAGTCCATGCCATGCAAACAATATTATTCTCCTTCCACTGCCAAAAACTCACTCAAAAAAGCTTTCAGTTCAGCTGGCTCTCTGCGATAGACTTAAATAAATCTTCAACCTTGGCAGTCCTTCAAGGACTGATTCATGCAGATCTCAGTTCTGATGTCTCCCTTTTCAGCTGGCAACTATTGACTTTCTAAAGGGTCTATTGTATTTCTTCTGATTATATTAAACAAAAATTCTTTGAAGCACTCAATACTGGGGGTTAAGAACTCTGAACGTTTTCTCATGAATGAAAGAGCCTCTTAGTCTTTCAAAGGGCTATTTTTAATTTTTTTTTTTTATAGTTGCATTACCCAAAAGTAGTAGTGGCTTACCTGGCATTGAAGCAGTCACCAGGAGCTTCACCTCGCACTGCTCCTTCTTCATTGTCTGCTTGAGATCTTTGAAGAAGAGGCCCTCCACGTAACCCACCACTTCCCACAGGAATGTCAGGGTGGCTGAAATGGCATCCATCCCCCACTCACAGGGTGTCCGCACAAAGTACATGATTAATCCTACCTAGAGGTCAGGACAAGAAGAGTTCACAAAGCCACAGTAATCCTGTGCTCACATTCTCATTTCCTTAGCTTTTCTTGTTTTAAACTCGATCTCCTTCTGTGCCTTCATACTCGCCGTTCAAATGCTTCTCTAACAGTTTCAATGTTACCAGGAGAGGGCATAACTGGAAAACTGACCACACTGGCTGCTGTACTTTTTTATATATCACTAAAATGGCAAATTCTTAAGAAAATAAGCAGATCATCCCCCCCACCCCCACCAGGCATCATGTCACTTGGTAGCTAGGTACTTAGGCCATCCAAAATTCACCGGTATATGAAATTTGCCCATGCACTATTTGCAGCTTAAATTATGTCTCTCAGACCTAAGAGCACTCTGCTTGGCTAAGTCGGTGAACTTCAGCATTTTTGTTTGTTTGCCTTTTTTTAAATTTTAAATTCAGGGATATACACGCAAGTTTGTTACACGGGTAAATGTGTGTCATGGGGTTTGTTGTGCACATTATTACATCAGCCGTGTTGTTTGTGTGTGTTCTAATGTAATTTTGAAAAACCGTGTGTTCTTTTGCACATTTTAAAGTTGACAGCTAAAATGCCTCATTTGAAGTATATTTTTTGTTAATAGGAGGTAGAATATGTTCAGCATTCTAAACATTGAAATAAGAACTGAGTGTAATTGGAATATTTGATGAAATAAGTTTCAATTATCCTATTCAATAATGTGCAAATATTCAGAAAGAAATAATGTAACATCTTTTTCTTGTGGGTTTTATCTATTATTTCTTCACAAATTTTGTAGTCCTGGAAATCTTTCTGGTTATATTGAAAGAATCAGCATCGCAAACCTAATCTATTTTTGTGGTTCTGAATGTTGGACACCCTAAGGAGGGCCAAGCCTCACCTGTAATAGAAACTTATAAAACATAGGACCAGATAGAAAGTCCTGTGAGTTAAAGTGCATTGAACAATCAGAGGAAACAATTTCTTAAGATGATTAATAACATAGAACTCAGATTCTTTCTCCCACCTACGTGCCTGTCAGTGCAGCTTGGTAATCTCTGGGATGATGAGCTGGGCCTTTCTCATGGGTGCTAGAATAATGATTGAAATGGCAGGTTTACTCAACAAGTGTTACCGCATCTCTGTAACATGAGCATTTGGAAATTTATTATTTTAAAACTATCCAGGCATCAAGCTCCTTTTAAAATATTTTCTTGTTGCAGAGCTAAAGGATGGAGGAGCGCAATGGTCTGGGCAAACATTTCTCCTGTTCTGTGACCCAGGGAAGGGGCAGGTACACGGGCAAGCGAGAGAAACACTGAAGACATTCTCACATCTAGTCCCTATCTGGGCTCGTTCCACCCCAGCCTGCATGCATTGTAAATTTGGCAGGGCACACACTTAAACTGAGGGAGGCCCTGACATTGGGTTTTCTGAATCCACCTTTGGTTTTTGTGTGGTATAGACAGAACCCAGAAGTTGTAGATGCTTGGCTGGAAAGCTTTTCAGATAGAATGACCATAGGCTGTTGTCACTGAGTGGGATGCTGTAGCTGGTGGACTTCCTATTTTAGAGCCTGTGGGACTCATGGCAAGAACTCAGGGGGTCTAAAGCACCTGCAGAAGCTGAGGTGAGGTCGAGTCACTCAGCAAATACTGCCAGGAGCAGAAAGGCTTTGAGTGACAGCAGCCATGGGCTTGAGTTTGTGCCCATTCAGGCATCCAGCAACCAGCCAGACTAAGAACATGGTCTCACAAAGGACCCAGATAAAATGGAGGGATGAGATGTGGAACAAAGGTCTTTTTCCTCCCTAACTCCACATAGCTAGAGACAAAAGCAGTGGGAAGGAGGGAGAATTCCTAGAGACTATGCATTTTTATCTGAGAGAGACTGAAAACCACGAAAAAGTACTATTTATGTTTTGCTACCAGTCTGAACTTAAATCTGGATTGGACATTTATTTGTATTTTTTCCCTTGCCAAGCAGCAAGTAGGCATTCAGGAGGAAGATGACCAAATTAGTCTTAAACAAGAGAAAGGAATTACAAATGTTCTTCGCACATGGGAGTTGTGGTGTGAGTTAAATTTATCACCCTGCTAGGGATGCATATGCATAAGGATAACCATTTCCCTGGCACTAGTAAGGGTGAAAGAAGGCGTACAGCCAGCACAGACATTAATATGGCTACTTGTATGCCTGGATTAAGAGGCAGTTCAAGGAGTAGTCATCAGGTTCTAGTCCCCAAATTGCATATTAATTTGGGGTATAAAAAAAATGTGAAGAAATTGGTAAGTCTCAGAGCATCAGGAAAGAACTGTCAGGGCAGTTAAAACTGTCATAGGGTCAGGCACAGTGGTTCATGCCTGTAATCCCAGCACTTTGGGAGGCCAAGGTGGGCGAATCACAAGGTCAAGAGATTGAGACCATCCTGGCCCACATAGTGAAACCCCATCTCTACTAAAAATGCAAAAATTAGCTGGCTGTGGTGGTGTGCATCTGTAGTCCAGCTACTTGGGAGGCTGAGGCAGGAAAATTGATTAAACCTGGGATGCAGAGGTTGCAGTGAGCCGAAATTGTACCACTGCATTCCAACCTGGTGACAGAGCGAGACTCCATCTCAAACAACAACAACAACAGTAACAACACAATAACAACAACTGTCACGGAAAAATGCATACACAAAAACTTTCCATCTAGGACAATAGCTGTGTGTGTGTGTGTGTGTGTGTGTGTGTGTGTGTGTGTTTAAACATAGATAGGAAAAGAGAAAAAATACTAAAATAACACATAAGTTTTCTAAACAGAAAATCAAAATAAAGAACAAATGTAAGGAAGTTATTTATTGCTAAAGGAAGACAGAGAGGAAACTGACATGTATATTAATTGCCCTCCATTTGCCAAAGAGTTTGCCAGGAAGGGGCTTCCCTGCCTGGCAAAAGTATAGGGAAGTGTAGGTGAATTTAGTTGACAAGGATTTGGCTTTTGTCATGTAATTAATGGAAATTTATTGAAAAAAAAATCTCCTAAGACCTTTTCATCATGGTGCTCCTTCGTAATTGGAAATGAAGTTTTATAACTCACCAAATAGTTGAATAGGATGTGAGATGTCTGAGCAGGAAAGTCTCCAATATTCAAGAGAAGTTTGCGCAGCATGTACATTAACTCATCCTGAAAAAAGAACAGAATTTTTAATGTTTCCTTCAGCTGCCATGCTGTAGAAAATAAAATTAACTTCTTGAAAATTTGGGATTGGGGAAGAGATTTTTCTTACTTTTTCCCACATATTGATTTTAGTTATGCCCAACATTTTAATATAGCATATGTGATACTTGTTAAGCAGTATTTAAACCATCTGGAACACCTTTCTCCTAGGAGCTAACACATAAAAATCACTGAGCAGTAAAGGACTTTTTTTTTTTTTTTTTTTTTTAATGGACACTGTGTGTGTAGGTAACAGGCAAGTAACAGGAAAGCTGTATCTTTAGTTAGCTCTATTGGCCATGGTAGCCTGATATTATGGGAATGTGAGGAGGACCTATGTAGAAAAATTATTAAACAAACCAGTTTTTGTGAACATCCTAATTCTGCTTTCTAGGTTTTGAGTCAAAGAGAAAAAGAGGTTATGAGAGGATAGACTGAAATGTCTGTAATTAACTTTACCTTTCAGAAACTAAACTTAACTTTCCAGTGAATATGACTACAGCATAGAAATGAAGAAATAATTTTTAATCATCACTGTATTTTGTCATTGCTAAAAAAAACTACTCTTTTTTTTTTTTTGACATGGAGTTTTGCTTTTGTTACCCAGCCTGGAGTGCAATGGTGTGATCTTGGCTCACTGCAACCTCTGCCTCTCGGGTTCAAGCGATTCTCCTGTCTCAGTCTCCTGAGTAGCTGGTATCACAGGAACCTACCGCTATGCCTTGGCTAATTTTTGGTATTTTTAGTAGACACAGACCATGTTGGCCAGGATGGTCTCGAACTCCTGACCTCAGGTGATCCGCCCGCCTCGGCCTCCCAAAGTACTGGGATTACCAAAAACTACTTTTATTTGGTATGATCTTCTTACAGAGTGGTCTGACAAATTAGGTTTTGGTTAATAAAAAAAATTTAACATGTCCTAATAATCATACCTGCATCAGACTGCCAAGAAATCAGAATTTAATGAATGTACTCAATAATAAGAACATTACATCTAATTTGATATTGCAGTACATTAGGATGCTCACTAGCAATGTAATATACATATATAGAAACATGAATTAATGGAGAAATTAAACAGAAAACAGCAAAGTTAAGTACTGCTCATTACTATCATTATTTTAAAAAGTACTCATTGGCTGTGTATCGGAGGATACTGAGTTGCAAGCACTGCACTGTAAAGGTCTTTGCATGATTTTAACAGTGTTCACACTTGCAGCCACAGAGCTACACTAAAAAGGAAGAGGAATTTACTTGTCTATTGCTGATGGTCAGTTTTTCCAGAAAGTGTCGAAGAACTGTTGATGGATCTTCAATTAGACAGTTCCATAAGACTTGTTGAGCCACAGCACTCACTTCAGAAGAGAAAGAAAGTTGAACATTCGTCTTAAATGGAGATAAGTCTATGAGATAAAGTATTTGACAATTTACAAGCTTTAGTCTCTCCTTTTTGCCTTAAAAAGGCTCTGTGAACTTTTTTTTCTTTTGAAAGGTAGATATTTGTTTTCTTCGTTGTTGTCTCTGAACATTTTCACATGTAAAGAACAGGTTACCAAAAGTGTAGGAGTCATCTTTAGGTATCAGCAATGCTTTTGCAAAGAATATCTTTGTGAATACAGGCAGTTGTCTTTGCTGTGGAAATCACCCCAATGATAGCAGTAGTAAGCACTAATTAAATTACATTCATATTTTATTATTTATTTTATGGAGAAACTATGAAAGATTATTTGGTGTTTGAAAATATGTTTTGGTTTACAATGCACATGAATTAGAGACTTTTTTTCTGTCCACATGAATGCTTCAAACAGTATCTCCTTCAGCAAGATAAAGTAGTTGAGCCAGTAACAATTGGTTCTCACTTCTAATGAGGAGTCTTAAGAATAAAAATTAATCCTAACAAGAAATAAAGTGCTATTTCTTTGAGGAAGGTGGTCAGGTTAAGATGGTCTAGAAGTGCCCGGACTATGAAAGCAGGTGGGTAAAACATTTAATAATCTTTAGTTTGAACGTGTTTCCCAATTCCACTGATTTTCTAAAGCAGAAATACAGAATTTAGCATAAATTTACTATTTAGCCTCTACTCAAATAAATCATACCAATTTTTAATTCAGAAACAAACCATGAAATTAAAATGAAGAGACATATAAATAACATTAGCAAAAATATAAATCCAGAGCAGTAGGTTTCATATGTCTCTGTAACTAATTAAAATAGGTGTGTTTTTCTCAGGTTGAAATTGATTGCAAAAATATCTTTACATGTGAAATAACCCAGACACAGAAAAATAAATATTGCATGTTTTCACTCATTTGTAGAAGCTAAGTAAGTTGATCTTTCAGAAGTTGAGAGTAGTATAGTGCTAACTAGAGGTGACGAAGGGGAGGCAGGAAGGAGGCATAGGAAAGGTTGGTTAATGGATACAAACTTACAACTAGATAGCAGGAATAAGTTCCATTGTTCTTTAGCACTGTGGGGTGACTATAGGTAACAACAATTTATTTTATATTCTAAAATAGCTAGAAGAGAGAATTTTGAGTGTTCCCAACACAAAGAAATATTGTTTGAGGTGAAAGATATGCTAATTGCCATGATTTGATCATTATACATTGTATACAGGTATTAAAATATCACTATACCCTGTAAATATGTACAATTATGATGTGTGAATCAAAACTTTAAAATTTTTCATATTTTTACAGCACAAAAATTCATGCTTCAGGATTCGAAAAAAAAAGAAAAAAATTTTCATATTTTTAATTGCTTAAGTAATGCAGTTTCATGCTTAAAACATGAAAAATACAAAAAACTACAAAGAGAAAAATAAGACTGGGAAGTCTACCTATCACAGAAACAATTATTAGCAGTATGGAGCATGTCCTTTCATATACATGAAATGTATACTTACGTGTATTTTTTTTTTTTTTTTTAGATGGAGTCTCACTCTGTTGCCCAGGCTGAAGTGCAGTGGTGCAATTTCAGCTCACTGCAAACTCTGCCTCCCAGGTTCAAGTGATTCTCCTTCCTCAGCCTCCTGAATAGCTGGATTACAGGCATGTGTCACCATGCCTGGCTAATTTTTGCATTTTTAGTAGAGACAGGGTTGTACCAAGTTGCCCAGGCTAGTCTCTAACTCCTCATCTCCAGTGATCTACCTGCCTTGGCCTCCCAAAATATTGGGATTACAGGCATGAGTCACCATGCCTGGTCTACTTATATGTATTTTTAAATAGTACCGTATATAGAAAATCTTCTTTGGTATTCAGTTTTTTACATAGCAATATATTAACACTTTTTATATTCATCTAGAATGCAATTCCAGTGTTCACAGAATGTTATCATATGGAGGAATTATGATTAACTAATTGCTTATTGTTAGGCATTTCAAGTCTTTCTAAATGTTTTTTTTAATTTTAAATAATGTTCAATGTACAATGTCCTTTATAAAGCCCTCATCATTGTCTTGGGAAATTGCTAGAAGCCAAATCTGTATCAAAAACACTTTTAAGGTTTCTGATACATAACATGAAACTCTGTTCCAGAATGCTTGTACAGAATTTTATACTTCATCAGCAAGGTATGAAGATGCTTTTTTTCACCAACAATAGATATTTTCATTTAAAATAATCTTTGCCAACTTTGTAGCTGAAATGTAAGATTTAATTACTGTTTTAAACAACAATGTTGTTTACAGGTATTACTAGCCATTTGATTTCCTGCTTACATCCTTTGCCTATTTTTCTATTGGGGTTTTAAAAATTACTGATAAGTTATAAGAGGTTTTTAAAATGTAACATTAAGAAATTAGTGTTTGTCTGTCACAAATGTTACTCATCTTTTCCCTTAGTTTATCATTTCAGTTTGCAATTATTCTCTTTAGTTAGTTATTACACCTGGAAAGGTAATCATGTAAGAAAGATGGTATTAGTGGTATCAAGCTAAGAGCTAAGATTTCTAAGGTGGCCAAAGTCACTGTTTGATTTCTGTGTGGCTAAATAAGTGTTGTTCTGTTCTCTGGTCACAAGCAATGCTCCCGAACCTAACTACCTATTTTAAATAAAATTTATTTGGTCATAAAGGTAGTGGGAGAAGGAATTGGAGAGAGTGATAGTGTTAGCACAGTATGTTACAAATCTGTAATTATAATATGTGCATAAAACAGTCAACATGTGGTCAGTAGATAATGCATTTAAGAGCAACCTACTGTCTTCTATCATATGAATAGCTTAAGAACATCACTGATGATCCAACTGCTCAAAACTGTACCTGCTACTCCATCTTCCCGCACCTCACCATCCTCCATCAGATGAACAATGGGAAGTACTGCTGCACAGATGCATGCTGGGAACACTGCTTGTGGGGGCTGAGGCACATGGTGGTTTGGTGTGTGTTCAGTGGTATGCTCCTCATCTAAAACGGGAGACAAAATCAGGGTGCTTTTCTCAGTAATGTAATTCTTTGTTGCAATTTTTGTTTTGAGATAAGGTTTCACTCTGTTACCCAGACTGGAGTGCAGTGGCATAATCACTGCTCACTGCAGCGGCATAATCACTGCTCACTGCAGCCTTGACCTCTTGTGCTTAAGAGATCCTCCTGCCTCAGCTTTCAGAGTAGCTGGAACCACATAGGTGTGCCACCACACCTGACTAATTTTTTTTTATTTTTTGTAGAGATGAAGCCTCACTATGTTGCCCAGGTTGGTCTTGAACTGCCGGGCTCAAACAATCCTCCCACCTCCACCTCCCAAAGTGCTGGGATTATAGGCATAAGCCACTACATTTGGCCTCAGTAATGTAATTTTAATGCAACATTTCTCAGTTCAAGGCCTACTTATTTAACAGTACAATTCTAGCAAAGAGAAAACGCCAATTTTTTTAAAAAAGATGAGGTTACACAAAGTGACTCTTCATTTTATAACAAACAACAAAACCAGCCCACTTTCCAACTACCATTATTCTTCTTGTTTGTTAGAGAAGCAAAGCAAGACATTCTGGGATGGGTGTATCTGTTGACAATATTAAATCAATGAAGATAAAATTCTAAGCAGAGACTAAGACATTTTTCATAGATGCAATTTGTGTGCATGTGAGTGTGTGAGAGATGGTAAGCAGTAATATGGGGTAGAAGCAAACACACATTTAGGATAAGAATGTCATAGTCCACTCATATTAATGTTTTCATCCCCATTGATAAATATAATAAAAAATTAATAATAAATATAATTGCATATAGGAATAAAGGTAACAGTTTAGATTTAGTAGGCAACGAAGGTAGAAAAGGGATATAACAGCTTATTAATATAAAAACATACATGTCATTTTTCTAAAGCACTAAAGGACTGTGAGTGTTTGATTCTCATATTGCAACTTACATGGCTATTCGGGATTTTAGAAGGCCTATGAAGGACTAGAGGGTAAGAGACTTATCCTGTTATTCTCAGTCCTGGTTTCATACTCGATGAATGTGGAACTTTCTATAAAAAAAAAATCCCTAGAAAGACACAAGCTATAGGGGTTGTATAAGAAAAATATAGATAATTTGTATAGATTTGTATCAAACAAAGAGATTGATATAGTAACAAAGGCTTTCTACAAAGGGAAGCCTAGGCCCAGATGACTTTATTGGACAAATCTACCAAGAAGGAAAATAAAAACTAACACCAATTCTTCACAAACACTTCTAATAAATAAAAGAGAAAGGAACAATTCCCAAATTATTTTATGAAGCCAGTGTTACTCTGATACCAAAACTAGACAATAACGTCATAAGAAATAAAATATTGATGCATAAATTCTCAAAAAAGTCTTAGCATACAAAACCCAGAACCACATAAAAGGATTAAATACTATAACCAAGTGGGATTTGCTTCAGGAATGCAAGGGTAGTTGAACATATTAAAATCAATCAATGTATAAACCATATTAATAAAACAAAGAAAAAACACATAAGAATTTCAATAGATGCAGACAAAGCATTTGACAAAACACTCTTTCATGATAAAAGCCACTAAAAAAACTAGGAAAGAACTTGCTCAATATGATAAAGGGCATTTATTAAAAATCCACAGTGAACATCATACTTAATGGAGACAGGCTAAATGCTTCCCCTCTAAGATCAAGAACAAGACAAAGATGTCTGCTCTCATCATTTCTGTTTAACATTATACTGAAGGTTTAGTCAGTGCTATTGGGCAATAAAATGACATAAAAGTCACCTGGATTAGAAAGAAAGAAGTGAAATTATTTCTATTTGCACATGACATAATCTTGTATATGAAAAATTCTAAGGAATTCATAGGCAACTATTAGAACCAATAAACTATTTCATCAAGTTTGCAGGATAAAAAATTAATATACAAAAATCAATTGCATTTCTCGACACCAGCAATGAAAAATCCAAAAATGAAATTAGAAGCAGAAGTCAATATCCAATAGAATCAAAAAGAATAAAATACCTAGGAATAAATTCAACAAAAGAAGTGCAAAATTTGTACACTGAAAACTACATTCATTGTTGAAATGAATTAAAGACATAAGTGAATGAACATTTCACGTTCATGGGTCAGAATACTTAATATGTTCTTCATTGATCTACAGATTCAGTGTCATGAAATTCCTATTATAATATCATCTACCTTTTTTGATGAAATTGAAAAGCTGATCTAAAAGTTATATAGAAATGCAAGAGACCAAGAATAGACAAAAATAATCTTTAGAAAGATAAACAAAGTTGGAGGACTGATACTTTCCAATTTAAAAACATTAAAAAGTTGGAGCAATCACAATTTCATAGCATTGACAGAGGATTGACACACTGATCAGTAGAAAAGAGTCGAAAGACCATAAATATACTACTACATTTATGTTCAATTGATTTTTGACAAAGGTGCCAAGAAAATTCAATGAGGAAATAATAGTCTTTTCTATAAATAGTGCTGGTACAGCTAATTAACTATGTGCAAAATTCTAACTCATAACATAACAAATATTAACTCAAAGTTGATCACACACTTAAATATAAATACTAAAACTCTTAGAAGAAAACACAGGAGTAAATTTTATTGGCTTTAGATCAGACAACTGTTTCTTAGATATAACACTAAAAGCACAAATGACAAAAGAACAAACACACACATTGGATCTAATTAAAATAAAAAAACTTTTGTGCCTCAAAGTTACCTTTAAGAAGGTAAAAAAGACACTCGTTTCTTGTCCTTTTGCCTAAGATTAAGTAAAGAAAGTAAAAAGAGACATGATTCTTGGTGCCCAAAACAATTACAATAGTAACATCAAAGAAAACTGATCACAGATCACCGTAACAAGTACAACAGTTTGAAACACTGTGAGAATTACCAAAAAGTGACTCAGAGACACAAATTGAGCACATGTTGATGGAAAAACGGCACTGACAGACTTGCTCCAGGCAGGGTTGTCACAAACCTTAAATTTGTTCAAAAAATGCAATATCTGAGAAGTGCAATAAAGTGAATTGCAATTAAATGAGGTATGCCTGTATAAAGATATATGTAATATTATTTAGCCTGGACAAAGAAGAAAATCCTTTCATTTGCAACAACATGGAAGAACCTAGAGAACAAAGTGAAATAAGCCCAACAAAGAAAGACAAATACCACATTATCTCATTATCTCACATATGGAATTTTAAAAAGTAAAACTCAATAGAAACAGAGTAGAAGGGTGGTTACCAGGGGTCAGGGAGTGGGGAAAATGAGGAGATGTTGGTCATAGGGTACAAACTTGCAGTTTCAAGATGAATTAGTTTCAGAGATCTAATGTACAACACGGTGACTATAGTTAAAAATAATGCATATTTGAAATTTGCTAAGAGAGTAGATCTTAAGTATTCTCTCCACGGGGTGGGGTGGGAGGAAAGTAGCTTTGTGAAGTGATGGATTTGTTAATTAGCAGTTTGACTGTTGAAATTATTTCATTTTGTGACATCAAAATATCACATTGTATACCTTGAAAAACACAATTTTTACATGTCAATTATACCTCAATAAAGCTGAAAAAAAACTAAAAAAAAAGAAAGTAAAAACTACAAAATGAGAGAAAATATTTGCGAATCATATATCTGATAAGTGACTTGTATCAATAATGTATAATAGTTCTTGTAATATAACAGTTAAAAGACAAATTGCCAAATTTAACATGGGCAAAAGATTTGAATGAACAATTTTACAAAGAAGATATATGTGTAGTCAATAAGCATATGAAAAGATGCTCCATACCATTTGTCATTAGGGAAATGAAAATAAAAATCACACTGAGTTATTTTATACCCACAGGGATGATTAAAATTAAAACAGAAACAAAAACAGGCAATATCAATTGTTGGCAAGAAATTGAAGAAATTGGGGCTCTTATACTTTTTGGTAAGAATGTAAAATGGTACATCCAGTTTGGAAAATAGTTTGATGATTTTTTTTTTCCACAAAAATTTGTACACATCTGTTTATGGCAGCATAATTCCTAATAGCCCAAAATGGAAACAACTCAAAATGTCTGTTTACTGATGAATTGATAAAATGTGTTATATCCACAGAATACTATTCACCAGTAATAAGAATGAAACACTGATACATGCTACAACATGGATGAACCTTTAAAATATGCTAAGTAAAAGACTCCAGTCACAGAAGGTCAGATACTGTATGATTCTGTTATATGTACTGTGAAAAGTAGGCAAATCTACAGAAACAGAAAGTAGATTAGTGCGTGCCAGGGGTTGGGGAAAGCAGTGGATGAGGAGTAACTGTTAATACGTTTGGGGTTCCTTTTAAGGATGATAAAAATAGTCTTAAATTAGATAGTGGTAAGGGTTGCACACTACATAATGTGCTACAAACTAGTGTGTTGTATGCTTCGGAAGGGCAAATCTTATGGTATATGAATTACATCTCAGTAAAGGTGTTATAAAAACGTAGATATACCTTGAGCCCCGTACCCATATGTTGTGATTAATTAGCATTCAAAGTTCCCCAGAGTTGCAGGGTTGAGAACCACTGGCCTGTTTGCTTAATTTCTGTGTATCTTTTCAACATCTTTATAAATTAGTAATGAAATTTGTGTAATTATGAAGCAGTGAGTCCCAGACAGTTGTTCATCATTATGGAAGGATAATTTTAAAATGTTTGGACCTGACGGACATTGCCCCTGACTCCCACCTGTCCACATGAAGATTCAGACTTCATTACAGAAATAGCATAAGCTTTGGTCTTCTTTTGATTGTTAAATTATGTTAAATAATTTAAGAATTATTTAAGAACAGCATCTTAAAGAAACCTAGTGACAGACACTGAAATCAGCTGAGGAGGTTTTAAAAACACTGATGGGTCTTACCCTCAGAGATTTTGATTAAGTCTTGGGTGTGGTTGGAACTTTTTTTTTTTTTTTTGTCGTAAGCTTCTCAGTTGTTTGTGATATATAGCTGGGCGGAAAACCATAAACCGCCTAGAATAATGTATTCTGAACCCTCAGCAATATGATTACATGCAATGTAATTAAAATAGAGCCAACTTAAAGATGACAACTGCTGAGGTAAATCAAAACAGTATTTTTAAAGGATGCCACTCTATTTTTTTTTTTTTTAGATTGTCAAGTCATGAGACAAGTTATTTAACGAAGACAATGTGATCAAATGAGATAACGATATTAACTGGAAAGTGTTTGAAAACAAGTAAGTCAGGAGAAATCAAGAAAATGTATGCAAGAGGGCATACCTTCAGCACTGACAGCTGAACGCACTGACCAGACTGACCCTCGGCGGAAGGAGTAATTCCGGTGGGAAGTGCTGGAGGTGCAGGACGGACTCACAGACAGTCTGCGGGAGGCCAGATTGCTGACGTCTTCTACTGGCAAACAGAATGCGGAATGTGAACTTTGGCTTCATGACAAAACAGTTACCATTTTCACAACTGTAGTCGTTCTTGTATCACAAATTCATACTGCTCTCAGACCATAAGGCTTAAATAATTTTGAGGGTACTTAGAAAAGGAAAAATAAAAATAAAAAAGTCCTACAGAGGAAAGACAGAAAATTTCCCTCGAAGTTTTTACAAAAGCAGGCCAGAGAATCATTTGATCCAGAACGATTAATTATTTTTTGATACCTACTGAAAAACTGCACTTGTGAAATTTGAAAGTAGTCGATTAAAGAGGTTGAATTTAATACACATTCTGAATTCAGCTGTTCCCTGAATCATTCATTTAATGTAACTAATGTTCTCCTCTGAAAATGGCTAACTCTAAACTTCAGAAAACAACTTTTTCTTTGGTTAGTGTCAGGAAGTGAGAGAGAGACATGGAAGCGGGCATATCACCTCATGCCACATAAAACTGTCAATGTTTATTTCAAACCAGGTTATTTCCCTGAGACCCAGCCCCCAAAGAAGTCCTGTGTGTAGGGAGCACCTTCTTCTTCCGGCTCTGAGTTGGGCGTGCATGTGGGCTCATAGCAAGCCTCCTGGGTGATGGGGATGGCGGTAATGAGACTGGCTTCTCGACCAAGACGTTTCTTTTCTTCCTCCTGCTGCAAGTTCTTTAAGATGTGTTCTGCCCTTTGATGGGAGCGGGACACAGCCCGGGCTGAAAATGATTTCTGTGGAGGACATAAAGGCAAGTTCATTTAACAGCAATTCTTCTGCAAGTCACAGGTATAAAGAGTGTTCCAATGAATTACACAAATGCAGTAGTTTGTCCTCAGGAAATGTTAGGATACTCACGATCCAATTTCATGGACAGCTGTCTTTCTACCAAATTTCCAAGCTGGTGTATAGTTAAGCCTTTTTTTTTTTCTTTCATTCAATCAGAATGATTCTTCAAGAACATCTGTAATTTCTGGAAAGAATCTATTTCATTTTAGGTTTTGGGGGGATATCAATGATGTGCTTTTTAAATATTAAAACCAAATAAAATTTATACATACTCTATTTCTTTCTAGAATTTTTTGAACTGTTTTTAAAAGAATATTTATTTCAGGCTGGGTGCAGTGGCTTACATCTGTAATCCTAGCACTTTGGAAGGCTGAGGTAGGCGGATCACTTGAGGTGAGGAGTTCGAGACCAGCCTGGGAAACATGGTGAAACGTTGTCTCTACTCAAAATACAAAAATTAGCTTGGTATGGTGGTGCATGCCTGTAATTCCAGCTACTTGGGAGGCTGAGGCATGAGAATTGCTTGAACACAGGAGGCAGAAGTTATAGGGAGCTGAGGTAACACCATTGCACTCCAGCCTGGGCAACAGAGAGACACCTTGTCTAAAAAAAAAAAAAAAAAAAAAAAAAAAAAAAAAAAAAGGAAGGACATTTATTCCATAAGGTAAATAAATTTGAAAATCAGAACCATGGAAAGAAGGAAGAAAGAGAGAGTTCTCATATAAGCCAGTTAGTTATATGGCTTATTTCATTTCTGTAGCTCAAGTATCTGTCACACTATAAATACTTAATATTTGTGGAAACAAAGTTATGTAATGAAAATTATGAGAGCTGATAGCGTTACTAAGGTTGAATGTAAAATCTGACTCTGTTTACCAGTAGCTAAGATATACTGGAAAAATATTAAGAACAACTCATTCCTCCATAGAAGAAGGACGAGGAACAATGAGAAGATTCGCAAAACAGCTATTCTATGCATGTCTTAATCATGATGCTTATGCCCAGACAAGCTCCAAGAGTTTGGAGACAGAGTCTGTGGTCTCCAAGCAGGGAAGTGATCACTGTAGTTCTTCTCTGCCAACTTGAAGTAATGTTTATGCACAATGGCAATTCTACATTTCTTTGTTGGTTTATAGTCACACAGGGTTCAAGAGACAGGCATGGGATGTTGATCACTCTTGTAAAGGGCTGCATTTGTAGACAATCCCTTTGTAGAGAATCTTAACACGTTAAGACTAAAGGTTTTCTATGTTGAATAGCAGAGCAGCAAATAAGAGTTTTCTTTTTTTTTTTTTTTGGCTAGTCAAGTGAAGCAGTGGGAGTGGAGAAGAAGAGCTTTTTTTTTTTTTGAGATGGAGTTTCACTCATGTCACCCAGGCTAGAGTGCAATGGTGCAATCTCAGCTCCCTGCAACCTCCGCCTCCTGGGTTCAAGAGATTCTTCTGCCTCAGGCTACCAAGTAGCTGGGATTACAAGCACATGCCACCATGCCCAGCTAATTTTTTTATTTTTAGTACAATTCATTTGCAGAGCCAGGTAGCTAAGCTGGTTTATTATATTAAGGTATAGGTAAGAATTGTGGAATGAGAAAGATAACTGGATATAAAATCAGGGACTTGATTTCAAATCCACAGTGAGCTTAGGATACAGACTCTGGCTGGCTCAGATGAACCCATCACCTCTTCAGGAGAAAAATCAAAGACCCTTATGTTGATGGCTCAGATGCTGAAATTACTGAACCAATAGGAGAAGAACCCGGTGTGTTTTTCTTTTTGGTAAGGTACCATCAGATATGAAGGTAGAATTAAAATAAAATAGACACATTGTGATGGGGAAGAGTTTAAAAAAACAGTTCTCCAAAGAAAGCTACAAATGCCTAGGAATTCTACAAGTAATATGCAAAGATGTTCAAACTAATTTTATATATTCAACTAACTTTTTCAAAGAAGTGTGAATAAAATAAAGGGTAAGTTGTTTTGGCCATTCAAAGTGGCAATTAAAATAATAACACTAGTTAATAAGGAACTTTCTAATTCTATTTTATAAGAACAAACTGATATAACTTTTCTGGGGATATTTTGCGAGATGAATCAAAAACCTCTAATAATGATTATTTTATATTGCCATAAATTCCATAGGAATTTATGCAAGGAAATAACGCTAAAGGTGTTCTTTTTTCTGTTTTCGCTTTATTTTCCAAATTTTCTACATTACTCTTGTAATTTATTAAAGTACTATTGAACAGGTGAAAAAGGCATATTTTGAGGATCAATGTTTTCAAAAGGTGCATATTCTTGTTTTTTTTGTCTATAAATGGATTGTGTTCTAAATTTGACCATTTATGAGTTATATTACCTATAGCAGTAACTACAGCCGAAGTCTGAGTGATGTTTGTGATGATGATACTGATGACTGACAAAATGAAGAATAAGGTTCAAACAAGGAAATAGCTGCCAACTCTCTTCTTTTTCTTACCTTTTCAGGGCTAATGTCTTTGATTTGCCTTATGTATTATTGGTTAAATAAGTATGTTTGTCCAAAGGCAAAAGGGCTACCTTTGGCCAAGAAGTCAATGCCTAATGCTTTTAGTAGCTTTAAAAGGTGGCTTCTACTTTTTTTTTTTTTCTTTTTGGAGGTCTGCAAATGCTTGCTACTGGATATTATTCCCTCTCTTCTATTCACAAGGATGAAGACCTTTTGTGCTGACTTTCTATGTTATTATTACATTTTTATGAGAATGAACAAATTGCTGCAAACATTAGTTGTTTTCTCTTACATGCACACCATGGAACCTGGAGATACCGGAATGCAAGTGTCTGTTACTCACAGACTGGTCTTCATTAATGGGGTCCTGGACACTCCCGCTGCACTGAGGAACCCATGGAGGGTCAAACATTGGGACGGATGGCATTCCAAGCACCGGTGAGGGCAGGGTGAAATTGATACTGGGAGGCGGAATCTGTTAGTTGATATCAGAAAAATGAGGTAAGAGGGAATAGAAGCTAGAATGGGTCCGAAATATAATTATGACACGATCTGTCTCAGGAAGTTTTGGGGATCCAAGTGACTTCTCACAGAATGAGCAAGTATCATAGAAAAGGTCAATGGGGTGTAGGGAGGGGGGGAGGGAGGGGTAACATGGGGAGAAATGCCAGATACAGTATGCACCAAAAGTAAAATAAATTAAAATATATGTATATATGTTGCTGATATTCATAAAATAAAAAAAGAAAAGGTCTGTTTTCCGAGATTTTCTGTTATAGAACAAACAGGATGAACCTATTTGAGCCTTAGTTTACTAATCCATTGAATAAAGGCCTTCAATCAGATGATTCTCTATTTGTGTTTATCACCCCATCCTCCAAAGCACACCTGTAAGTTTATATATAGCAAAATATTTAGAAGAAAATTCCCCAGACTTCCAAATGCTTACCTCTGGGGATGCTAGTGAGATTTTGAGGTGTATAGAGACTTGATTTTCTTACTCTATATTCTTCTATATTTTAATTTTTTAACAGTAGGAATGCATTCATGTACATTAGATTTACTTATATAGTCAGAGAGAAAAAAAGAACATCTTTGGCTGTGTATTGTGGCTTTGAGGTTCAGGGATTTAAACAAACTTTGGGTTGGGTTTGCTAATATAACTCCTCTGTGAGAAGTATTCCTCACCTTAAAAATCTGCTGTGCTCCTTCCTCCATTCGGGGCCAGACTTGATAGCGAAACCTCCAGAGCGTGTGGAACTTGAGGACAGCATTTAGCCTCTGCACAGTCTCCGGGTGGTGGAACTCTGACATCAGCATGTCGGACACGGCCTCAGGCACCTTCACTGCACACAGCAGGAACATGGCAGCTAGAGACAGAGAGACAGTCAACAATTCATCAGCTATGCTTTTTTTTTTTTTTTTTTTTTTTTTTTGAGACGGAGTCTCGCATTGTCACCCAGGCTGAAGTGCAGTAGTATGATTTCCACTCACTGCAACTTCTGCCTCCTGGGTTCAAGTGATTCTCCTGCCTCAGCCTCCTGTGTAGCTGGGATTACAGGTGCCTGCCACCACTCCCGGCTAATTTTTTGTATTTTTAGTAGAGATGGGGTTTCACTATGTTGACCAGGCTGGTCTTGAACTCTTGACCTCATGATCCGCCCACCATGGCCTCCAAAACTGCTGGGATTGCAGAAGTGAGCCACCCCCTCCGGCCCAGCTATGCTTTTAAAATGTTGCTTAGTTCCTGGGGTTGGAGAGAAGTGGAAACTGCTCCTATCTTCTGAAAATGACTCCTGAGTTATATGAAGCTAGGCTATCAGTACTGGCAAAAGCAAACCTACTTTGTACCACCCACAGACTTCCAATAGCTGGTGCGAGGGCAGCAACAACATGACATTTCAGTAGAATCACTCATTCCAAGCAGTTTCCTTTGACTCACAGTGAAAAATGAATGCCAGAGGAAGCAAACAAAATAAGAAAAGTACATCCTGCAATATGTTTTTTAGGAAATAGCTAGACTCATCTCATAGTAACCCAAGGACAATAAATAAACTTATCCTTTAAAAACTACCTGTTACATTGGCTACATTTTTAAAATTCCACACCATAGACTCTATTGGAAACACATATCCTTCCCAGAGATAGAAGAGATTGAGAAGCTAAAAGGGATTTAATGAATCATAATACCATGAAAAGTTTTTTGTGAAAAGCCAAATATCAATAAGTGAAAGGCCAGGTTCCATGAAAAGTTACAAAGCTAATGAATAATAAGCTTTATAAATAAACTGTATAACATAGATAGAGAAGCTAGTGGCAGTTATAAAAACATACTCTACATGAATATGTCATGAATCTCTCATGTACTCTTTCCCAGAGCCTAACAGTGTGCTTAAGGCAGCTGTGCCAGAAGAAATGGGGTTAAGTCCTGGTAGCTCTGATACTTCTCTGCCATGAGATCGTGGTTAAGCCTCTTAATTTCTCTTAGCCTCCAGTTTTCTTTAATGGTAAACTCCCAATAAGAACAATAATGATAACATTAATATCTGCTTCCAAAGTTGCTGTTAGAATAAAATAAAAGGATATATGAGAAAGTGCTTTGTGAAGTGAAAAGTACAACACACTTTTAAAGCATGTCATATTTTAAAAATAGAGGCAATTTAGTTCTAATGGTAAGGGCATCTATCTGTGTATTCAGAAAATCTGGGTTTCCTTACCATTTGAGCTGTATGAACTTAGATATGTCCTTTCAATTCTCTGACTAAAGTCTAACCATCTATAGAATGGTTTATCAATAAGATAATGCATATGATCTAGTTCTATAACAAATGCTAGTTATTGCAATCATTATCTTTTGTCAATACTTTTCTTTAGCCTATTAGGTGCTCAAATCTCCACTCTTTCTACTTTCTTTGCCTTTCTTCAAAATGCACTCTACACTGCCTCAATTTCTAAACACTAGGCTCATTCTTTAAGTCACCACAGAATTCTATCTTAATCTCCACTGAAAAAGTTTTCCTGTAATGCTCACTAATCCTCAGATCCAATGGTATTTTCGTAACACTTGTTTCAGTTTTTAATACCTTCACAACAATCTCCTTGAAGAGCTATTTTCCTTTGCTTCCACGGTTTGAGATTATTTGAGTTGTCTACCTTTTCTGATCACTTTTTCTGGCTGGGCTTCTTCCTCTGGTCCTCTAGAGGTGGAGAAGACCATTGGCTTACTGGTCATTTCTCATCTCTTTCTTCTCTATTGATCCTCTCTACTGATCATCTTTATTGAAATAATGAGAGTAGAGCCCATCTACTCTCATTATTTCAGCTGCCATTTCTATCAACTTGTTCCCCAAGTTTACCTTTGGCTTTCCTCTTTAGCTTCAGTGTCATGTCACCAACCATATATTACCAACTGTCTTTCATTTAAAAATCACTATTCTTTTGAAAACTTTTTAAAAATTAATTTACAAATATGTACAGACTATTTGTACACATGGGGCACATGTAGCATTTTCTTACGTGCATAGAATGTAATGATCAAGTCAAAGTATTTAAAATATCCACCCCTTGAGTATTTATCATTTCTATGTGTTGGAAACATTTCAAGTCCTTCTTCTAGCTATTTTGAAATATACAATACCTTGTTGTTAACTATAGTCACACTAACATGCTTTTGAACACTAGGACTTCTATCTAACTATATGTTTGTACCCATTAACCAACTTCTTTTCATCCTTCATCTACACCAAAACACTATTTTCAAAACCAAACTATTTCACATGTTGCTGCAGTATCAAACTTAGTAACAATTGAAACTCTGTATACAACATTGCCCTTTGGCTCAGAAGCTACAACTGTTTTTTTTACAATTCAGTGGAAGGTCCACAGTCATAAGCCTGTCATTCAAAGTCTATTACAAGCTGAGTCCCACTCACCTTTCTAATATCATGGTCCTGTGACCACTCTACAAAAGCCATGCTAGTCTTCACTCTCCTCAGGCTTTCCAAAAAACCCAGTGCACTTCCACATTCACCCAGTTTTGCACCCACCGTGTTTCCTGCTTCTCTCACTTGTAGGTGTTCTTTAAAGCCCCAGTCTACCTGTTTATATTTTCCATGGAAGTTTCCATAACTATCCCATGTTTGGGGAGTGTGCCATTCCCTGAACTTCCATAGCTCTCTCTGAGAAGCAAAAACCTAAATTTTAATGTGAACAAAGGTCTTTTACCAAGATATTCATTACAATATGGCATAAAAGAGCAAAAGGTGGATTCCACCTAAATTTACATCAATAGGTCTTGGCTAAATAAATTATGATATGTCCATTCATTCAGTGGAATATTTTGTAGTCACTAAAAAGAGAGAGGAAAAACTAAAAAGAGAGAGGTAAAGCTATAAACTGATATTTAAAAACAGTCTCCCAGATATAAATGAAAAAATGCAAAGTAGATTTATAGGATGTCCCATTTGTGTGAAAAAGAAAACATACAATATATAACTTACACACACACGCACACACACACGCATACACACACGTGTGTGTGTATGTAGTTTACCCTAGAAGGACTCCTGAGAAACTTAAAAAGTTGCCTCTGTGGAAGGAAATGGTGGGGTGAGTGGGGTAGGGGAGGGGTGGGGGGAAGGGTATGGGTCATAGGAAAAAAGGCAATACTTTTAACTTCATACAATTTCATCTTAGTTGAATTTTTATCATGTACATTTTGCAATTAAAATAACCACAGACAAATAAAGGGAGCTGCATAAAAGGTGGAAAAAATGAAGAATATATATTTTGCCTCTACCACTAACTAGCTATGAGGCCTTGGACAAATCACTTAAATTTTAACAAGTTTGCTTTGATATTACTATTTGGACATAGAACATTACACACATAAGAGTTAATAAAGTTAACTATGGTGGTTCATGTTAAACCTAGGAGATGACCCAAAAAAGAATTTTGTCTCTTGTGAAATATAGTGAAAGTGCAGGTTCTGGGGAAAATCATTCTCCATAATTTGGTAACACCCTGAGAGAGACATATGCTTTGGTGCAGACCATATGGTGAAATTGGAAGGGAGCATACAAAACCTGAGTCTACCTTCCTATAGCACACAGCTCTAGAGTCTACAGTTACAGCAATTGCCATTAACTTGATCTAGGAGCAAAAACAGAATGAAAGCACCTCTCTCTTACTCAAAAACTTGGATCAGTAATGGCAGTGGCAGTTGGCACAGGGTTCCAGGTGGTCTTTCTTTACCTGCTGCCCCTGCCATGTGCTCATCCATGCTGAGCAGGAGCTCCCAGGCAGCTGGCTGGATGTCTCCATACATCTCCTCTGTCAGAATTGGTGCTGCCTTGATTAACAGAGATAAGGGAGCAGGCGACAAGCTCATCACCTGGGAAAAGATGGAAATCATGTTTTAAAATCTTTTAAGACAGTGAATACTGCATTTCTCTTGAAATGTAACAGCTGCTTCCCCTCTCTCTGCTTGCCTTAAGTGATCTTAAAATATTTTCTAAAATGGGAGCATGTTTAGTTGACATGTCATAGGATAAGCTTTATACCTTATTAATTGAAGTATAATTTTAAAAATACACTAATTTTATGATGTTTTCACCACAAAATTGCTTGCAACCACCAAGGAGTAAACTATAGTATAAGTACAACTCTATGAGAAAAGAAAGACCCCAGGAAATACATATTTGTGTTAAAAGTCTTGATGCATTTTTAAAGGATCCTATTTTCCTTCCTAATAGTGGATTTCCATTGAAAACTATAAGCAGCCTATAACTGATGAAAAAGCCCATTTAGAAAGTTAACAGAGCCATTGTGAACATGTATGGCACTTTCTTTGAAATACATAATATATTGTGGTTATTGCCCCAGATTAACCCACAAAATCCTATTTAATCCATTATTTCTCATAATTTAGGTGACAAATGTAGGTCCCAGACAAGTCATCATCATTTCAAATTCCAGAAAAGTATAAACAATACTTTTTGGGGGAATATTATGATTTAGAGCTTATGCTGTAATAGCAATATAACAATGTGTCAAGCACTGGATAAGTAGGTACATGCACCATTTTATTTGATCCATGCAATCATCCCTTGGGACAGGTCTAGTGTTATAGTCCCCATTTTATAAATGAGGTGACCAAGACCAAGAGAAATTAAGTAACTTTCCCAAGTTACTTAATTTGGGATACTTAAGAGCAGACATGGGATATGAATCCAGACTGTCTCATTCCAAAACCCATAAACGTTGCCATTACACACATGTAGGAAGTTAGCTCCCCTGCAGCAAAGACAGTGGGGAGAGCTGTGGTTTGAACCAAAGTTCCCAAGCCTTGTTTGTGGAAGCTGGCTATCTAGCAAGAAGGGATTTTTTTAGTAGAGACGGGGTTTCACCATGTTGACCAGGATGGTCTCGATCTCTTGACCTCGTGATCTACCCGCCTCGGCCTCCCAAAGTGCTGGGATTACAGGCTTGAGCCACTGCGCCCGGCATCTCAAAAAAAAAAAAAAAAAAAAAAAAGAAGGGATTTTTTTTTCCTTGCACACTTGGTGGCACTCTTGCTCACCAACTGAAGAAGCTTTATGCCAACACTGTGCCAGCTGACACTGTATGTCCCAATCATTAGTAAATAAGTTGTCTGGAGTCCCCTCCCTTTTAAAGCTCCGTGAATTCTTCTGATCCAGCTGCCAATACCTGAAGTCTGATGTACTTCAGCATTCCGGAATCTTTTTTTCCTTCCAGATTGGCATCTGAAACTCTCTTCTTTAGAGAAGGTGTCCTCAGGCATGACTTATCTGAGCACTGAAAAGAACAGGGATACGTAATGAAGAGTGGTATGCTTTCTAAAAACCCGACAGTGGTATATGTCCCCCAATTCTCCAGGCAACCATCTTCTAGTGGAAGGGGTAATTAAAGGTCTTTTTGTGGGTTCACGTTTTCTAAAATTTATAAAAGCAGTTAATTTTGTAATTAAAAAAATTAGCTTAGGATATTTAGTAATGAGCTCCTCTTTGGCCTTTGAAGAAACTGGCACTAGGAGAGGTGGAGGGACTTGGTTGAGTTGCAAAGATAATTATTAGCAGAAAAAGGAAAGGACAAGGATCTCTCCACTTCCATTTCAGGGTTAATTATATTTCATTAAGCAGTTAAAGCACACAAATCTCTTAAAATATTAAGTCAAATAAAATCCACTCTATCCAATAGTCCCTTCATAGGGTTGGATGCTGCAAGTTGAACAACTTAGTCATAAAGGAGAGAAGACATTTCATAGAGAAGCGTTAGAAAGTTAAAGGTCAAATACAGGACTCGTCAAGGAAGTATGAGTTTATAGTATCTATTAGCAAGGACTGAGTTGTACAGGTAAAGTGATTTCTTTTCAAAAACCATACTCTTCTATAAGAGGCAGTAGCTCTTCTTAAAAATTGTCTCCTCAACCAGGTGATTCATCTATATAAGCACGGATAATACCATTTCTTCCTCTAACCCCTTAAATGCCAAGGGATGGACTGAACAGTGCAGCTGGGAGAAGCATTGAACCTAATGAAGGCAGGCTTACTTATCCGGAGTCCTGATTCCTCCGATTTTGGCACTCCAGGCTGTGAAAAGAGGGAATCATTCTCCCCACACAGAATAAATGCTCATTTGTTTTTCCAGTGCCATGTCAATGAAACACTTTCTCGCTCTAGTCAAGGGGGGAAAAAAACTGAACTTCTTAAGAATTTTTGAACAGAGCTTCATAGTGTTATGAATAAATATATTTTTTAAAAAGGCAATTCTAAAAGTACATGCATGGATGTTCCAAGAAAGTCTTTCAAAACTGTGACAAAAAGACCCAAGAAAATGCATCTATTATATGACAAGTATGGAACCAACTTTTAAAATGAATCTACTTGAAAACAAGTGAATTAGGGTTCTTGCTGTGCTTTCTAAAGAAAAAAATCATGGAGGTGCATACCTGGGAACACATATTATTTGGGGAGATAACTATTGTGTTGCTTTTCCCCCCGTGACTGTGAAAGTAATATACAGCATAAATAGTATGCCCATTTTATATAATTTGAAAACTGTTCTAAAATCATATATAGCACTAACTTGTCAAGTAAATGTAGTGGTGTATCTAACCCTTGCAAAAGAGTAAAGATACTAAAAACTGGCATCTTTCTGTTTTATTCTTTATATTTATAAAATAATGGATGGGATGTATATTGGAGCATATCTGGAAAAGAAATAAAAACTCTGAAGAAAACAAAAATCTCGGTAATTCCTGATATGGTTTAGCCGTGTCCCCACCCAAATCTCATCCATTCCCATAATCCCCATGTGTCACAGGAGAAACCCAGTGGGAAGTGATTGGATCATGGGGGCGGTTTCCTCCATGCTGTTCTCATGATAATGAGTGCATCTCATGAGAGCTGATGATTTTATAAGCTTCTGGCATCCCCCTTCTGCCCCCCCTCCAACCCACTTACACTCATTCTCTCTCCTGCCACCCTGTGAAGAGCTGCCTTCCACCATGATTGTAAGTTTTCTGAGGCCTTCCCAGCTATGAGGAACTGTGAGTCAATTAAGCCTTTCCTTTATAAATTACCCAGTCTAGGGTATTTCTTCATAGCAGCATGAGAACAGACTACTACAATCCCCTACCCAATGATAGCAATTATTAGGTTATTTTCAACCTTTCCCCCACATGCAACTTAGCACAACTGTGATAATGTTATGTATGGCACACAATTTTAAATGATTCATTTCACTATGATTTTATAATGAGCATTTTCCTATTACAATTATTTTAAAATATAATTCTTAAATTTTGCAAATATTTTACCACTTTCTCTTTTGGTTGGACATTTTGTCTCCAGGGATTCTTTTGAATAATACTTCTTGATTAAATTATAGGAATTTTAACCAGGCAAGATAAAGGAAAATACTCAGCACACCAAAAAAAAGAAAAGAAAAGAAAAGACCATTTATATTTTTCCCTGATACTCTGTGTTTCTGCCTTGCCTACTGGGAACAGAAAGTATAAGTCAAGCTCCTCATATATTTAATATCCTACCATGTTGCTTTAGGAAGCATGGTGTGATCCAGTAGCCTCATGATACTTAGGGTGCTTGTTTTCCACTTAGGGTGGAAAGGAAGGAAGTTGGAAGGGTTTTCACACCAAGGTGGTAAGCTAATAACTCTTTTTGAATGACCCGATTGGAAGATAGAGATCACAGAGACGGGTATATGTGTGATGGGCACTTGGGTGCACTCTGTAAAGGTCCTAAAGTCCCTCTACTGGTATGACTCCTAACTCAGACTGTTGGAACAAGTAGGAGACCACCTGCTAGTGGTCCTCTGAAGAGTTAGAGATTTCACTGGACTGTAAGATGCACATAGTGGTCGAAATTACATATCAAGCAGTGACTTATAGAGAAACTCAAGACTAGTGACCCAAGGCCAAGGGACAGAATAGTGACAAATTCTGGAAACATTAGTGATAAATTCTGTCCTTTGGTCTTGGATTGCTAGTCCTGAATTTCTCTACAGGTCCCTGCTTGATGTGTAATTTCGAACACTATGTGCATCTTGCAGTCAAGGGAAATCTCTAACTCTTCAAAGGACCACTAGTAGATGCATCTACTGGTACCAAATAGAGATTAGTGGTAAATTCTGTCCTTTGGTATTGATAATTCAGTGATAAATTCCTCTACACAGTCATTGTTGAGGTGGTTCTACCAAAAAAGAGCTGTGTTCAATGGGAGGCAGTTATTCAGCCTCATGCTCTGCCAGGGATACTTGGGAATCCTTGCTATGAGATAGTGGAGAACTTAGACCAATGTCACTTCTACCTTTGTGTATATCGTAGAAAAAGCCATTCTAGTTGACTCCATGACTCCTCACCTCATTCTGATCACTTTTGATTAGATTAGCAATGCAAAACCAGTTTTTTAATTGGCTAAAGATGTACCACTTGCGGTGCTTGGGCCAAAAGAGGAGAAGATGGCTCCCTCAAATTCCTGTCTTAGGGAATTAAGAGAAACAGAGTCTGAATCGTTTAGCAATGGTTGCTGTGTGGAAAAATAATGATGCCATCCTGAAATTTTCGGTCTATGTACAAGATGAATGCAGCAACAGGAGCTGGCCAGGGGATAGAATGTTTGTGCAGATGGAGATGATGCAGAAAGAAGCAGAGATGAAAGACTATGTTCATCCCGAAATGAACAGCAGCTTTGGTTCTCATTCCCTTGAGGCTTAGCTGTTTCTTTTACTGTCCCTAGTTTTCTGAGATTCTACTGTATTCTTTGAAGAATATCCCTAATTGTTTAAACAAGTTCAATCTTTTCTTCCTTACAACAAAAGATTATTGACTAGAGAGGAATAATAATGGTTTCAAATAAATTTTTGTTTATTCATTGAATAATTCAAGAATATTTTTGGAGTTAAACATATGCCAGAAATTGATCTAACTTCTGGAGCAGGTGTGTACCGTCCTAGAAAAGTGTAGGAAAGGCAGATGACAAACAAGTAAACAAAGGAAAAGTCAAGATAAATAGAAAAGGAAATGCATGCATGAAGGAGGACTCAGTGTGGAAATAACAAAGTATTTATATATTTCTTTTTCTTTTAATTCTAAAAGAATTGCAACACTAAAACAAGGTGTTAAAACTTGGGGATGTTGAAGTCAGCCTACTGGACTCTCTGAGAAAGGGATTTTCTCATGTTTCTGGGAAGAAGGTTATGTCAACAGAAATGCAGTATTTCCCAAAAGGTAACCTAGACTCTTTGTGCCTCATACACGTTTGACACATGAATTATGTATATTACAGTGGGCAGTCATCAGGGTCCATGAAATTAAGATCCACAGCCTGGTCTTGGCCTTACAATAATGTTGTCCATAGATAGCTTTAGGGAAAATGTTGGTTCTGCCGGAAGTCAGCTGACCTCTTGACATTTGCACTGGAATTTGCTTTATGGAATTTGCCTACCATATCCTTTCTTTTGGGGGGCATGTATCACAATTTGTTCCCCTCTCCTTTTTGGTTGAAAGAGGAAAAGTTTAATCTACTCCTTTTTAAAATTAGCAAGCATTAATTAAACATTTACTCTATTTATAACATAGCTTTGAACAAAGTACAGACATAGAGGAAAAATCTCAGAATTCTTTGGCAAAGGTGATACATACTTGTAGAATGACAGTTTATTTTTCAAAAACCCTCAAGTTTGGAAGTACACTAAAATAGACTAACAGATTGTACAGTGAGTCCCTGAGCATTGAAATGTAGATTAGCAGATTGATCAGAATTAGATGGGTTACAAAATGTACTAGCTGCCACAAATATACTCTGCCATAATAAAGCAATTAAAAAGAAAACAGGAATGAAATACCAATTGCTCATAAGACACGCTTCTAATCAGAATAGGGCTTTTACTCTTGCCTTATTGCCTACTCTGTTTTCATTTTTCATCTGGAAATGTGGGCATTGTTCATTTATCTGACAGATTCACAACAGGCAAGTGCAAAGTATCATGAGAGAAAGGAAAGAGCTTGTGGAGGAGGCTAGCATTTTGGAAATAAAATGTGTATCATAGAGGAGTCAATTCATCCTTTGAGCTCTCTACCTGAATGACTAATTTCAATGTGTTAAAAGTTAGAAGCCACTTATTCATGCTTTCCCTTTCCTTTTCAGAAACGTAAGCAGTAGCAGAAGGTGGATAGGCCTTTTCTACTGCTTCAGGCCAGTGGCCTGGTGAGGCAGAGTGGAGGGCACTCATGAAGCACCCTAGGACTACAGCTGTACTCACCCACTCAATGACTGCTCTACTATTATATAAGTGAGTACTCTGTTAGGTTATCACACAGGATACAAAATGTGAAAGATTTCCTCGGTTCTCAAAAAGTTTATAGCTAAGTGGTAGAACATACCACGGCTTGCAGGATAAAATGAAAGCCTTCCCATGGTCCCACATGGTCTGGTCTCAAGCTGCCTGTGCAGCATCATCATGTACCACATTCCTCTGTACTCCAGCTATGGCTCTTCATACTCACCTCTTCTCTCTGGTTGGAAAATTTTGTATCCAATTAACATCTGTGCATCCTTTAGTCAAAGCTCACCTGTCACTTTATTGGGAAGGCTGTCTTTTATTTCCCCTACAAGACCAAAGCCTCATTTACAAGCTCTCTCAGCACAGTGTAGCTCTCCTTCATTGCACTTACTGCTGTTGCAATTTTACATTAATTTGGGAGGTGTATTTGATCAATGTCTGTCTTAGACTAGATTATGTGCACCAAATGAGGGTACAAACTGTATTATTACTTTTTTCCCCATTATTGTACTCAGTGCAAAGTATGGGCTCAGCATGGTCTACAGGTTCTTTAAAAGTTTGTTGAATAGATGAATAGCTGGCTGGCTGGCTGGCTGGATGATTGAAAAAAGAATGAGAAAACATGAGTTAAATACTATTATAATTTAGTTGAAGGAGGAAGCAAGGAAAATAACATTTAGTATTTATCTGCAGTATGCCCTGTGCTTAACAGTTGAGGAATCAAAAAAAAAGTTTAATGGAGGGAGGAGATGGCATTTGAGTCAGATCTTAAAGAATGTTTGGGTCTGGCTATGTTAGATTAGAGATGAAGGTATAGTTCCAGCAAAAATAGAGCAGTAAGAAATTCTGAAGCATGTATGGAGAACAATGATCAATAATTTAGACTCAAGTATTTTTGAAACTTTCAACATATATGGTTTTAACCTAAAACTAATGGAGTTTTTATAGGAAGAAAGAATTTACACAAATTAAAATAATTTTTTTTAAATGCAGTGTCATTTACGTTTGAAATATATATATATATATATATACAATGCATATAGATATATACATGTATGCACACACAAACATATTTACTTTTTTTCTTTTTGTGTCATTATTTAGCAGTTTATTTGTATCCCACATTGGTCTATTCTCCACCTTCATTCCCTCAGAATTTGTATTATTTGAATGACATGAAATGCAATAGAGTCTAATTTAAAAAGCCCTGACTCTGATGTTCCATATTTCTAAGGTTGAAGTCTAGCTGAATATGTTATAGATATGAAAGGTGGATAATCCCAACTTTCTGAGCCTCCACAGGTGAAAAACATGTAAAATGGGGAGAAAAATAATACTTCCAATGGTTTTTAAGAGTACAAAAGCACTTGTTAATGAAATGTACCTATCTTATACCCTCACACATACATTTAGAAAAAATACTAAAAGATTATACCCCATAGAGTGAACTTGCACACTTAGGAGATATATCAGATATGTAATTTTTAAAGAATATTTTGTAATATTAAAAATTTCTTCAGTGAATATGTATTGCTTTCATAAGAAAAAAGTTGTAATTAAAAAAATCCCTTTGTGAGCACTAAGGTATCACAAATTGCTACACGACTCAACTGTGCGTTTTTGTTGTTATTGCTCATATTCTCTCATTGTTTGATGTATATGTTATTGATTATCCCCTCCCTAGCTCAAACCTGGTTTGCAAATTCCTTAGAAAGACTCTCTGCTTCTAGTTTTTTTTTCTTAACAGCGTATCTGTTAAGAAATTGTGCCAACAGTGGGCACATAATAAATGCCTGTTGAAATGAATAGGTGTTACATAAAAATCTCTTTGCAAAACCACTTGGGAAAAGCAGCTGCAGGGGCAGCCACAACATTCAGTCAAGCATCTTGGCTGTGATGCCTGTTCAGGGGCAGGTGGAAAATTCAGGGCTTCTCTGGCAGGAGCACAGCAGCCCTGGTCACCAGCTTCATCATATGCCAGCTCAGCTGCTCAGGGTAGTTTTCAGAAAAGGACAGCTGAATACTTGAAAAATGTAATAGTTTCTTGAAGGAATTTCCTTTAGTCTGATTTGATCTAGATCACTCTTTTACTTGGCTGTAAACAGTGGGGTCATTTATGCATATTTTTTAGTACATAGTTGCATTCGTTTCCTGTTGCTGCTGTAACAAGTGACCACAACCTTCATAGCTTAAAATGACACAAATTTATTATCTTACAGTTCTGGAGGTGAGATGTCTACAAAAATTGGCAGGGCTGTGGTTGCTTCTGGAAGCTCTGGGAGATTATCCATTTCCTTATCTTTCCTAACTTCTAGAGGCTGCCAGCATTCCTTAGCTCATGGTCCCACATCACTCTGACGTCTGCTTTTCTCCTGACATTTTCCTCTCTGCCTCTGACCCTCCTGATTCCTTTTTTCACTTATAAGGACCGTTATGATGATACTGAGCACAACTGGATAATTTAGGACACACTCCCCATTGCAAAATTTCTAATCACATCTGCAAAATCTCTTCTGCCATGTGAATATATTCACATTTCAAGAGATTAGGGTGTAAATAATGTTTGTAGGGGAGGCATTATTCTGCTTACCACGATAATTTACTCATAATCATCCCTATGCATTCATATTTGTTTACAGAATAAGACAAAACCCGAGGAAAGATTTCATGTTTACTCATGGACAAGAAGACAAAACATTGGTCTTTCTTACACACCTCTTCTGCTTTTGTTTAGATGCACACAGACCTGACTGTAACAATTGTGTTTGCCTAAAAATTTTTATTTCCAGAGAAAAAATTGTTAGACATCATGTTCCCTAGTACTGGCATGTTATCCAGGGGTCATTTACTTACTTCTTTCTGTTTCTTGCCCCGGAGAGCCACGTTGCTGATGTTGCTGCTTTCCCGCAGGGAGTCCACACTGTCTCCATAGAGCAGTTTGATGGCTCTGACCAGTCGGGCACAAGAGCGGCTGTGATGCAGGTAGCAGTGAGGATGGCAGTAGTCAACATGAGTGCAGATGAAACTCTGCTGATTGCACAGCAAGATCATGACCTGGAATACAAACATTCCTGAGACTCAGCTAGGCAACCAGGGTACAGACAAACTGAACATATCTGCAGGGTGGAAGATGAGAAGTCAGAATATCAGCTTCCTGGGATGTGTCTTGAAATTGCAGTGATTCAGTAATTCCCAAAGGAGAACAAAGGGTTCCTTATCCACTTGGCCTTTTGTTCTCCCTCCAGTCATACTTGATAGAAGGATGTCTTTGAAACATTAAAAGGTTAACAGGTCTTCAAAAACTTAAAACAATTATTGTGGAGTGTATGGTTTCCAAATATTCTCAAATGGAGATTCTGAACCTAACACTAATTTTTTTTTTCTAGCTCTTATGTTGGGGAATGAACCAGATGGAAAGGCATAGACTTCTGTCCCAGAGGATCTGACTGGCTTTTGACAGCTAAGGGATACCGTTAATGCCAGGCCACCCATGTGAGGCTTGAAAACATTTCTACTTCTTCCCCTCTGACTAATAAAACTTCTTTTTTTTTTTAAATAAATTTTTATGTGTGGTACAAGGTGGGGTGGTCAAACTTGTTTTGTTTTGTTTTGTTTTTTACAGATACAATTATTCCAGCATCATTTATTAAAAAGGGCATCATTTCTACACTGAGACTTCTGTCACAATTCAGATGATAATACGTGTGTTGATTTATTCCATTGACACATGTTCTATTCTTTTTTTTAAATTTATTTTACTTTTGGTGCATACTGTAGTCTTATTGCCACTCTCTGCAAGGTGGTATTTTTCCTCTGGCTTTTAGAACATTCTAGCTCTTCTCTTGTAGCTAAATCCAAATCAAATTTTCATATCTCCTAGAATTCTCCCATTAAAATGACAGAAGGGAATTCTGTTGATTTAAAGGATATGGTTATTTTAAGATAAGGAATAAAGGACCTTGCATTTGGAACTTAGAGGAGTTTTCTTAAAAGGCAATAACATATGCAGAGCCACAAGCTCAGTCAAATGTGTGTAGAGTCTTCTGAACGCTTCTGTCCTTCATGAAACTATAACAGTTCCCACCTTGACAACTAACCTGTGAGGGACTATCTGTCATATTGAACACAGAGCACAAAACAAGATGATGTGGGCAAGGCCAATATGTTGATTGTAGCCTTGTGAGACATCCTGAAGCAGAGGACCTAGTTAAGCTGTGCCAGAATTCCTGACCCATAAAAACTATAAGATAATGAATGTGTATTCAGCCACTAAGTTTGTGATAATTTGTACGCAGCACTAGAAAACTAATACATTCCCCCTCTAACCATGATAAAGTATCTTAGAGCTACTGTTGAAGAATCAGTAAGTAAAATACTACACACACACACACACACACACACACACACACACACACATGAGTCAGCTCTCCACATCCATGGGTTCTGTGTCTATAAGTTCAACCAACTGCAGATCAAAAATAATCCAAAATATCCACCCAAAATTGTATTTTTACTAAATATGCACAGCCATTTTGGGAGAGGTCATTATCAATATAGTATAATAACTAGTTATATGGCATTTACATTGTATCAGGTATTATAAGGAATCTGGAGATGACGTGGAGTATGTGGGAGGATGTGCATAGGTTATATGCAAATACTATACCATTTCATATCAAGCGCTTGCTCATCTGTGTATCCTGGTATTCATGGGAAGCTCTGGAACCAATCCCCATGGATACCAAGGGATGACTACACACACACACACACACACACACACACACACACACACACACACACACACGTGTAGACAGGCAAACCTTGGAGATATTGTGAGTTCAGTTCCAGACCACCACAATAAAGCAAATGTTGCACTCAAGTGGGTTACACAAATTTTTCTATTTCCCAGTGCATATGAAAGTCTTGTTTACACCATACTATAGTTTATTAAGTGTGCAATTTTATCATGTCTAAAAACCAATGTACATACCTTAATTAAAAATGCTTTATTGCTAAAATACGCTAACAATCATGAGCCTTTGGTAAGTTATAATTTTTTTTTTGTCTGTGGAGGGTCTTGATGTTGATGGCTGCTGACTGATGAGAGAGAGAAGTGGTTGCTGAAGGTTGGGATGGCTGTGGTAATTTCTTAAAATAAGACAAGAAAGAAATTTGACCCATTAATTGACTGTTCTTTTCATGAAAGGTTTTTTTCTCTAGCATGTGATACTGTTTGATAGCATTTTACTCACAGTAGAACTTCTTTCAAAATTGCAATCAACCCTCTAAAACCCTGTTGCTGCTTTATCAATTTAATGTAATATTCCAAATTCTCTGCTGTCATTGCAGTAATGTTCATAACATCTTCACCAGGAGTAGTAGATTCCATCTCAAGAAATCGCTTTCTTTGCTCATCCATAAGAGGCATTTCCTCATCCACTCAAGTTTTATTATGAGATTGCAGCAATTTAGTAACATCTTCAGGCTCCACTTCAAATTCTAGTCCTCTTGCTAGTTCCACTTTATTTGCAGTGACTTCCTTCAATGAAGTCTTGAATTCCTCAGTCATCCATTAGGGTTGGCATCAACTACATTCAATAATGTTGGCATCAACTACATTCAAACTCCTGTTAATGTTGATATTTGATCTCCTCTTGCAAATCAGAAATGTTCTTAATGACATCTAGAAGCTTTCAATTTACTTTGCCAAGATCCATGACAGGAATCACTATCATTATCTGTGGCAGCTATATCCTTGCAAAATGTACTTCTTAAATCATAAGACTTGAAAATCAAAATTACTTCTTGATCTGTGGGCTGCAGAATGGATGCTGCGTTAGCAAGCAAGAAAACATTAATCTTCTTGCACATTTCCATCAGAACTCTTGAGTGACCAGTTACATTTTCAAAAAGCAGCAATCTTTTGAAAGAAATCTGTTTTTTTCCTGAACAGTAGGTCTCAACAGTGGACTTAACCTACTCAGGAAATCATGCTGTGAAACAGATGGGCTGTCATCCAGGCTTTGTTTTTCCATTTATAGAGTGCAGGAAGAGTAAATTTAGCATAATTCTTAAGGACTCTAGAATTTCTGAATGGCAAATGAACACTGGCTGAAACTTTGAGCTGCCAGATGCATTAACCCGTAACAAGAGAATCAGCCTGTTCTTTTAAGCTTTGATGCCAGGTATTGACTTCTCTTTAGCTATGAAAGTCACAGATGGCATCTTCTTTTAACAAAAGGCCCTTCAATATTAAAAATCTGTTTTATAGTGTAGCCACCTTCATCAATGATCTTGGCTAGATCTTCTGGATAACTTGCTGCAACTTCTACATCATCTTGCACTTTTATGTTATGGAGATGGCTTCTTTCTTTCAACCTCATGAAGCAACCTCTGCTAATTTCAGACTTTTCTTCTGCAGCTTCTTTACCTTTCTCAGCCCTCACAGAACTGAAAAGAGTTAAGGCCTTTCTCTGAATTGGGTTTTGGTTTAAGAGAATGCTGTGGCTAGTTTGATCTTCTGTCCAGACCATGAAAATTTCTTCATATCAGCAATGACACTGTTTCACTTTCTTATTGTTCATATGTTCACTAGAGTAGTACTTTTGATTTTCTTCAATAACTTTTCCTTTGAAATCACAACTTGGCTCTTCGGTACAAGAGGCCTAACTTACTTTTTCTCCCTCCTTCCTTCCCTCCCTTTCCCTTTCTTCCCCTCCCCTCTCCTTCCCCTCCCTCCCCTTCTTTTTCTTTCTTTCTTTCTTTCTGATAGAGTCTCACTCTGCTGCCCAGGCTGGAGTGCAATGGTGCAATCTTGGCTCACTGCAACCTCCACCTCCCAGGTTCAACTGCTTCTCCTGTCTCAGTCTCCCAAGTAGCTGGGATTACAGGCGCCCATCACCACACCCGGCTAACTTTTTTTTGTATTTTTAGTAGAGATGAGGTTTCACCACATTGGCCAAGCTGGTCTTGAACTCCTGACCTCAGGTGATCCACCTGCCCCAGCTTCCCAAAATGCTGGGATTACAGGCGTGAGCCACAATGCCTGGCCAAGAGGCCTAACTTTCAGTGCATCTTTGCTTTCAACATGCCTTCCTCACTAAGTTTAATCATTTCTAGCATTTGATTTAAAGCAAGAGACATGCAACTCTTCCTTTCACTTGAACACTTAGAGGACATTGTAGGGTTATTAATCAGCCTAATTTCAATATTGCTGTGTCTCAGAGAATAGGGAGGCTCTACAAGAGGCATAGAGACAAGAAGCAGCTGGTCCATGATGCCATGAGAACACATGCATTTAATGATTAGGTTCAACATCAATATGGGTGTGGTTCATGGTGTCCCAAAACAATGACAATAATATCAAGGATTACTAATCACAGATCGCCATAAAAAATACGATAATCATGAAAAAGCCTGAAATATCATGAGAACTACCAAATTGTGCCACAGAGACACAAAGTGAGCACATGCTATTAGAAAAACAGCACTGTGAGACTTGCTTGATGCTGGGTTGCCACAAACGTATAGTCTATAAATAATGTGATATCTACAAAGCAAAGTGAAGTACAATAAAATGAGATATGCCTGTATACACACAGACATACACACATAATACATATTTTAATGTATGTTTTAAAATTTACTTATTTAAATGCATAAGACAGTGAGGCAGTCAGGAGAGGAAGGGTATGATGCAGAGAGAAAGGATATTCACTGAGGTGAGGACAATGTGAAGATACACCACATGTCTCCTTGAGGCGTTTGCTACATCTCAGTTAGGCATAAGTGGCCAAGAAGCTAGGCAGAGCCTTAGGCAATCTCAATAGGGACTAGGAGGTAAAAATTAGAATTTGAAATTACCAAAGAAGGCAGAAACTGAATAGTTTGGATCCTGCAGAGAAACGAGGTCCAAAGAAGTCAGACTGATACTGGGTGCCAGTTTTCCCTTCGAGGCTTTGGCTGATTGAGTAACTAAGAAGCCGAGCAGAAACCAGCTGACAAACAGAGTAGAGACTTTGGCAATTTCATTGTGATGTGGAAACAAAAACTGTAGTTCCTGACTCATCAAGAATGAGAGGCCCTGTGACATACCCCAGACTCTCAATGGGAGCCTTGGATGTCTTCATATTAAAAGGTGTGTGTAGGGGGTGTGGAAGGACAGGCTAGAAACAGTCAAAGTCAGTTAGTGTAGTCCCTGACTGGACTGAGGTGATCTTCTTCTTTGTTGTCTGCCAAAGGACAGGGTGAATCCTCTGTAGAAAGAGAAAACATCATCTAGAGCCTCAGTGCTTCTTTTAAATTAATAAACTTTATGCTTTAGTGTAGTTTTAGCTTCTCATCACAATTGAGCAGGAAATACAGAGTTCCCACATATACACTGCCTGCATACATGACAACCTCTCCTACTATTAACATCTTGCATCACAGTGGTACATTTGTTTCAATCAATGAACTTATATTGACACATCATTATTACCCGAAAACAACAGATTACATTAGGGTCCATGCTTTGCTTTGTACATTCTATGAATTTTAACAAAATGATGACATGCCTATCACTATATCTCTATAATTTTTTTATATACCATGTTTAGTCAATATAATAATGAGGCATTTTAGAAGCAGGACCAAGAAGAGTAAAGAAAATAGATTCATATACTAAAGTTATCAGCTATGGACTTTTGATCAAGATATCTGCACTCCTATGTTTGTTGTGGCACTGTTCACAATAGCTAATATTTGGAAGCAACCTAGGTGTCCATCGACAGATGAATGGACAAAGAAAATGTGGTACATATACACAATGGAGTACTATTCAGCCATTAAAAAATGAGATCCTGTCATTTGCAACAACATGGATAGAACTGGAGATCATTATGTTAAGTGAAATAAGCAGGACACAGAAAGACAAACATCACATGTTCTCACTTATTTGTGGGATCTAAAAATCAAACAATAGAACTCATGGACATAAAGAGTAGAAGAAGGTTACCAGAGGCTGGGAAGGGTAGTCGGGGGGTTGGGAGAGAGGTGGGGAAAGTGAATGAGTATAAAAAAATAAAATGAGCAAGACTTACTATTGATAGCATAACAGAGTGACTATAGTCAACAATAACTGCACATTTAAAACTAACTAAATGAATGTAATTGGATTGTCTGTAACATAAATAAATGCTTGAGGAGATGGATACCCCATTCTTCATGACATGATTATCTCACAATGCATTCCTGTTTTAAAACACCTCATGTACCCCACAAATAACACACCTGCTATGTACCCACAAAAATTAAAAATAAAAGAATGCTTTAAAAAAATCTGTGATCAACTATGAATGCATCACAATGGAAATTTTAAAATATTTTAACTAAATGATAATGAACATATATAAAACCTTATATTACGCAGCTAAAAGTGTTTCTAGATGATCTCTGTAAATTCGTATGTTAGCAAAGTGGTTGCAATCATCTAAGTGTCTATGTCAAGAAGTTAAGAAAAAAATATTAAACTCAAAGAAAGTAGAAGAAAGTAATAAAGAAAGTAAAACAAAATTTCAACATTCTAAAAATGACAAAATGAAAATCTGGTTCTGGTTCTTTTAAAAGGCAAATAAAATAGACAAACTCTTAGAAAAACATTATTAAAAAAAGAGAAGAAGACAATCTGCCAATATCAAAAACAATAAATGTAAATCACCGTAGATCCTACAGAATTTAAAATGATCTTAAAAGAATATTATAAACAGTCTTTTTGCTGATAAATTTGATTATTCAGATTAAATGAAAAAATCTTAGCAGAAAATGTCAACTTAGCTGAACTTCTCTCAGAAGAAATAAAAAATTTGAATGATCTTACCTGTATTTCACAAATTGAATCTGTAATTAAAAACTCTCCCATAAAGAATTTTTTAGGTTTAAAAGGCATGACCAGTGATTTCTTCCAAATATTTAAAGAAGAAATAGCACTGTTCTTACACAAACACTTCCAGAGTGTTTATTTGTGGAACACTACACAGAAAACTAAAAGGCCTTATTAAAAGACATTTAAAGAGGTTCTAATAAATGGAGAAACAGACACTAGTGGAGTGACAGAACATTTTAAACAATGGAAGATTCAATATCATAAAGAGATGATTCATTTAAATGTATCTATATATTACACTTAAGGTTGCTTTGGAAGGTTTTTGTTTTTTTGGTTTTTTTTAATGAAAATGGACAGGGTGATTCTAAATGGATGTGAATCTAGCCAAGAATAGATGAGGTCATTGTGAAGGAGAAGGACAACAAAATTGGAGGACTTACATTTATATGAGCAAAAGGAACCAGACACAGATAGAATATGATACCAATTACATGCATTTCAAAGACAAAATAAATCTATGGTGGTGGAAGGTAGAATGGTGGTTACTGTCAGGGGAGAGTAGTGACAGGTAGAAGGCCTGTGTAGGATTTCTTAGGTGTTGATAATGTTTTCTCAACCTGGCAGCAGTTATGCAGGTGTATTTACTTCATAAAAATATATTGAGCTGTATACATAGGTTTTGTATGCTTTTCAGTGGGTATATTAGAGTTTACTAAAAAGTTTACTTTAAAAAAAAAAACAACAACAGCAGCAGCTGCCTCAGAGATTCTCAAGTCAACGAACGCTGGGGACCGCTTCCATAGCGAAGGAAAACCACCATCTATCTGAAGACCATTATGTACCAGCTAGTGCTCATCTGACCTTCCCAGGAAGTCAGATTAAAATCAGGGCAAATGGTGGCCCCAGTGATGGTCCTGGGGTTACTGTGCCACTTGCACAACTGAGGTTACATTTCCTTACCTTTCTCCTTCCTTCTTCATGCTCAGCTCAAGTCTTGAACTCAAACCCATGCCCAGAGTTTCCTTGGGATAACTTCCTGCCTGTGCCCTCTGGTTCACTCTTGGACATACGACATTCACCATCTTAGAGTGTCCTTGCCCTAGTTTAAAATTTTTCTAATATACACCCAAGAGCAACACCATGATTTTACTCTCAGAATTCACAGTAAGCTGTATAAAACTGATGGTGATGCCTACTCTGTGTCACCTAGGTTATCTTGACCACCAACCTGGCCTTATGATTTTCCCTGACTTATGGTGACCCATAAGCCAGCCATAACAAAAAATCTTGGTCTTTGTTAAGCTTAAGATAAGTATAATCCAGCAGAATACCAATTCTAGAGAGTGTTGAGATATTCAGCTAAAACATAAGCCTCTGCTTTCTCTTGGAGGTTAGATTGAATTGATGATTTAGTATAACCTCTTGTCTTCCCTCCTCAGATCTTCCCCAGTACCAAAAGAAATTGATCTCAGGGCTCTTTCTGAGATTCCTACTTACATGAAGCCATGACATGTTTCTGTGGTAATTCTCCTCCACACCGGCATTACTCATTCCCTCGGGCTCAATGCTGGGCTCGCTTGCACTCCAAGGACTCCCTTCTTCAAAAGAAAAATACCAAGAAAGGTTTCAGTGTTTGGTCTCCCTGGAGAGTATGTTGGTATGGTATACCATGCTTCTGAATCCTAGGGCAGACTACCATGGCCCAGTGGGTTACAGGGCATAGCACTGACTTTGTTGGATGAATATTAATAGGAGCTGTTCCCTTCACCACCAGCTGAACTGGCAATTTCAAAGACATTTATGATCTCTGTTATGGTGGCTTCCGTTTTGAGAGATGGGAGCAGAAAAAAAGAACAGAGTCAAGTCCTTGAATTGCTGCGATGAGCCAGTTATTGATTGAGTGTGCCCAAATCCATTCCAGACTGACCAGACCTTGCAGGTGTATTTAAGGAAAGATGCCAACGAACCTGCCTCACAGTGAATGCTGCCTCTGTTCTGTGACTGCAGCTAGTGCTACCAGAGCTACTTCAAAGACAGGCAGGTACATCTGAAAAAACTAAGGGAATTTAGAAGCAATTATGTCCAACTGTGGACAGCCTTTGGGTCCAAACTCTTCTCTGTGGGAAAGTATAGGAGATATCTCTCAAGAATTCCCTACTTGGTAGACTACACAACAAAGCTTTCCCCTCAAATCTGAAGCTTTTATGGATCTTTTTAATGACAAAACAATGCCTTCAGCTTGGCTCTTTTGACTCAACTGGTCAGGATAAATCAATCAATTTAAATAACTAACTGCAATAATTTCCCCCCAAATGAGCTGATGATAATGCTCTAGCTTCAGACAAAAAAAAAAAAGTCTCCTTAAGACATAAGCTGAATCTTAAGTAATGCATAAATTAGCTATTTTCAAAGGCGAGGGTGGGTGGATACAGAAGCATTTTCTATTTTAAACCTTCTTTGATTAAATATACTCAGCTTTTACTTCAGCAGCCTTGATCGATAATTTATCCACACTTACTGCTGACTTTTGAAACTACTTACCTAGTAAGGAGAACTTTCTATTTTGCCTCTCACACATAGACTGAATGGCAAAGTCAGTGCTTCAACTTTTACCTAATATTTAATGCTAGGCAGCTGGTGAGTTCTATTTTCATGCCTACTTAATCTTTTGCTTGTCTATTAACATACTAATTAGGGCCCATATTTTGAATGGCATATTTTGGTCTTTGGAATCTCTTTTGATCCTACAATGACAATCTATAACTCTCATGCTTTGACTGTATATTGAGTTCATTCTAAGGTGTATGGTCATCCCCTAATTTATCTTTAGAGCATCCCTGCATTGTAGGCAAGAATTATTCTCACTGTGTAATCATAGAAAACAAATCCCTGAAAAGCTAAATGACTTGTCGAAGACCACTTATTGTCAGGTCTAGACAAACGTTCCTCTCTGATATTTTGGTTGTTCATACTGTTAAATAGAGACTTTAAAATATAGAGAATCATTAGGTAGCTCTCCCGAAGGGAATTACTACATTTGACATTGAAGGTTCTGATCAAAAGAATGAATACACAAACACCTGAATTTCAAAAACTGTTCTTGTCATTAAAGTGCTTTCTTTCCCAATGTATACTCCACATCCTTGCTACTCAAAGTGTGGTCCTTGAGTCAGCAGCATTGGCTCTACCAGGAAGTTTGTTAAACACGTAGAATCTCAGATCCCCACCCCAGATCTGCTGAATCAGAATCTGCATTTTAACAAACCTCTCTGGTGACCTGTACGCACATCAAGGCTTGAGCTGCCTTGCTCTGGCAAGGGTAGTATGGTTTTCAGGCTGAATAGGTTGTCTACCCTATGGCTCTGCCCTCCATCTACTTAAGTGTAAGGAAATGGACTTCAGCTGTTTCGGGACTTGGGCCCTGTCTTCCTACCCCCCACGTCCCTGCACACCCCACTCCTCTATGTTACCTAGGTCAGTGACAGTGTCCCTGCTCTGGGACAGCTGCAGCTCCTCAGCCTCAGACTCTGAGTCCTGCCGTGATAGCTTGCTGCTCTTTAAGCTGCCGACCCGGCGAATGCTGGACAAGGAACCCCCCTTCTTCACCTGGAAACTGCGGGTTCCTTTAATCTGGAGCAGGCGAGAACCTCCTATCCTGATCTTCCTGCTGGGAACTGTATTAAAAGAATAAAATAGGGCTTTTTCCCCCTTAGTATTCCCCAGCCAATGTTATATCCATCTCTCCCCAACTTGTCCCTGATCAGCCTCCTCTGCTGGCCTGGATGAGTCCTGTGGACAAGGAGCTTCTCCCAAGACCCCAGTCCTGCAGGAACCACCAGGAAGGGCTGGTGAAGCTTCTTTCTTGGACACAAAGCTCGTTGCAACTGGGAACAACCTGTTCTCTTTCTGGCCCAGGTTTCACAAGCATGAGTGTGCCCTTGGGGTAGCATCAACTAGGACTATGAGTACACTTGTATCACAGTATTCCTTGATTCAAGAGAACCAAACACTATTTGTTTTTGCTTTCCTTTCAAAATGGGACTTACAGACTCTGTACATGGTCATATAAATCCCTTCACTTTGAAATAACTCATTCAAAAATAAGAACCAAAGTCAGCAGTGGCTTCTCTTCAATAGTCAGCAGTGGCTTCCACTCTGCTCCTCAGCAAAGGCACTAAACAATCTGTTTTCACTGAGGGGCTTTGGGTGAGCATGAGTGTGAAATGGTCCATTTTCAATGCACCTATGATTTCATACTATCCTCCTCTCAGCCAAAAGGCTGGGTGAGATGCGATTCCAAATAGTGCAACTCCCTGAGCCAACCTTACAGTCTATGCATACCAAGAAGAATATGCATTATTCATCTTTAGTGTTCTGGAAGAAACAGTAATCAGTAAGGAAAATAAAAGGGCAAAAGAAATGCATTTAAACTTGAAGCCTATCTTTCCTTAAATCAACAGCATCCTCATTTCCCATAGTCATATACACACCTCCTTCCTTTTCTTTTGAAGATTCGGTGTTGTCACACATTGATTTCATAAGGGTGGGATAAAGTAAGTTTTCAGGGCTTAAGGTCCATTATCAGGAAGGGGCCAACTTTATAAGGGTACCTCCTTAAGACATGAACAAGATTTCTTATTAATTATTTAAGGCACAGTTATTAATATTTTCAAAGTCCGAATCAGAAAGTTTGCGTGTTAATTTCAGGTTTCTCATTCATGGGAGAGTTAATATGTGACTGTGATAGAACTTGTATAACTAAAACATTAGCCAAATGTAGACTTTTAATGTCATTTAAAGGATGTCGGAAGTATTCCTGCTGAACAATGTGAATGTTCTGATTTATTGTTGTGATGGAGAAAGACTAAAATTATCACCACACAGCTGGTAAAGGCCTCATGGAGCTCCTTGAACACATCTGAGTAGAATTTCACATCTGGATGAAATTGCTTGCAGCACAGTTAGACAAATCCCACAAAGACTATGAACCATAATGCTGTATTTTAATTATAGCACAAAACTCACACACTCTATTTTCCAATATTATTTTTATGTTTAATTGAGACTTTATCATCTATCTGAAATACATTTGAAACAGAATATAATTAAAATTTTAATGACTGTGACTACAATTTCATGTCTAAGTAGATTCGGAAGTAGAGAAAATATGAAACAGATAATTCTTAGATTTTTCAGAGTCACACACTAATATTCTTTGCCTAATTTTATGACACCTTTTGGCCCACAGTTACAGCAAAATAAACCCAAATTAATGCAATCAGAAGAAATTTAATTTTCAGAGCTTGTTCTACCAGAAAGGATAGCTGGAGATATCCTATAGCACTGAAAAATTACAGTTCACAAGTACTGCATTGGTTATTCACAAGGGGCACAGCAGTTAGAATTTGTATTTGGTATTAAACATGAAAAACATCAGTTGAGATTGTGCAGCATTGAATTTTAGCCTTTATCTCCATGACAACAAGAACTAGTATGAAAGTGAAACAAATCCATCTAAATTGTAGAAAACATCTTTGGCCTTTTCTTTCACCTCACATTGTATCAATTAGCAAGTCCTGCTGGCTGTACATTTCAAACTATCATAAAATTTTGACAGCTCCATCCCCTCTTTCCTGGACTTATGTAACTACCTAACTGCTTCACCTTTCCCTCCACTTCCGTAGATTGTCATTTTTTAAATGCATAAATCATAAATACACACCTTATATCACATTTCCGGTGAAACCTATCAACAATTCTGATGACTTTAAAACGTAATTAAATTTTTAACCACATCTACCAGACCCTGTTTGCCCTTTGCATAACTTTCTGACCCATCTGCTACTATTTTAATGAATTATTTCACTTGAATTTTTCATGGTAGAATCTGAATTGTCCTCAGGTTGTTCATTTCAAGAACTGGTATCTTTGGGTTTTATAAAACCAAATGGCATACAATTTTAATAACTGTAATTAGCAGGGTCTCTATTGTCTTCATTTTCCCCATTGACTTTATTAGCCGACAGCTTGCCAAATGGAATAAGGAATATTTAGGAATCTTTGGTAAGATTTTTGCCAACTGATTAAGGACATCTTGTGGATATATTCTCATTTTACTTATAGCTCCAGTTTTCCATTCTTCATTTATTAAACAACTTTCATATATTAACATGATGATGCTATGAGTAGAAAAAATACTCAGCATTTGAGTGTTTAAACATTAAAGCCAATTTACATAAATAATAATCATCAAAGTGTTCTTAAAATTAATCACATATTTTATGCAATAAATTGGTATAGAATTTATTCTACTGAAGTTTTATAATGTCAATATTAGGAATTTTTATCCACTACTTTAAATATAGTAACATAATATCTTTGAGGAAAGAAAAGACTGCCTTCTAAATTAAAATCTCTTCAGATTATATTTAAAAGAGGAAAGTTTCTCATCATTTGTAGTATAATTGTCTGAAGTAAATAATATTTGAAAAAATATTGATTTCATACTTCTTCATACTCAAAAATTGCTCGACTTGGCTTATCCTTCCTGCAACATGGCCTCTTTTGGCCATAAATTAAATAGAATATGATAAACGATTATCTGCATTTTAAAAATGTTGTGACAACATTTTGATCTTAAGCTATTCAAATTTTTCCCAATGTACACTCATTGCCTTTTAAATATTTTGTGTTTTCTCTATATAGGGGTATTCCTTCTAAGAATCATTCATTTATTGTTGCCCAACATTTATTGAGTCATTCTCTATAGGATGCTGGAAAATACTTCAACATATAAAATCCTCTTTGACTTTTCTAACAAATGTGCAGGTGTTCTTTTAATTGAAATTCATTGGAAAAATATTGAAGGGTAATGGAATTTTTAAAATGGCAAAATCAAATAGTGAAGTTCGCAGTCTAAAGGAGGCTCCAGAGGGCAACTTAAAACTTTTCAATCTTTAGTTCATAGGATTTTCTGTGTGAGTTCTAATCTAGATGCTCATGATGTATATAAGAAAACTCAAAAACAATAGCTATTTATTGTGTACCTACAATTCACCAGGAATTAAGGTTATACTTCACTTGCATTGTGTTATTAAAAGTTTTCAACATCACAACGCAGTAGGTGCAAACCCAGTTTTACAGAAAAGAGAATTGTGGCTTACAAGGTAAGTAATTTGGACGAGGCCACGTAATGACTACTATATTTCACCCATTTTTAAGATGCACAACTTGTTCACATTTTAACATAGTTGGAAACTGGTATTCGTCATGCAAGAGATGACATCTTATGATCACTTGTGGCAGGCAGCAGTTGTAACACATTTGTTATTGCTGGTCTGTGTGAAGCACCAGCAAAAAAGATAAACAGAATGAGTGATGGGATCTGTTAACTGTAAGGAGCCAAGTGATAGTGAGGCGTAGGTGGATGAGTGAGGTGGTAAGTCAGATGTGTTTAGCAACATTCCTGAAGAGAGACTAAAGGTGGGCTAACTTCATATGGGTGCAAACTAGCTTAAGTAATTAGTACAAAAAGCTTTACTTCTTTCATGAATCCACTTAAGAAATGATGCATCACTAAAATTGTGATGACACAGAGAACATTATCACATATAGAAACATGGACATTAGATAACTGTGAATTTAAAAGTAAGACATTTGAACTCTGAATTGAAGAAAACAAAAACTTTAACCAGTTTATTTTATTTACATATATTTTGGATTGCACAAGAATGATACATAATAATAATAATAATAATAATAATAATAATAATAAACTACATCTAATTAGGTCTGAAAGTCCTTTTTCAATAAGAATAAAAGTGACTGGGCGTGGTGGCTCACACCTGTAATCCCAGCACTTTGGGAGGCCTAGGTGGGTGAATCACCTGAGGTCAGGAGTTTGAAACCAGGCTGGCCAACACGGTGAAACATCGTCTCTACTAAAAATATAAAAATTAAGAAAATGTGGCACATACACACCATGGAGTACTATGCAGTCATAAGAAAGGATGAGTTTATGTCCTTTGCAGGGACATGGATGAAGCTGGAAACCATCATTCTCAGCAAACTAACACAAGAACAAAAAATCAAACACTGCATGTTCTCACTCGTAAGTGGGAGTTGAACAATGAGAACACATGGACATAGGGAGGGGAACATCACACATTGGGGTTTGTAGGGGGGTTGGGGCTAGGGGAGGGATAGCATTAGGAGAAATACTTAATGTAGATGACGGGTTGATGGGTGCAGCAAACCCCCATGGCATGTGTATAACTATGTAACAAACCTGCACATGTATCCCAGAACTTAAAGTATGATTAAAGAAAAAAGACTTAGGAATGGAAACATGCATGACCATATTAGGCCAAGGTGTGGATGTGCATGTAAGTGGGTGAATTTAAGTTAATTATAATGGAAATGATATGTACAGATGGAAAATACTGAACTATTTTTAAAATATCACTGTCTAGAAAACATTCTCAGCCAGGCCAAAAGAAATTCTGTAAATGCTGTAACACTTTTATCTTTCTTAAATAACATGGTTCCATAAATAACTTTTCTAGGTCATTTTTATCTATTAAAAATATTGAAAATTTTAAAATCTGTTGAAAAACAAGCAACCTGTAGGCTGACTATATTACTTGAAGACTCATAAGGTAGTCTCCCATTTAAAAACTCAGATATGAAGCCTTCACATCTGGTTAATATCTGGTCTATTCCATGGTTATGGAACTTGTTTAATGTGCATTTAGCAATGCAGAAAGACTGTAGCTGTTCTTTCTCTCTTCACAGTTTTATAAAAATGACTAAATAAATCTAGTGCTTTATTAATTGATGAGACTGGCCTCACAAGTATTTAACAGAGGTATAGTTTTTAAGATGAGATTCTAGCCAGTCACGGTGGCTCACGTCCACGAGGTGGGTGGATCACGAGGTCAAGAGATCGAGACCATTCTGGTCAACAGGGTGAAACCCCGTCTCTACTAAAAATACAAAAATTAGCTGGGCATGGTGGCGCACGCCTGTAGTCTCAGCTACTCGAGAGGCTGAGGCAGGAGAATGGCCTGAACCCAGGAGACGGAGGTTGCGGTGAGCTGAAATCGCACCATTGCACTCCAGCCTGTGTAACAAGAGTGAAACTCCGTCTCAAAAAAAAAAAAAAAATGAGATTCTATTTACCAAATTAGTTTGACATTAAGTAATGATCCCCAAGAATTTGCTATGAATGGATGGCATTGATGTTAAGATAATTGAGAAATATTATATTGTTTTTTCTTATTTTGTTATGTTTTACATTTTAATGAAAGCATATTAAGAAAAATTTTTAAAAATACAAAAATTAGCCAGGTGTGGTGGCAGGCATCTGTAATCCCAGCACTTTGGGAAGCTGAGGTGGGTGGGTGGATCATGAGGTCAGGAGATCGAGACCATCCTGGCTAACATAGTGAAACCATGTCTCTACTAAAAATACAAAAAATTAACTGGGCATGGTGGTACGTGCCTGTAGTCCCAGCTACTTGGGAGGCTGAGGCAGGAGAATTGCTTGAACCTGGGAGACGGAGGTTACAGCGAGTCGAGATCATGCCACTGCACTCCAGCCTGGACAACAGAGCGAGATTCCATCTCAAAAAAATAAAAAATAAAAAAAAATAATGGCTCATCTTACATCTTTAATAGAATACGGAGTTTCTGAGCTGGAATTGGAAGCCAGGCCTCTCTGACTGCAGAGTCCTACTTCTACCAAGTATGATTTTCCATTATATAGCCTACACAGTCATTACTGTAGGGAGTCAACAATTTGGGTACACAATTTTGTAGTTTAGATCCCAGTGCAAATATCTTAGGAGAAACCCTGAAACATGAACGAATCTTTGTGTTTCCATACCTTTCTTCTCCTCGACTCCTGCATCTGATTTGAGAGTGTGGCTGCTGCTGTGGAGAGAATCTTTTGAATCTTCATTTTCATCCAGGACCCCAGCAAAGCTGATCTTCCTCTCATATCTGTGCCGGTCCAACTCGGGGTCCAAACGAAGTCTGCAGCTTTCCAAGTCCTGAAATGCCAGTGAGGAACACATAAGTGCTGGCATCTCCCCGGCACTGCGTTGGTCTTGTGGCACAGCTCCCTCCATTTTCAATTATACACAACTGCATTTGAACAGCCAGATTCCTTTATCTAATGCTAATTTTATGTTGTGACCATGAAAAGCTATTCTTGGCTTAAAAAATAAATATAATCTTTCCTAATTCATAGATTTTCCCCCTTCTTCTCACATACTTTAACCTTCCAAAAGCATAGACCTTGATCCAAATACAGAACTATCTTCCTTAGCTTCTAACACCTTGTCCACAGTTTTGGCTTCATCTTTGGCCTTTATCTTTTATTTTAAAATCATGCATTAAGCATGGATGTGTTAGGTACTGAAGGATAAATAAGGAATGGTTTTTATCTCTAAAGGAGCTCAGAATCCCAAGATAGAAACTGAGAAGGCAAACAAGTGATAAATTTCGAGACAGAGAGTAGGGGCTCAGAAATCAGACTTGGAACTGTGCTCAGCAGGAAAATAGTGCCCCAAAGATGCCCCAACCCCTGGGACCTGTGATTATGTTTCCTTACATGGCAACAAGAATTTTGTAGATGCGATTAAGGTTAAGGACTTTAAGATTGGGAGATTATTCTGTATTAGCTAAATGGGCCCAGTCACAAATCCTTAAAAGTGGAGAGCCTTTCCAGGTTGTAGTCAGAAGAAGCTGTGGCTATGAAAGAAAGATGAGAGAGATGCTATGTTTTAGCTTTAAAGTTGGAGGAAGGGGCTATGAGCCAAGAAATGTGGGTGGCCTCTAGAAGATGAATAAAGGGTGAGGAAACAGATTCTTCCCTAGAACCCTAGGAATGGATACAGCCTTGCCAATGCCTTGATTTTAGCCTAGCAAGACCTGTCTTGGATTTCTGACCTCCAAATTGTAAGATATGTTTATGCTATTGTGAATAGCTAAATTCCTGTGTAACAAACCAGAAATTTAGCTGGTTTGTTACACAGAAATATAAAATGAATAATGAGTTGATGTTTGAATTAGGCCTCGAGGATTAAGTAAAGTTAGCTTGGCAAACAAGTGGAGAAACACAGTTCAGCCTTAAGAAATCTCATGCATGAAGGCCAGAGGCTCAAAACATTATCTCACATTGGGGAAATTTCTTTTTTTTTAAAAAAATTATTTATTTATTTATTTTTATTGCATTTTATGTTTTGGGGTACATGTGAAGAACATGCAAGTTTGTTGCATAGGTACACACACGGCAGTGTGATTTGCTGCCTTCCTCCCCTTCACCTATATCTGGCATTTCTCCCCATGCTATCTCTATCTTTCTTACTCCCTTCTAGGAAGATCTAAGTATGACAGGAGTTCCATCACTGTCTGAGGCTGAACACAATAATCCCATTAATAAAGTAAGCCTTGGGGAGTGTAATTATTTAATAGAAGTTTGGTTCTGAGGCCCTAAGCTGAGAATTTGACTTGTTCTGTGAATTGAGATTTGTTTATCCTAAAGATCACATTTATTTTTATTTTTGAAATTATTTTTTATTTTTTGTAGATACAGGGTCCTGTTATATTGCCCAGGCTTGTCACAAACTCTGGGCCTCAAGTGATCCTCCCACTTTAACTTCCCAAAGTGTTGGGGTTACAGGCATGAGCCACTGTGCCTAGTCAAGATCATATGTAATTATTAATTTACAAAGTACTTTTGAAAGACCTAAAAAATAAAAAAATATAACAGTGTTAAAGTATTCCCATTTCTCCACAGCCTCACCCACATCTGTTGTTTTTTGACTTTTTAATAATCACCATTCTGACTGGCATGAGATGGTATCTCATTGTGGTTTTGATTTGCATTTTTCTAATGATCAGTGATGTTGAACTTTTCTTCATACATTTGTTGGCCACATAAATGTCTTCTTTTAAGAAGTGCCTGCTCACTTTTTAATGGGGTCGTTTTTTTTTTCTTGTAAATTAGTTAATTTAAGTTACTTGTAGACTCAATATTAGACCTTTGTTAGATTGTTTAAGTTTTCTCCCATTCTGTAGGCTGCATGTTCACTCTGATGATAGTTTCTTTTGCTGTGCAGAAGCTCTTTAGTTTAATTAGATCCCATTTGTCAATTTTTGCTTTTGTTGCAATTGCTTTTGCTGTTTTCGTCATGAAATCTTTGCCTGTGCCTATGTCCTGAATGGTACTGCCTAAATTTTCTTCTACGTTTTTTATAGTTTTGGGTTTTACATTTAAGTCTTTAATCCATCTTGAGTTAATTTTTGTATAATGTGTAAGAATAGAGTCCAGTTTCAATTTTCTACACATGGATCCAATATGTTGTTTTCAATTACTATAATTCTGTAAATAGATCTACTGTTATAATTACATGTTTCTTGGTCTATTGGACATATTACATGTCCATTGGTCTCACTAATTCAACTGGGACAGTTTTTAGTGGACCAGCAGTTTCATAAACAAAATTTCATTTAAAAAAATATTCCTTTACAGTTCTCGAGTTTGGAAGATAATATTTAGAAAAAAATTTGCTTATGCTGTTTTAGACTATGAATCTTATAAAAATGCTGCCTTTTCCTTTATTTAGACATAATTTAATTGCATGGTTTACAAAATGCTACCAGAAGTTGTTTCTTTGGGTAGAGGGGGAAGCAAACTAATTAAGACATTTAAGGATGTATTTGGGGAAAAAATGTCACTTTGGCTATAATTATGCTTACTCTGTGGATTTACTGTTTAGTGCTATTTCTGAAAAAACAATGTAGCCTTAAGAAGGAAATTCTGACATTCGACAACATGGATGAACTTTGAAGACATTATGCTAAGTGAAACAACAGTTACAGAAAGACAAATACTGCATGATTCGACTTATATGAGTAAGTACCTAAAAAAGTCAAATTCATAGAATCGCAGAGTGGAATGGGGTTGCCAAGGACTTGGTGTGAGAGCACAATGGGGGCATTACTTAATAGATAGGCATAAATTTTCAATCAAGCAAGATGCTCTATAGATGTGCTGTTCAACATTATGTCTATAGTCAACAATAACATATTATACACTTAAAAATTCATTAAGAGGAGAAATCCAATGTTAGGTGCTCTTACCATAATTTAAACATAGAAGACAATTGCAAGCATTTCTGTCTTGGTAAAATATTTCCATAAGTTAGAAAGTGGCTTGGTTTTCTTGTCTAACTCAGCTAGAGTTAGATAGCTTAAATGTTAGAAAAAAGACTCTTTCCCTCTTTATATTATAGATGTATACGTATGTTATATGCCACATTTCGACGTAATACACAAATGTACACTTTAACAATTAAAATCCTAGTGTAAGGAATAAAAGATTTTGGAGGCCCAATTAACAGCGACCTAAAGTAAAACTTTTCCTCTTGCTGACTGACTAACTACAAGTTAGTCTAATTATATTAATCAAATTTAGAAGATAAATTAATATCTTTTAAAAATAAATGTTACAATAATAAGAAACATTAAATTCTAGTTTTACAGAATTGAAAGGGAAAACGAAAATAACCTAGTCAAACTTTAGGATTCCTTTTTTTTTTTTTATTACAGTGGATCAAAATGGTAACCAATAATCTGAAATTAAAAGTAAATGTACTTTGTGTTTTTATGAAAACTTCAACATCATTAAAATGTTGATAGGAATAAGACTGATAGAGGTCTACGGATATGATGAGTGATGGCCTTGATTTGATTTTATATAGTAGTCTCAATATAACAGTGAAATGACAACTCAAAATTAAAGGTTTAGGTTATTACGAAATTACATAAGGGCAGCAGAAGAAACTTCCCTTTCCAGTATCCAAATGGTAGTTTCCCATTCCAAATGTGGGTGTTTCTCTTGAGAGCATAAAGTTTACTCATAAATATTTCTAACTTGAAAATATCCACTGTATGTTCTACCGTGTGAGAAAATGGTCGTCCTAGACTTCTGAAAAACCAGAGGCAGATGAGCTGTACTGTGACACCAGAGCTCCTATTCTTTTACTCCCCTCCCTCCCCTCCTGGCCTTGCTCAGGACATGGTCTTGCTTGTGCTGAGTTGGGTTTAAAAAGCAGGAGAGGTGGTGGATTGTAAAGTTTGCTTAAATGGGAGCACGGAGATTGTTAACATAGCAATTATTCTGGGAGAGTGCCATAAGCTTTTTGTGAATGGAGAAAGAAAAAAAATGAGTTAGTCTAGTTCCTCAGCTCCAGTTGGATGATGTCTGTGATGAAAATCACTGAAAACTTGGTGCCCGTTAAGGAACTAGGAGTGAAGGAAAATTGGTTCTAAGGTGTGTCCAGTGCCACATACTCTGTGAACATGGCCGGTTCTTGCGTAGTATTTATATCCTTGGTTAAACAAATCAGGACCTCATGGTACATGATACATGAGTGTATATGCATTGTGTGTGTACATGTGTGCATGCACACATGGTCTTAATTTCTGTCTATCCATAATCTACAGGAAATGCTACAGAAATAACAGTGTACATTTGGGAATGTTTAGACACTAAATACTGAAGTACTTTCACTCATAATTTAAATGAGAACCCTCATTAAGGAGCATATTCCTATACAGATTTATGAGCAGTAGGTATAAAAAATATGTTGGTGAGTTCTGGAAAACATTAGCCATAAAACTCCTCATATTTATAGAGTAAAGGAAGCTAAGGGCTCCTAGATATTTCCAGTATAATTGATAGTGATCAATGAAACACTGTATCCAGTAGTACAACCTTCATTGATTTCTAGATCAACTTTGAAGTTATTATTATTTGTAATAAGGAAAGAGTATTTCTTTTCATGTTTCAAAATCCCTTGGTTGAATTTTTAAAATTATATGATACACTAGCCATGGAACATTTAAAGAAACTGTGAATCCTGGAAACCCAGCCATACATCTGACCTCTCCAAGTAACTTGATCATTAACATGCATGCTTTAACTTACCACCAGAGGCTCAGTGCGAGGTCTGGGCAGACAAGAAAAGGTCTCTCGCAGGAAGGTGGTAATCTCCAGAAGAAGCTGACATGCTGCCATCTTCAAGGCAAAGGGGCAACCACATTTAGAGGGGTTCACAGTACCTGTGAAATGAAAATGTTCTTTCATAAGAAGACGTATCAACAAAAAATACAGAGAGGCGTAGTTTGATGGACATAGCTAGACATGTGTAAAATCAAATTGCAAATGAGAATGTTACCTATACATGTCCAACATCAAATTACATATGAGGACTTTACCTATGTAAGTTCATTTTACCTATTGCCTTCAGCATGATTTATGCATTACCATAAGCATCTCTCTTCCTCCATTTTGTAAATTCTACAGAGTGCTTCAGTATTAAAATATTTAAAGAGCAGAACTAAATTATTTTCCTTAAAGCATTGTAGAGTAACAAAATGCAGGTCCAACTAAACTAGAATGCCTTTTAATGAAAACAGAAATGGAAAGTAATCTTGTAGGATTTCTACACTGCTATTCAATCAGATTTAGACTATGTATATGGCAGTGAACTAGATTTGGAACTACAAAAATTCTGTCAGCTCATTTTATGAAGGATGTCTGTCTTGCTGTTTTGAGAGCAGTGAAGCTGTTTCAGCTCTAGTCCAGACGTGTTTCTGCAACACAGACAAGACATACTTACTGGGTTACATATATCATATAATTTATGCAAGCTAGCCTGTCCAATTAAGGCATAGCTATACTAGAAATGTACAAATATTATCTTTTGCTCTGAAGAATATTGACCTTTGAATTAGTAAAACATTGTATCCACTAGAAGTCAACTAGTAGATTTTGCTCTAAAGACAGATAATGGCCATGGTAACACCATAGTGATTTTTTAAATTCTCAGAATTAGTTCTCAGATGTGTGTCATCACAAGTGATGTGATGTCATAACAAGTGATGACACAGGATGATACAGAAATATACTGATATTTAAGTGTTCAGAAAAAATCAAAGCCATGTAGAATTCTTTCTCTTATAAAAGAAAGAAAATGGTTATCCATTTTAAATGAATCAAGTCATCACAATATCATTACACATGAACAGTCCTAAAAAATATTTCTAAAATGTTCCCTGGGTGTTAGGCTTTCTTAATTGAATAGAATACATACTTCATTATTTCAGTTGAAAATAGGTGGAAATTATGGTCTTTCTATAGATATTCAAGCTATTGTTTTCTAAAAAAAAAAAAAAAAAAAAAAAAAAAAAAACATTTTCTCTCCTGAGTTAATTTGTTGCTGAGGACTTTGCGTTTCATCAAGAATGAAAAAGGTAAGCTTCCACAGAATTTCTGGCCTGAAAGTTGCTTGCACCATAATTAACTTTTAAACAGAAGATGAGGAACTAAAGAGGAACTAAAAATCAGACATATCAATCTTATATATGTCATATAGGGGTTATTTGACCAAATATTATCTGGATATGCAACACTTCAAAAAAAATAATCAAACACTAGACATTCAGTACAGACTTTTGCGTCTGTCCTTTCTCTCCTAGGGTTATCATCCAGGCTCTTCTTATCAACCCTGAGGATGATCAGCTTAGTCTTAGTCTAGGCTGACTCCAGGCTATCATATGAAATATCCTGTTATAATAAACAAGGATTGAGCTCTATCTCGCCTCAACAAAAAGCTAATATTCTAGGCACAACATACTGGTAAATGACACTTATGTGGTCTAACGGGGATTCAAGTTGATTTGAGGATGCATGCATTTAATGTTGTTTCAGCTTCTCTCTGTTCTGAAGGGTCCCTGGAATTTCTAGGGTGGTTTGGAATGACTTCTGGCTAGATGGGTCTTATGGTGGGCCTTCCCTAGGTTCCAGGATTGCTGAATAAATCTCATTCTAAGATAATCTAGACTATTGTAGATATCTCTGGGGACAACCTTTATTATTAGGCTGAAAGACTGAAATAATAATTTGGTGTTTTACCAATGACTGTCCAGATTTGTTCTCATTTGATAAGGTCTTAGAAGGGGCAACATGATTAAAAAATGCACACAAAAAATTTGGAAGGAACATAGGAAGGAAGTTCATAAGAATTTTCTTTGATTATTATTTAGTCCTGCCTAATTTTACACTTCATCTGTTTTTTTACATTTCATGATTGCAATGATTAGGTCTGAATCACCTAATGAAGGAGAACCCTTAAAATGTAGTCAGGGAGCTTGAATTTCAAACCACAGGGGAAGGTCGGTAGAAAGAGATCTCACTATGTTCATCATATAAAAATACAAATCCTATTACTATAACTGGAATTTTGTATTTCATAAAAGATAGCGGTACATATACACAAAAGTTTGTATGATATAGAACACATGTATGCACAAAACAATGTTGAAGAAGGATGTAATAGGAACCTTTTTGTCTCTACTTTTCTATGATGGAATTCAGTCCTAAATTTAATAAATAGGTACAGCACAGCAGACATTCACAGTTATAGCAACTTCTGAACATTTTAATATTTCAGTGTTATGTTAAATACTTTAATATACTCTGTCTAAAATTTTCAATATTTTAGTGTTTGGAAAATATTTCCTATTCAACTTTATTTGGTCTGACTTTTTTTCCTGGAGCCATGAATAATATATATATATATATCTGACAAAATCACAACTAGAGTCCCTCAGAGACGTTTTCTCAGAGAAGTCTAATACCAATCTTTGTATAATAGCAAGAGTCAAAGATGAAAAAGTAATAAATGTTCCACCTTGCCTGCAGCCCCTTGCCCCTGTCTGTCTTTTCTTCCTGGCTCTTGCCTTGTCTCTTGCCTGTAGCTTTATGCACATGCTTTGCACTCATGCACAGGGAAAAGGGGAAAATGCACAGTGGGAAGAATGGGAAGGTGGTAAGTATATGAAAGAGGAGAGAGAAGTATTAAGTGCTCCTAAAGCAGAGGTTCTTACAAGCAGGGGTTCTTGTAGTAAAGGGAGTCTCCTTACTGTCATCTAAAAAGTCTTCCTCCTCATCCTCCTTTCTAAGTCTCCTCTTGGTCTCTTCGTCGTAAATGAGGCCCAGCAAGTTGGCTGGGCTCTCACTTTCCCCATGGCACAGCTCATTCAATCGGACGCCAATTGCCTACCATGGGAAGGAAAAAGAATGAAACAGCACAAACTATGTTAAACTCTAAAATAGGCTCTCAAATTACAGCAGACATAAGCAACCAATTAATGGGAATTATTTCCAGCATAAGGCTTTTCTGTATACCACAGTGTTATTTCCACCATACTTGGCAGTATGGAAACCAGAAATGGAAGAAATTGCTATCTCCAAGGTCATTCAGGCTAAAGATGTGTAAAAACTAGAATGACAGCTTTGTATATTTGTACAGAAGTTTTTTGAAAATATTTCCATTTACTCAAATGTTATTTATTTTATAGACATGATATAAAGGAGTACACAGTTGCTTTTAGTGTAGGATTTTGTCGCAGTGAAACATCAGAAGGCACAGCTCCTCAGAGTGCTTCTGATTATGCTATTTTTAATGAGAATGTCACTGTCATGCTAATGAGTTTAGAAGCTGGCAAGAATTCTGTTCCTGCAATTTTTTTCTATCTGTCATTACATATGTACTTATTGGCTTCTTTTATAGATTTTGTTCCTCTTTCCATAATAATCTATGGATTAGTAAGAAATGCTAACTTTTCTTTTGGTAGAGTGCCCAGCAACAACATTAGAAATATGACTTTTAATAACTCAGTACATGGACAATATTGGTTTTTACATGGTATTCTTAGAACCAGCACCCTTACTCTCTGTTAATCATCAGGCACTCTTGTCTGATTTATCAAAGGAATTTTCCACAAGAAGAGACAAAAAACACTATCTCTAATTTATTTTATTTCCAATTATATACTGTAAGCAACAATGGAAGAAACACAGACTCAGGAGTGAGAGTCAGAGAAAAAGTAAAACAGGTCACTGAACTTGGGGTTTGACAGTCTGGATACTCTGTGTTTAAGTAAGAGCAAAATTCTGGCTAAGTTTCTTCTTTCTTTCTGTATCATACTTTGCAAATATTTAGAAAAGCAAGTAAGAAAATATACTTACTACTGGAAACCAACATGCTCAAACTCTGTAAGTGAAGATTATGCTCATAACTCTTTAAACGAAAAGACATTTTTGAATGTTTTAGATACCTGGAAAGAAAAAGTTCTCCCCAAACTCTGGAATTAAGTGAGGAGCTAAAAACCAGGAAGCAAAAACCATACCAAGGAGAAATCAGTATGGAAAGGTGTCGTGGGATTCCAAAATTTTAGCTGCTACTGGATAAGTTTTAAGCAAAGAAAATGAATTGTAAAAACAAAATCACCACTGCAGTAAAAAGCCTGGTGCTGCTATTTTGGAGATCCTCTGTTAAGAATGAGACATACAATCATGAGTTTGGAAGGGAGTCAACAAACTAAATAATGAGACTCAAAGGGGAAAAATGTCTACATTGACCATTCCAGGATGTTGTAACTAAGCAACTTAAATTAAGTCCACAGTTTATAAAGCTTAAAGGGCTACTCAAAAAATGAACTTGTCTGGTATAATACTATATGTCTAAATAATAATTTAGATCCCTATGTCTCATCAAAAGCTAGAAAAATGCCTCAGGGCTATGTTTATTCATCTCTTCCTTCATTCATCAAATATTTATTAAGTGAGGCAATTTGTTAGGTATTAAATAAAACAAAGTTGAGTAAGTTGTTATAGTACACCAGTACCTTTGTTTAACGTGCCCTGGTAGACTATAAACCCACATAACAAAGATTACTGCTTGGCAAATAGGAAGGTGAGAGGGGCTAGGAGGTTTGCCCAAGGTCGCTCAGCAGGATTCAAACATAGGATGTCTGATTGTCTATGTCTGTGTTATTTCTCTCAATGAGCTTACAGTCTATTGAGGCATGCAATAACATAACAAAAGAACTCATTAACTATTAACTCAAAAGAACTCACTTTATTAACTCATAAGATAGATTAAATCCAGTTCAGAAAGAGAGAGTTTTATTTTAGAAGATTGAGTTCTAGGATATTAAGTGAATGTTTCCAAAGTGCAGCTGGCAATGTAGGCCTGGGATCTGAAAATTGCTATGGTTAGGGAAGTCTGTACTTACAGGCTACAGTTGGAAGTATAAGAATAAATGTAACCCTGATGTAAGTTATATAGGAAGAAATCAAGAGAGATCCTGAAGAATATCTGTTTATGAGGAGGGAAGAGACAGAGGATCAGGGAAGGAGACAGAGAATTGGGCACAGAGATGCAAAGAAATCCTGGAGCGTAATGTTCTCAAAAAGATAAAGGACAAAAGCCAAAGGTATGGGCAGTTGGCAGTGTCAAATGCTGCAAGAAAGATAGAAGACATTTGTCCTGAAAACACCTGTTTGTGAAATCTCTTGGTCACAATTTCCCTATAAACCTGATACTCTCTAATGCTCAGTACTTAATGGTTTTCCCTCCTGTAGGAAGCCAAAGAGATGATCAACTGTGACTGCTGTTTCAGAGCAGCCTCTCAACAAGGCCTTCCTTGAATAAGATAGGTAATAAATGGGGGCGGGTGGTGGTGAAACATCTCTCCACATTAAAGAGATTACTGGTGCATCTACGTATCCCATGATATGCATTTCACTGATACTGCTTGACTTCTATGAACTTTTGTGCTTAATGCTATTAAAACCAAATATAATTAAATGTAGGATAAATACAATGGCATCACATAATAAATTATCTCAGTGATTTACAAAAATAGACATTACATAGAAGAAATTGTGTCTTCTTATATATATATAATGTATAATAGAAGCCTGAAAAGGGCAGTGCTAAGTCCTGATTATCGACATTAGCATTAATAAAATATTCTGCTCCATCATATCACACATATGTATATATATACACACACACATATATCTATACATATGTGTATTTTTTAAACAAGATGTCTTTACATAGGAAAGAAAATCCAAAGAACAGCAATTAAAGAATGAAACACTGATAAACTCATAGAATGACTGCACACGTAATGAATACAATTCACACCTTTTGAATAACTTTGACATTTTGCAAAAAAGAATTGGGTAAAACTAGAGGAATAACACCCTTAGTTGGTAAGCACATTGGTAGACACATTCAACTAAATTATTAAGGGAAATTATAATAGTTATCCCAAGTAATCTTTAAGGAAACAGAAATATATGGAACCTCTTTGTGTTTATGTTCACCTCTTCCTAAAATTAGCATAAACAATTTGGTCCTCATGAATTTTCTATTCTTCACCTTTTTTCCTTCTATGGAAAAGAAGTTGTAGTTACTTTAAGGGTCCATTTTGTTAGAATTCCTAAAGAAGTTTCATTCTTTACTTTAAAATTTATTCAGTTACTCATATGCGTACATACGAATGTATATGTGCGATTTCCAAAGACTTTCAGGCAACGTATAGGAGGCACATCAACAAAAGAGAAAATTCCATTAAGAAATTAGAAAAAACCATGTCTTGCAAAATATAAATTAGAATAGAAAACCAAAATAAGACTTAGTATTTGACAATTGTAGCAATGACTTTCAAAAAGATAATTCTTGCACGTGTGTAACTACGTAACAAACCTGCATGTTCTGCACAGGTACTCCAGGACTTAAAGTATGACAAATTTAAAAAAGATAATTCTTGATGAATACAGCAATTAGAAGCAAGGCTTTGGAATCTAATGTGGGAGATAGAATATTGGTTCCTCCACTTAACTATTAATAGATATGTAAACTTTGGCAGGTCGCTTGACCTGTATAAACTTCAGTTTTCTTAACTGCAAAACAGAGATAGTAATGTCTAGCCTCGTATATTTATTGGGATGATTAAATGAGTCGTTTATTTTCCCCCAAAGTGTTTCCTTCAGTATCTGGTACATAACAAACACTCAATAAATTGTCTTCAAAACAAACACAATCAATCAAAAATGACTCCACTTCACTCAAGCATCCTAATTGTTACAGAAGAAAACCGAAAGCTCACATCTCCCCATTGGTAGAAGAGCTTGGCCGCATTCCACTGCAGCTTCTGGTTTCGCTTGTTGCCCACAATGGGAGAGCGTCCCCTGGAAAGGCCTTTCTTGGTGATGTTCACATGGTGCCCTTTCATCCACTCTGGCCAGTTGCCACGGTTGCAGCGGTGAACAAAACGAGCACATTCCAGGAATAAGGCTGCTCTGGCCACCACAGGCGCTTCCTAAGTAGGGTTGTTGAGGAAAGAATAATCTGGGATTAATGAACAATAACTTTAAATTGCTCTTAAAGGGAATTACTGTGTACTTTTATTTTATTTTCCTCTTCTGTTTTGATTTAGTTTGGCCTTATTTCCCAGGGTGGTGTCACTATGGTCAACACAGTAGTGAGAAATCTGGAAAGCAAAACCCCCAAAGAAAATTTGGATCTTGAAGAATTAGACATTTTAAGTAGGTTTCTGTGTTGCTTTCTCCTTCTCAAGAATCTTAAGTAATTACATGTCTCCAACTTTGTATATTTAAGGGTGGCAGAAATTTGAGTGTTGAGTGAAAGAGCTTTTAGTGAAGTTTTAAATATGAATCTTTTTTCAAACCCTAAAATTTTACATGGGGCAAACAAATATTCCATTTCTAGAATTAGTCTTATTTTAACCAAGTGTCAGAAGTAATTTTGTACTAGCAATAGTCTTTTGTCTATAACCATCCATATGTTTCAAAAAGGTACAATTGCTTCTGCACATTTTGGCTATTAAGTAAAGGAGTTCAAGACTAGCCTGGCGAACATGGTGAAACCTCATCTCAACTAAAAATACAAAAAATTAGCTGGGTGTGGTGGTGCAAGCCTGTAATCCCAGCTTCTCAGGAGGCTGAGGTGTGAACCTAGGAGGCGGAGGTTGCAATGAACTGAGATTGCCCACTGTACCCCAGCCTGGGGCACACAGTGAGACTCCATCTAAAAAAAAAAAAAAAAAAGAAGAAGCTCAATCTTGTCAATCTTGTTGAATTAAGTCTTTTTTTTTGTCATAAATAACTGGTTCTACTTAAATAGACATGGTTTTAATTGAAAATGTTTGATAAAGAGGAGATTAATGGATAAATGAGAGAGCATTTCTTCAGAAAAATATGGCTCCACCTTGTCATGTGAAGATGTGCTTGAAAAAAAAAAAAAAAAGAAGAAAACGTCTTTTAGAATCAAATACTCTACTGAAATCTTTGAAAGTTAAAAAAAAAAAAAAAGAAGCTAAGGAAAGAAGTGATGTGAAGTTTTCCATAGAAGGTCAATAGATCATAAGAAAATACATGTCAATTATCCATGTGTATTTTGACTTGTGTCAGTTTTAAAAAAATACATTACAATATTATTTATCACTTTAGGATTACTAATAACCATAGGTTACTCAGTAACCACCGATTTTTGAATTGAAATAATTTTTAAAAATCATTGTAATCAATAGTATTCTTAACAATGTATTGATCCACAAAGTTAAAGTAGATGCTAATATAGAGTGTCAATTACATGCCAGTTAACTTTTACAGTTATATATATAAGATCCCTGTGATCTATAAATAATATCCCCCATTTAAGATTTTTTTAAAATGAGATATAAGTTGTTCACTATCATATAGCATTAAAGCAGTGAATATAGGAGCATAGGATTCGACCCCAGATTTCACTGATGCCCAGGCCTATGCTAGTTTCTCTTCGGTACTTACATTGTCTTAATTTATTCTCCCATAAATCTTAGTAAAATATAATTTGTAGAATGCAAGTAGAAGTTAACTATTAATATTTCAAGTGGGACATTAGTCCCATGTACTATTATTTTCTAAAACATAGATATATCATTTTCCCATTTTCCATTGTTATCTATTACAGGCTCCATCCACCTTAACCATGTAACGAATAAGGATATCCAGGCTTTGGGATTTGGGTCCTCCTTTTCAATGCCATCTCAAGTGATTGACGATCAAATTATGTCAACCTAGTTGCTGTCTCCCAAATATGACATCTTCTACCATTCCATGTGTTGTCTCATGGTTTGCAGAGCCTTGAAACTCCTTCTTCATCCAAAAATTTTGTATTTTTAAGATTCAGGATTCAGTTAGTTACCTCCTCTGAGAAGCCTTTTTAAATCCCTTCCTGGTCAGGCAAAGCTGATTACTTTACATTTTCGGGTGCCAAAGTATCCCAAACACACTGGATGATTCAAGGAAATTAGTTCCTTAAGCATTTCTTCATTGTCTATATCTTAAATGCAGCCATCAAAAATTACAATAAAAACATATTTACGTAGGGACTTAATTTTACAAAGAACATAAAAAATTAACCTATGTGAAAGACAGAATGCAAGATGAACACTAATGGTGAGAATCTATCCTTAACAAAAACTGGATACTAATGATGAAAATCTATCATCATCAACTGCATGAGGCCAAGACTAGGAAGCAGGTGATAGGGACGGAAAAACTTGAGATTGCAAGGAGTCAGATAACCTTCTGCATTAAACCCAGTAGTATTACAGTGCCATACCATATAGATTAAATATCTACATTATTTCCTGCATTAAGTATTTATTTCACTAAATAGTTTGGAATTCAAATATGTGTCTGGTAAAGGTTGAAACATTTGTCTCTAAAACAGAATGTCAGTTTAGAGGTCAGGTAAGTGATGCAAATTTATTCTTAGCCTGTCACAGTATGACACATTCCCAATATAAAGCAACATGGATTCAAAGCTTAATGACAGGAAGACATAAGTAACACTGCTGAAATAGCATTATATTGTGAACATTGGCTCCTTCAAGAATAACACCAGTGAAACTTAACCTGGACCATATGCATGAGGTAAAGGATCATTTTATTGCCTCTAAGTGTTAGATGGCAACTGAGAGGATTAATAATAGATGAATGAGCAATCCAAATAGTGATATGTGAGGCTTCCTATATAGATTAGTTTGCCTTTTTTAGATAAAAGAATTCTTAAAAGATATTGCTTAAAACTTAGTTGTTTAAGAAGTTCAAGGCATTTTTGAATCAAAACCAATTTCAGCTCTCCTGCTCTCAAAAACTTCTCATGATAAAATGCAGATATTATCAGTTATAGACTGTGGGAAATTTTGATCTAAGTTTGGAAATGAAATTGAGATCAATATGATAATAATGCTTATTACTATATGGCAAAACAATAAGGGGATGGTTGGTTATTATCTGATGAATTTGATGCGTGTAAATAGCCAAACCCATTAATGTTTCGAAATGTGACTGTTTGCATCAAGGATGATGACATAGAGTCATTCAAATATTGTCTTTTTATTATATATAATCCTTATTAGCCTAGTGGATGATGGAAGGCTTAGAAATTCTGTATTCAAGAGGACAGTGAATAATACCAATTTCTGAGGCTATTTTAGTATGTATATTACTATACTGAAAATTCAGGGTGATGTTAAGATACAAAGATAAGGGTGCTAAGGTCCAAAATCATTAGTTAGCAACAGCTAATTAAGTTTGCTGAGTTTGCAATGTGTGTCAACAGAATTCAAGGAATTCTAGCGTGAGTGCGGCTAGGAAGAATTGTTTTCATTCAATTCCTTTTAAAAGGTAGTTTCGAAAGCATTGCTTTGAGGGGCAGGGTTCTGGAATACCTCGGACAAAGGATTCCTCCTGAGCAAAAACGAAAGTCAATTTTCTCTCATTTGATGGCGCTTACCTCTTATGGCTCAGTGCAATCTGAAGAAGCAGCAAAAGATGGAGGCATGACATAATGGATAGGGATGGATTCACATCACAGAGAAAAACAGCACAAATGGAGAAAAATGAATCGGAAGAATGCTGCATAGCTGAAAAGAACCACAGAGTATCAGAGGCACAGTTACAGGTGAACATTTAAACAAAATTTGACACCACTGGAATACCACAGAGAATTTGCTGGTGGTCCTAAAAGAAAATTAGGCATATTTAAATTTCTTCTTTCTTATTGACATTTCAGCTCAGATTCCTTTTTATGATCCGTGATGTCACAGAGAGGCTTCTATTCCATTATATTATAACTTTGTAGTTTACAGACAAGCAAGAATCAGTTTTAACTGAGAAGGCAAAATATTAGATTGAACCTATGAAACTTCTGAATTTGAAGGTCAAAAATAGTCATATCAGCGATTTCATATGGTTCAATCTTGTATAAGGTATTCTCTGCATTGGTTACAGCGTTGTCTAGTTAAAATTACAAAAAGTCTAATAAATGTCATTAAACAGCATGGGGGTCTCTAACAGTCTACAGCTAGAAAACTTCAAGATTCTGGCTACTTTCCTTAACTTCTTTGCCATTTTTTCCTTGAATTTTATAAGATCATTATGTATACTGAATACTTCCTTTATGAAAGTGAGGCAGATAATTTAGATACTAATTTCAGCAGCTGTGCTTTATTTTGCCTGGGGACCTAGAAAATATTGTTGCAAAGATATGATGGTTAATTGAAGCTTATAATTGCAATACATTCATTTCCCTGGAGGAGTATATCTAAGCTTACTATGTGCGAAGAAACCTTGACTGATCCTGAAAACTCATATAACACTGGACGGAAACTAACTGTTTTTAAAGACTAAATATTTTATATGGGCCCCTGGGGAATGACATAATTTTTTTTATTGCCTTACAAAATAAAATATAAAGTTGTTGCTGCTGCAGGATACCTGTTTATTTACAACCAATGGGAATAAACAGTTATTGTGGGTCTTAGTAAGTATTGGAAGGTTCTTTGCTAGGGGGTATATACTTCTGAGTCCGTATTTATTACTTAGCTTGTATTGAACTCTCTGCCTGACTGAGATCAATAAATAACTGACTCACTGCTAACAGGCTGCCTCCATCCCTGCCCATTTCTACAGTAGCTGTGAGTAGGCTGAAGACCAACATTACAGTTTAGTACATGGTCTGGAAAGTGAGTGATTTTAGCACTTACTCAGATCGTGCTAATATTTTGGCTATTTTGAAAACCAAATGAGGACTTCTGTTTCTGGCAATATGATAAATTAAGAGTAAAGAATTCATTTGGTTTAGAACACCTGAAATGGTGGGTAAAATATCCAAAAATGTCTATTTTTATTTTGCTTTTGTTTCTAAAGTGAGATTGAAGTCAACGGGAGAGTAAAAATTACAAGAAAGTGGAATTCTGGGGGTGGGGGTAGGGATAAACTAGATATAAATATTTGTTCTGAAGGTTTC